ACATCTGACGCTTGCTATCGCCCTGGCCCGAAGGGGCGGTCCGGCCGTGGAAGACGACATTCTTGCCGTTCGGATCAACGTCAATACCTCCGGGAGCGTAGATGCCCCTGTTGTCGACAGTTCGAATGAGTATCCCGCGGTTGCCGTATGTGCCATCGATAGTGCTAGAGAAGGCATACTCGATATCGTAGTCATCGGAAGAGTAGCAGTGAGCGCTATAGAACAAGATGAACCTCCCGTCGCTAATTTTGTGAACGGTCGGGGCCTCAACAACTCCATTGTTGCTCGCGCCCTCGTTATCGAGAATGGTCTTCGCGCTGCCAAGCAGCGTGAGGGCATCGCGGTTCATCCTCTGGATCTTGATGGGTGTTGGCTTGTAAGCCCCTGAGGGTGTTCCGCCCTGGCAGGTTGTCGCTCCGCCGAGGGCATTGCCGTCGACCTTCCACACGATCCAGCGATCCTTGCCATCGTCGTATCCTGAAGCATCGATCACACCACCGTTTGCATCGTCGCAGATGAGAGGCGTCTCGCTCGCAGTGAAGGGGCCGCTTGAGGACTTGGCGGTGGCCGTTCCGATGCATCGCCTGCCACCGTTCTTCTTTCCGCTGAAATACATAACATAGGTCCCATCATCCTGTGTGAACACACGGTTAGCGGTCTCTTCATTGACGAACAGCGTGATGTTCACTTACATTCTTATTCACATCGGGCGCCCAGAGACCGGCATCACTCTTATCAATCCAAGACGGCAGGTTGGGAAGCGCATCGGTCGACGTCAAAGTCCATGACTTGGCGTCGGACGAGGTGGCGACGGGAATTCTCTTATTGTTGGAGGACGTAGCGTACGCCTTCCACGAGCCGTCGCCCCAGATGATGGCAGGATCCGGAAAGTTGACTCCCAGGGCCGGTCCAAAGATCTCACGGGCCCCTAGTCCGTTGGATTCGCTTGACATGTCCATCTTGACAATGTTCTCCAGCTGTATCGAGGGCAGGTTTTCGCCTCGAGGTTGGGCTGCTGGAACTGCCGCGGCCAAGCCAGCCCCTACGACTACAAGAGAGAGGCACTTCATGATGATGACAGTCGAATTATCAACGAAAAGGGATGGATTGAAGCTCGGAAGACTGGTTGGGAACGAGAAAGCTGCATCTTTTAGATATGATCCATCCGATCATTCATATACAATCGTCAACATCCCGGTAGAACTACGTAACGCGTGCAGGAATACCCTTGGCTCTCACGTACGATGTCGTAAATATAGCAACTTCTGTCGCAGATCCCGGATGTAAGGAGGGTTTACCCCTGCTCGCATGACCCTCAGCCAGCACGGATCGGGTAGGTATCGTCGCTCGCAATGGAGAGGCTGCCATGACTTACTCATGGTGGCGATGGTGCTCGACTCTTTGTTGAAGCCTGAGATTGTATGCGGCATTTGACTCTAGTATTTGCTCTGCCCATTTGGTAAAGCATCGTGAGTATCCTTCGGCACGAATGAATGGTCACGAGAACAATAAATGGAAATTTCTTTCTAGTCGCTGTCCTCTCGCATAGAATGTCACTGCATTTTAGTGCTTATCCCAGTAATGGGTCTGATGGTACTTGAAACAAGGCAGCTTGGGCTGTATGAAATCAATCTATGCGGCGCAGCACAGTCTCCAAGAATTCTAGAAAGCATTAAGGGGCTTTCATTAACAAATGAACAACGCCGCCAGCTTGCCAATAGAGCAGCGCATACAATCATAAGCTAATCTTGAGCAATTTCTCCGCGTTCTTATAAGCCACCATCTCGAGCTGATCCTTGGTCAACAAACCACTGTCCTCCAGCTCCTTGAACCATTTGAGCCCAGCCTCGTTCGAGGAAAAAGGGTAGTCAACGCTGTACAAGATATGGTCAATCTTGGTGTTCCCGAGAATGCACCGCATCGGGTCCAAGCTCCAGACAGAGGATGTAGTAATCCAAATGTTTTCATCCCAGACCTCCTTGAAAGGGCGCTTTCGTTCACCCATCCTCGCCTCATTGTTGTGAATACGCTGTAGCATGAACGGCATCATCTCCCCGAAATGGCCAATGATGAGTTTGAGCCTCGGGAACTTGTCGAAAACTCCCGCGCAGTGGAGGCGGAGAATATGCAGGCCGACCTCACTGTGCCATCCCCACATTGAGCTGGCCAAGGCTCCCGTCGACTGAAGAGAATAGTTGCCGACATATGAGTTGCGAAACATCTCTTCCGTGGGCCATGCCGGGTGAAGGTAGATGGGAACATCAAGCTCCTGAGCTTTGCTCCAAAGCACATCGTACTCTGAACCGTCGCAGAAGCCCTTCTGAGTCTTGTGGTCCACCAGAGCGCCGACAAACCCGAGCTTAGTCACCGTCCGCTCCAGTTCAGCCGCAGCGGCTTCGGGCTCTGCAAGGGGCAGTATGGCGAATGCGGCGAATCGCTTCTTCGTCGTTGCTGACTTGTTGATCTCCTTTGCGAGTTGGTCATTGCCCGCCTGGCACACACTAGGCGAAGGGTCCTCGGAAAGGCAGTGCGAGATGACTTGCAAAGCGATGTTTCCCTGATCCATGTCCTTGAGGCGTAGTTCATTGGCATCGAATAGTTTGTCTAGCAGCCCTGGCCAGTCCCCGAATTTTCGTTTCATTGGACTGTCGAATGAGTTGAAGACAGCATCACTGTACCAGTGTTCTTCCAAGGTAATAAGTGGAGGTGTCATCTTGGCCTATGATTGGGAAATAAAAACGACGGCTGTCGAGAGTGATCCCGAGATTTGAATGCAGTCTGATGAGAAGAAAGTGTGTAAGAACTTGGAACCCGAGTTTCAAGGCTTCGGTACTCATTCTCTTATAGAGAAGATTTGTGTTTGGTTACCCCTTTGGGAAGCCGCTCTCTGATTGGCTCTCCTCCTAAGCGGAGCCATAAAGTGTTGATCATAAACGATGACAACGTTTGCTCCATTTCTAGCCGTTGGACGATGATTCTTAGTACTTCCCAAAAAGGAAATCACTCTCTCATTGGACGGCCACTTTCCCTCCACTATCACCAGCGGGGTCTTCGTGATCACGATGAAGACTTCGCTGGTTCAGCCTTTATCTCGTAGTATCACTGACTCCCGATCTGGAAACCGCTCTCATATTGGGTCTTGGACAGATGAGATCCACATCATCGGTCGGTGGCTTCGTGTTCGAGATATCGCCTCGGGGGATGCTATGGTCCGACGCCTCTCTTGGTGTGAGTCTGAGGGATAGCAGTATATATACCGCTGCCTTTGTCCTTGAAATTGAAAGTAACTTATCCTTCTCTCCAGTGACCCTTCCGCTTGTACTCTATGAGTCGATTTCGTATTTTGAATCCGCAACCTTTCGTCACGAGGTTTCGTCAGCCGTTTACCATGTCCGCCCGGCCACGCAACCTTCCACTTCACGCCAATGCGGAAAACTGCACTGGTCGTACCTTCATTGTGACCGGTGCGAAGTCAGGCTTGGGGTATGAGGTAACCAAACACCTCGTGGGGGCCGGCGCTTCCAAAGTCATCATGGCTGTGCGCAACACCGATTCCGGCAAGGCTGCCAAGAGCCAAATTGCAGCCGAGCTTGGCCACCAAGATATTGCCGCTGAAGTCTGGCCAATTGACCTGGCGAGCTATGCTTCAGTCAAAGCGTTTGCGAAGAGGGCTGCCGATGAGCTGGGCCGCATAGACGCTTTGATTGAGAATGCTGGCGTCTTTGACTTCAAGCGTATCATGGCCGAGGGCCACCTCTCGACGGTCACAGTTAACATCATCAGTCCCTTTCTTCTTGCTGTACTACTTTTTCCGAAGCTGAAGGAGACTGCAGAGAAGTCTAAACTCCCCCCTCATATCGTGTTCGTTGGGAGTAGTTACGGCTTCAAGGATGAGGAGCAATGGAAATTGATCAAAGACGATCCGCTTGCGAAGATGGATACCAATGGGCTTGCCGAGGTGCCCGTCGATACTCATCAAACGTAAGATCCCGCTCGTGGCTAGTACCGTTCATACTAATTCTCTGCAGCTACTCGCTGACTAAACTCGTCGTCATCATGGGCGCGCGTCAACTCGCCCAAAGGTTCCCTGTCTCTAGTACGGGAGTTGTGATCAATACAGTCGCCCCTGGCCTTTGCAGGACAAACTTGGCTCGTAACGGACCCCTAGAGTTCCAAAAGGAGATGGCTAAAAGGGTAGACATGTACGGTCGGACCGCGGAGCAGGGCAGTAGGACGCTCCTACACGCGGCGTTTGCTGGTAGAGAGAGCCACGGTCGGTATCTAGACTCTTGTCAAATTGCAGAGTAAGTCTGTCTCCTCAAGTCTAGGCCTGGAGCTCTTCTTGAAGTTCTGACGAATCTTCCCCCTTAGTGATAGATTGCCAGACTGGATGACAAACGCAGAGGGTAGAGCCTCAGAAAGCAATACTTGGAATGCTATTGTCTCGGAGCTCAAGATCGCAGAGCCTGACATGATGGAAAATGTGTTGAAAGTCGACTTGTAGAGGAGGGACGCTTCAACTAGCCATCGGTGCCTGCGGTGTAAGATCGTGCGCGTATGGGGCTGTTTTATCTCGGTAGTTTGTAGATATCAACTGGTTTCACCTGAATGGAGATCGTAAGCTCAGAGGAAGCACCGATACTTGTTTTTTCAGTCCAATAGTAGGACCTCAAATTGATCCTAGAACCCACACAAGAGTCGTGCCGGCTTGTTGTGTATCCCGTCTATCCAAGGGTATTTGTTCATGACGCAAGCCAACTTTTCCCAAGTGTGTAAGTCAAGAGACTTTGTTGCCTTAGAGACCGCAGATATCAACCAGTCATCTTGGAATGGTGAGAACACTGACGCTCCACTGACTAGAAGTATCCAAAGGAGTACTTCTTGGGTATATCCCGCCGTAGCGACATCCCGTTGCGTGGCTGAGTGGATTTGGTGGGAAAGAAGTGGACAGTGCGGCATTGTTCCATCAAGCTGATGCATGAATGGCATCAAGAATGCTATCAATCCCAGCTGAACAACATTATCGATCTCAGATGCTGGACGCGGCCCTCCCAGTGGCGCAAAATGAACCACACGATGGCCGAGGCGAAGGAGTGTGATATGAAATGATCGCGTATGTAGAGCTGTTCGAAGTCCAACATGTGCGTCATTCACCTGCCGGCCAAGACAAGTTACCTCTTTAGCAAGGCTTTGTAGCTGAATGCTTAGTCCAGGACAGTAGCTAAATCCGCAAGAATCCAGCTCGTGTTCTGCGATCAAGGGCTGGGCAAGCCATGGCATGCTGGTGTTGTCATTGCTAATCCTTGCGACATCGAAGCGCGGTTCGGTACCAACATAGAGAGCTAGATCAAGGTCAAGCCTGGGTGCTCGATTAGTATTCCTTCTTAAGACTGCTCTAATCTTTCATCGGTTACTGACCTGGCGATCTTTTGACCAAGGGAGGGCTCATCCCTGATAAGCGTCGCGATTCCTCCCCGCATTTCCACCATGCTGTAGAGGCCATCCAGATGTACGAGACTCTCGAGAAATCGACCGCGAAGTCTTTCGTATTGGGCAATCATGACCACCACTGCTAGATTCGCATTGGAGACCGGGTTCGCTTGGGACAGTCTTGAGTTGATCAAGGATACTGTGCGGCCTTGATGTTGCAAAGCAAGGGCCGGGTCCTCTCCTTGCGCCATCACGTTGTTTAGACTGGTGATTGATATGGCCATTACGATATGGAAATCTGCAGCTGTTCTTAGTACATAGACAACACCATAGAGCGGGAGAGTAGGAGCTTCCAATACATGCTTCGTCTTCGAATGCGAGCTGAAACCACATTGTTGGAGGACCCTTGTGTGCTTGAAAGGCGTCGGACAGTTGCGGTGTGTAATGCATGCGGCAAAAGAAATTCACAGCTGCAGGCTATCAGCTTTTGTCCACGAAAGCTACTCACGTCATAGTCGTATAAATACCTTTGTGAACTAGGGCACGAGATTCGCCAAGAAAATCGATAGGCAATGACGATATGGAGACTCCATCGCCTATCTGGCGGTCAAATGTAATCGACGCATGTGGTCTCGGATAGGCTTGAGAATTGTCTGGTTTGTGCGGATGAATACGTTCAGGCACGGTCACTCGAACCGGTCTTGGTCCTGGGCCGAGCAGGTCCTTCCTTGATCGTCGCACCAGTGTTTTCCCCAGGTTCTTCCCCGTAGCGGCACGGCTTCGGATGCGTCGCCTCGCAGCGGGGTTGATCTGAGCGTTGTCGATAAATTCATAGGGCATGGTGTTGCATACACAATGGATATGTCGGAGACTCGGACAGACATGGAGAAAAGGCCGGCGCGAATAGCAGGAACGCCAAGGGGAGTGTGATTTTTAACCGAGAATTGACCGACATCCGGGCAGAATTACTCACCGCGGTAAGTGCCCGGTGAACTCGGTGAGAGCTGAAGGCGAGACCATGAGAATCCCAGCTTTGACGCAGCGGGCTCCTCTCTCAACTCCGAACAAGCAATCGGCCAATAGACCGGCGATCACGCTAATACGTTACATTTATGCAAGTGCGTTGCAGATACTTCAGATGGCGTGGTGGGTGTGATTGAAAGTGACTTCGAGAGTACTGGACGGTACTTGATGCACAATCCATGCTACGCTCACACCCCCCAGCACGGTATGCGTTTACTGTGTTGCATCACAGTCTGCAACCCGCTGTGTTGCATCGCATTATCACATCCGATGCCTTACATTCGGGACCAGGTAGACATGCATGCAGAACACATGGTAGAATGATTGCATGATCAAGATACGAAGGTTGCATTCAACGTGTGGATGTGGGTCGCTTGCCGAGGTGCAACTCGTTGGGGCTTACCCGATCTATTTTTGTCTTCATCCCCTTGTTGTAAACCAAACAACAAAACAAAGGCGAGAACTAAGTCTAGCCATATTATCAAACTAACCAACTTACTCGAAACTCGAAGAAACAAATCAGCAGTATTCGGCAACTGTCCCCTCTGTTACAATATGCGGATTAATAATTTCCCGTTCCGTAGTATAGGGTAAGCTTCAACAATCGTGCCTGGTACACTCATCATCCAAGCTAAGGAACTACCCTAGACCACTTTCACATATCATCCAATAAGTCCTTTCTTCAAGCTTGACACTACATCCCCTAACAAATTACAAGCTCATTCAAGGTTCTAAGGTAGCTTGTAGCATAGCCTTGTCGTAAAATTCTTTGCTTGGAGATTATAACTCCGTCATAGCAACAATTCTAGTTCTACTGCCAAAGGTTACAGTTATAGCGCGCGGCGTATCATGTACTACCCATTCCATATTTGGATTGAAGACTGCTTACATTATAGATAGTGACAGATATCTTTGCAGGTTCATCATATGGCAAGTTATGGGTACCTAGGAATGGGTAGGAAACTCTATAATGATATGTAAATTTGGAACGCTGGCAACTATCAGCGCGCAGGAAATGTGTCCTAGCTGTTGAAACCACCCCTGCACCTAGCTTATATTCTCTAACGAACAACCTTCGCGCGCGACATGATCATTCTCCGTTGGCAAGAGCAGTAAGGCGTGATTCATCCCCATTGAACGTGTTGGAATCACCACCCTGAGGATACTTGGAGTTGTACTGCCAGATTGTATGAAAACTCCAACCGGCGGGAATCTCGCCAACGACACTGGCATAGCGCGCCACCCATAGAGGGCACCGATCAGCAAACTTGGGACTGTTGCCGGTGCACTTGGTCCACCAGTCGAGGGTGGTGTAGATGACAGGGTAGCGGGTAGTTGCGGCGTGGTAGGCCGTCACGAAGTCCTCGACCCAGCTGACCATGGCGGACTGTGAGAGGCCGTAGCAGGTGTCGCCGCTGGGGTTGTACTCGATGTCGAGGGCGCCTGGAAGAGTGATGCCGTCCTTGGACCAGCCGCCTCCGTTTTTCGCAAAGTACTCGGCCTGGGCGGCGCCGGAGGAGGACGCCGGCTGGGCGAAGTGGTATGCACCACGGACTAGCCCGGCCTTGGTGGCACCGGTGTACTGCTGGCTAAAGAGGGAACTCTTGAATGTAGTTCCTTCGGTAGCTTTGATGTACACGAACCGGTCTCCATCGGCGTAGGCCTTGGCGAAATCAGTCGACTCTTGCCAGCCGGAGATGTCAAAGCCCGGGACTTGAGCCGCGGCGATGGTGACGAGAGTAGCTAGAGACGCAAATGTGAATAACTTCATCGTGGAATTGAACTAAAGTTCAAGACGGAAATTTGTGTAGATGAATCGATGAGTGAATCCAGGAAACTAGAGGATAGATGCTGCCTTTTATTTCAATCTCAACAATGAAAAATCCACTGCCGGGTCATGAATGCCGATCGCTGTAGATCACAAACCGATGGAGCTGCAACAGTTACCTATTCGGCAACCTCTGCGGGTTGTCAGGCGATTCCTAGGACACGAATTGACAAAAAGCGATGCGGCTGAACATTTGCGTGTCCATAGTGAAGCAACTCCCCACATGGGAGTTTCACTTGAGAATCACCAGTGTCGATCCCGGCTGGCTTCAGCTCTGGCCGACAGGGACCATGCGCTGATCCGATCAACGTCCCACCAACGTTACTCCGGCTTATGCGATATCTTCTCTGGAGCACGGGGCCGCAATGCTATCCCCATTGGTTTGTGATTAGTGGGGGGCTGAACAACAGGAGTTTCCACCTGCCTGAAGCGTTTTGGATTGAGGTGACTTGTTTGGTCATTTAGCTGCCTTCTGGCGATTCTACCGTAGCGCATGATTCTATGATAAGAAAGGGTCATGCTCCGTCAGCTGATTGCATAGCAACTGGATTCTCCGCGAAGAGAGGTGTGGCATGTTACAAGACCACAGGTATGTTTGAAGATAATTCCGCATCTGTTATGTTGCTTCCAGCATCACAAACTTGAGATGCCGGGGTGTTTTCTAGCATTTGGGTCCAATGCGCAAAGCTATCATCACTATACGAGCTGGTAGTGGAGTATGCAGTTGAAGTCTCAAGACTGGCTTTACTTCCATCGAGGGGGTCGGGTGTCAAAGTAAACTGTTGATCGATTGGGGTGGGATGAGTTTCCTGTATATTGTAAGTATATCGCATCGTTATCATCTACCTATTTCGCAGTGACGCCTACCTCAAGCTCCAATTCGTCATGCGCAAAATTGATGACATCGTCAAAAACTAGTGATGGTGATGGCTGGTCTGGGATTGTCGCTTGCGTGAGTAGACCAGACGATAAGGGTGATGGTCCCAGGGTCGTATTTGCAGGCAGGTGGGCTTCCATAGGGGGATCGGCCTTGTCAAAATGTTGGATATCCTTCCTGATCTCGAGTAGAACGCGATCGAGATGGTCTGCTCGATGCCCGAGAGAAGTTTGGCGACCTCTGAGCTTCTTGATGGTGTCTCTGCATCGCCGGAGCCGAATTATCGCGTCTTCACGTACTTGAGGGTCCCTTTGGCGAATGAGGAGGCGTTGGACTGTCGTCTCTTGTAGCACAACCACAACGGCTGCGGCTGCTAAGAAGCCGTTATTTTCGAGAAAGGACATCTCTGTCGCCATTATCGATACGTAGTCATTGAAAGATCCGAGGCGCCCTGGAAATCGAGGGATCGTTGGTTTAGTCGGTGTGTCATTTTCGTCTTGTTTGTGTTCGGCATCGCTTGGCAGTCTTGTCATTGATGATGATGATGATGCGGGATAATTTTCGACGCAAAACGTGGGTGTGGCAGGGTCGACTCCAGCACCTTGCTGCGTGCACGCGCCGCAGGACCCTGCTCTATATGACAAGACGTGTTAGAGTATTTGACGTAGACATTTGCGTGCTCAACATACCGCTTCGGGCGCCTTGCCATGACTTGGCAGTCATATTCATCGAGCTGGCAATTGGAACAAGGTCGTCGCAGCACAACATCGCAACGCACTTTTCGTCGCCTGCAGTCAAGACAAGCACTAGTAGCTCGTGGCCTCCGCCTGACGCTCTTGCGTACCTTTCTTGATTCTTCACCCTCAACTGGAGAGCTCATACTGCCTGTGATGTTGGCGAAAGATGTTGGCAGGTCAGGAAAAATTGGTGTGAAGAGTATTAGAGGGCTGGAACTACGCTGGGATATGCGGAATCTTTCCATGGTATTTGATTCTCCGTAGGATTTCCTCCTTTTTTTATTTGTTGGGGAAACCCGTTCCCTGCAAGTGTCGTACAAAACAGCCAATTAAGCCGCACGATAGTGTAAGATAGCGGCAACAGGGTGTAGCTTGTCAGTCTCAGGCTTGTCCATGTCGGATGCCTGGGGTACAGGCTGCCGATACTGTAAAGATTGACTAATCGTGCACGATATATCACTAGTTCAAGCTTGGCTATCAGGATCCTTCGTCTTCCACATGCCCTCCTCGGAAAGCGGAGTCCCGGCCTTCCGCGGAAGACGGAGATTGGCGCAGTTGCTGGGGATCGAGAAGTACGAGTTTGGTAGAATAACGATACCGGAAACTCGGCCACTTAGATCACCAACATATTCATGAATTAGGTGACATATAGCACGAGGTTTGGACGCTTCAGGAAACGTCAAGTATCCATTATTGACCGAATGTTCATGGCCACGGTGCTGTTGATCCATGTTTATGGCAGGGATGTGATGCTCCGCAAAGGCGAGACGCGGGGTCCGGAGTAATCAAGAACTATCGGTCATCCCGCGACGTGCTAGGATCCGTCGCTTTATAAGCGCAATATCTCCTGACACAAAACTACCCAAGCAAACTTTCTCTTTGTTTTCTTTGTTTCCTTCTTCTTCTGCTTTTTGTTTGTTCGTATGGCCCCATACTCATTCTTTAGCGACAGCTGTCAGGCAAGTGAGCTCGCTCCAGAGGATGGATCACTTCATGGTTGAGCATAGTTTATGGGTGAACTACCGACCGCTTGACCCAGTTGCTGTGAAATAAGCATACGTCACCAACTGGCTTCCTTGAAGGCGAACCGCTTGTCCGCCTAGTTGCTATCACCATTTGCGATGCACAGGCCTATTCTTCTCAAACCCTTGGTGTCAAAACCTCCTCTGGTTTGAGTGCGTCTATGCTAAAGTTGGCAGACTTGCTGACCTAGTGAGAGTTTGAGTATACAGTAATAAGGCAAGGACAGAAGGTCTAGGTTTGCACAGGTCATGCGATTGAACACTCAGATAAAAGGAGCCGATTTTCGTGGCCAAGGTAGAAAACAGACGCTTTTTGCTTCGTTCGATTGAGAATCTAAGTTGTGACTGGCGAGTGAATTGACTAACCATTCGCGTTGCCTCTGTTTATTGAAGCCGGCTGTGGCCTTAAGAGGCACTGCTACGAGCGTTTCAAACGCTTATTCGTGAGAAATCCATCTCTTCTTAATTCGCCCAGCCGCTCGAGACTCTTCACACGATGAATCACAATGCGGGTGATGAAGTTATCAATTAACGCGAGAACCGCTGTATGCTACATGCCTTTGTTGTGGTTGTGGTTGTGGTTGTGTGTATGTACAGCTTCCTCTCTTTCCGCTCCAGTTGAAAACAGCAATTGAAGATGCCAGAGCCCGACATCTCAACACAATGAATACGAAAGCTTAAAAATATAGCCTTTCCTAGCCCAATATGTAGTCATACCGAAGTAAAAGTTCCATTGACGGCAAGATGCCCACTCGCAATGTCAACCGTGCTGACTGATGCTTGTATTCTGCAGATCGGAATCGACGGCCGCTGAGGCAGCTTGTCGAAGTTAGCCCAGCTCAACTTTTCTCTTTTCCCTATTATACGCTTCCTGCGTTTGCAGTAGCTTTTGGTATTTATCTATAGCCTTGTTAGTATTAAACCTTATTTATGGCCGGGCTTAAGCCAACCTGCCTGTCTCTCGTCAAGACGAGCGATCGCTGCAGCCCTGACCTAGCTGTCTCTCGTCAAGATGAGCGATAGTTGCGAGGCTGACCGGACGGTACCTCGCTGAGACCAGCGATAGCCTCGTAGCCGGGCAAAAGGGTTGAAGTTTGATTTGTTGTGATGCTGGGTATGGTATCAAGTTTTTGAATTCTTGGTGTTGAGGAATTTCCTTTTTTTCTGTTAGCAGCTGCCGCATACCTGCATAGCTCTCCTACTTACTCGACATTTGTCCGTATGCATAAGCGCAAGGTCTTCAGACTCCGTGGCTCCCCTGATGGCGTTGATGTAGGGAAGGAAAGTCCTTAAACTTTTATACCGAGTTCATGACAACCCGGCTTAAATGTTGTCCGGCGGTCATTGCTCTATGGTATGTTCTGTTGACGGTAAGATGCCTACTTACAATATCAACTGCGCTGATTGATGCCTGTATTTGCAACACCCAGTCCCAGACTCATCTCAAGAGATCCTCGGGATCAATCGTCTTGACGAGAGACAGCTAGGTCATGCCCGCAGCGATCGCTCGTCACAGCAGCGCCCCTGCCCTTAAACCCCCAACTTTCCAAGGTTGACCTCAGATCAGGTAGGAATACTCATCTCAAAAGATGCTGGCGAAGTCACTGGGACTCAAATCAAACCACGCCACCTCCCGTATTCTGCAGATTGGAATCGACGGCCGCTGAGACAGCCTGTCGAAGTTGGCCCAGCTGTGTTGCTGACCTAGCTATCGCGATTGAACAGCCCGGCCGCGACAGCTTCATCGGCTGCAGGTCAAATTTTCTCTTTTACCTGTCATGCGTTTCCTGCGTTTGTAGTAGCTTTCGGCACTTGTCCTTAGTAGTAAGTGAGAGAGCTATACAGTTGTACGGCAGCTGCCGAAAAAAAAGGGGAAATTCCCAAACACCAAGAATTCAACAACCTGACACCATACCCAGCATCACAACACATTGTGACATTTGTCATTATGCATGGGCGCAAGCTCTTCGGACCCCGTGGCCTTCCTGATGAAGTCGACCGCCAGAGGCGTAATTGAAGGCGCACATAGGCCCCATACCTCAGCGCTCAGCCGGGATCAGCGAGCTTGCACTTTCGTGTCTGCTTCTGGTTTCACGTTCCTTCGAGGGCCGCCCCGGGTTGAAGTCATTGTTAGAATGATCAGCTTCGCGAGCTCTTTAGGATGCTGGTCTCAAATGACGGATCTCATCGCTCGTTGGTTTCATAGGTTCAAAACCGGGTTTTGTATCCTGGTGAGAGTATTAGTATAAAGTTATCACAACGATAGATTATGTTAGACACTACATTTCAACACAATGAGTACACGAGATTGAAAAAGAAAGGGCTTTGCTAGCCCAAGGCTGCGGTCCTCGAACGGCGGATCTCGTCGCTTGATGGTTTCGCAAGTTCAAGAACGGTTTTTGTATAATTTCCAGATTTGACACCATCAAGAAGGCTTTTCTGGAATAGTATCGCATGTGAACACAAGCGTGATCTAGGGTAAGATACGTCGATCGCAGACAATGTTGGTGGTCGATGAGGAGTTTGTCCACTTCTTTGTGTGGTACACAAGGGTAGGTATCCTTGGTGTAGAAGTTTGGAACATGTTAGATTCGTCCTGACGCAAGGCGTCACAACAAGATTAGCGCTCAACGGCGCGTGAAAGTGTGCATCGCGACCGAGCTGGCGCGGACCTTGGAGTTGGAGTAAATGGAGAAGATTTTGGTGTGATTGGGGGGTTTGGACGAAGTCGAAGGGATTAATCACTGTAAGCCCGAGCAAAGTCACGTCCCGAGTTCTCAATAAGGGAGGCAGGAGCGATCGGGTTGATCGATGCATCAGGGTTCAGCCGAGAAGAGGGAAGGAGGGAACAAGAGTGGCGATTTCCTCCACGCAGAGAAAGAGCTCCACTAAATGTTCTGGTGTTGATCATACTTGGCAGGATGCAGGCGAAACTTTCATGGCGAGCAGAGACTCAAGTCTTTGTTTCAATGATATCTGCCTCTCGTTGAGGTCTCGTGAGGAGGATACATGTAGGTCGGTGAGATCTAATCGGACCGGCAGCTTCATAAGCAGACCACTTTGCAACCGGCCAAGCTCCACCCAACGGTTGCCGCCTAGAGTGTCTCTTGGGCATCATGGTCAGTAAGCATGTTCACTGCGAAAGAAAAGGGTAAACGATTTTGGCTCACATGTAATGAGGTTTGGTTTTGTTCCCATTTGATCGATTTGTAAAAAGGGACTTTGCTACCCGGCCACTACCATTGGAAAAGATATTTGCGACTTAAGAGCGAAGTGAAGCGTGGGGTGCAATCAGTTGAGGTTCAGATTATGAAAGTGATTCCGCCTAGTTATTACCGGCTATCAATGTTGACAAGTACATGGTGATCTTTAAATAGGCGCATAACAGGAAGAAAAAATCCAGTTGGTCAGGCGAAGTGAAGCCTAGGGTCGCGTTTGTTTTCTAGTGCTGACTTGGCTATCATTTCCCCTGTGAGACGCAATCGCCGACTACCCACCAATCAACCAACCCGGCAATGAGAATGCCAAGGGGTAGTATGACATATTAGTTGAAACTGGGACTATATTATACTTTGCGTTCCTCCCTCCGAGGCGTGGAGGATGTCATCGTCTTGCTCGACGTGTTCACATCATCGTCATGTTTTGGGAGTTTCTAGAGCGCACAGTCTTCCGGCTGCCATATGCACCTCCGCGTGTGCGCAAAGAGCCGATGCAGGTTCTCTGCGTCGGATTTCCTCGTACCGGCACCGAGTCTCTACAGCAGGCCCTCATCACCCTTGGCTATGACCATACCCATCATGGCTGGGATATTCTGTTCGAGCAGCCCCTCTACTCGGATAAGTGGGTGAACCTCGCGAGGAGGAAGTTCAAGGTGCGCACGAGCGATAGGAGCATCTTGGATGGCGACTGCAAGATCACTGCAGCCGAGTTCGACGAGGTTCTCGGCCATTGCACAGCGGTCACGGACGCGGCTGGCTCAGTCTTCGCCGCGGAGCTCATCGAGGCATACCCCGACGCCAAGGTTGTTCTTAACATTCGGAGGGACGAGGATGCCTGGTATCAAAGCGCGTGCAAGACGCTCGTTGGCGAGATAAGCACCGTGCACTATATTCTGAGTTGGTTTAGCACCGAAGTGTTCTGGGCCTGGCATGTATACCAGAGGTTTCTTTGGGCTTGCCTCTTCCAGGCTCCGGATAGCGATAGAAGGAGAGGCATCTGTGGAAATGGGCGCTGGATTTACCGGGGTATGTTTTTGTCTTTCGCTATTGTTTTTCTCCAGTCGAGATCTTGCTAATTCGGTATTTCCGCCCGGTAGAACATAACAACAAGATAAGGGGCCTTGTCCCTAAAGAAAAGCTGCTCGAATGGAGCGTCGAGGATGGGTGGGAGCCGCTGTGCAAGTTCCTTGGCAAGGAAGTGCCCGCTGAGGAATTCCCACATGCCAACACTCAGAGCGGGTTCAAGGGACGAGTCGATGATATGATGAAGCTTTGGGCCAGAAAGTCGATTCGGAATATGATGATAACGTTCGCAGTCGTTGTCGGTGGAGGCGCCATTATCTACAAGTTTAGTAAAGCAGCTTGAGACATTGGAGATTGGGGCTCGGGGCTGATATCAAAAGAGATTGATCGATTAAATTGAACGAAGCGATTCTGTGCAGGCCTGAGGTTGAAGGAAATGTGGATCCGCCCGACCAGATCGATAAGCAACATGACGTAGGTATTCACAGAACCGAGCCTCAACTGCAGAGTATATAATAATTGAAGACTTCGCTTCGCTCTCAACACTCTCAAGTAACTTGGCTGTACGCACCGGTCTGAGAAAGCCATATTCATGATGGCATGACTACACTGAGCTATGTCAACGGATACGCCAACACTCCAGCCATCACCTCTCTGAGAAGCCCTGCCTCTGCCAACTTGTCGACGACATCAAAAAGCACCAGATCGCAACCCTTCGCCACACCCAGAGCCACGGTAACGGGCTGCCACTCGCTTCTGTTGGTATACTTGCTGTGGTACTCTATCTGTCCAATCGGCACTACAATTTCCGGCGTCTTTGCGTAGTTGACATACAGCCCGTCGTACCAACCCGTAACGTATCGAGCCTCGGCAGGGTCTGTTTTGACCGTGTTTGGTGGGATGTGGTAGCTGTGCGCGAAGAGATACTCGCTGCACGTCTCATTGTTCCCGGACAGGATCTCCTTGTTGAACCAGTCACCAAATACCTGCCGGCGGCGCTGCGACTCAGGGTATCGCGCGCGAGTTATAGGATCCCGACCATCTGTCCACGACATGTTGACTGGAGGCTCGATGGGCGGGAATGCGCCCTCGCGGCCTGGGATCTCGCTGTATGCAGTGGCCAGAGGAGCACCGATTTCGCCCCAGCCCTGCACGTTGTTCAAGTCCGAGTATACATTGTTCATCCACACCGCTGGGGTTTGCGCACTGGCGGTTTCGCTGACATTGCCATCTAGGAACCTCTTCGTGATATTGACGGAGTGGTTGTCTGAGAGATCTAGAATATGAGCCATCTCGACGAAGAACTTCTCGATCATCTCCGCGGCGACGGGCTGAGTGAACGCCGCCTGCTCGTCGTAGCGCAGCAACTTGCGTGGCAAAACCTCCGGCGACGGTGCCAGCGGCTTGCCATCCGCCCACACACGACCAACACGAGTGAAGATCTCAGGGGAGCGGGCCAGGAAGCCCGGTGTGTCCTGCTCCGCGATCGCAACAAGTATCCCAGTCAGGTTGTAGATCCCGTGCGTGGGCTTGTAGCCGTACACGCCACCGAATCGAGCAGGGAAGCGCACACTACCACCAGTGTCAGACCCCAATGCGAAGTCTACCCATTCGTAGGCTGTGACGGCTGCCCCAGATCCGGATGAGCTGCCGCCGGTGGACATGTATCCGTCGCCGCGAGCATTCCAGGGGTCGTGGAAATCCACCGACATGCCGTTTCGTGGTGTGCCGAGCGCGAAGGTGATTGTGCGCAGTTTACCAATTAAGGAGGCACCGGCGTTCTCGCACAGTTGGACTGTCTCGGTTGTGTAATTCTGGTAGCCATACGTTTCGTAGTAGGCTCGACTCCCGCCAGACGTTTTCAGCCCTTTGATGTGGAAGATGTCCTTGACGCCGAAACGAAGGCCGGCCAATGGCCCTGCGCCAGGCTTAGTTGATGAGAGTCTGGAGGGCACAATGATATTTGGCACACGGGTCCCCGGCAAAGATACATGGAGCTGTTGGTGCCTGGCCGGCTCGGTTGCGTGCACGTAGGAACCATACATGAAAGCTACAAAAGAGAGAGTTAGCCAAGAGAATGAAAGAATGATGGTGCTCCATATCCTCATTCACCTTCATAATCGTCCGGATGGAGTGCGTAAACTGGGGTCACAGACAAACCACCCTCTCCACAGTCCGGCAACTTCACAACGTAAGGGCCGTTACCCAGCCCACAACTAGATTCAACAATCGAAATATTTGCGGTAGTCGCGAAGCCGATAGCATTGAAAGCTGAGTCAAGGAACAAGTGCTCTACACCATGGTTGCTAAGAGAATCGGCGACGGATGGGCTCAGAGCGATTCCATTCTGGGTCCCATTGTACTGTAGAAACAAACAGTCAAGGAACTGTTCGGCGCTCCAAACATCGTCTATTTCATACTCAGCCAGGATAGTATCCAGAATGGCAGATGAAAGACTCTCGATGGGGTCCGAGATAGTGAGAACAGTGCACCCGAGGTAACCACCAGATGATGAGGCCCGTTTACTGAGAGAGTTTGTGACGACTCCAGCACGGCTTTGCAAGTGGTACACCGCCGAGTCTAGGTGAACGGGTGCCCAAAGGTCCGTGCCGTTGAACTTCCATGTGAGAGCTTGCAGTGCAGGCTGGATGAAACCCGCAAAGGCTGGCTGCGTGAGTGAGGCAGCGGCGACAATGATTGTATCCCTCCGCATTTTCCAACTTGACGGTGACACAGAGAAGATGAGTTGCCGCATATTGGAAACCAAAAGAGGAGGGACCGACCATTGATTATTCCCGGGGAGGCTATCTCATCCGACAGTCAAATCCGAACCTCCGGGTCACCGCATCCCCATGTTGTGCCCACTGACAGATAGCATTCCCAGTCTACCGGGTCCATTCACAGGAACAAAGATAAGAAACATCCCACAGCGGGGCTTGCCAAGGATACAGAATGCCAAGAGAGTTGATAAAGGAATGATAGGACTATGACTTTCAATTACATGACGTAACAAGTAGCAATAACCTGGCTCTCATCGCTGTTCCTCCGCTCAGCCCCGCAGATGGAGACTGACATCCCGCATCTTCGACTTGGCTTGAACTCTCGGTCGAGTCTGGGCTATAAAGAGTGAATATAAAAGCTCCCGTTCAAGACCCGTTGAAGGATTGGACACAGGTAGGAAATAAAAGCGAAGCCCAATTCTTTCCACAAGGGCTCCAGAGTTTTGACCCCGCATACCTTCAACTGATGTGCATTCTGCAGACTGATGAGAGTCGAATGCGATGATAGAATGGAGTTGACTCTAACCAATGAAGAGCAAGAAGTATTTCCATTCAAGCCTTTACCTTCAAAGCCCAATTGTACGATTCTGCCTTTTTTCAACCCACAAGTACGGTGCCACTCTTTTCTGCATGTTGTATCGACCATGGCCCTGATACCTCCGGCATCGGGTGCTTGCCCTGTGGTTGTCGATTGCCATGCCCCCTTCAAGGTCGTGGAGATGAATACTAAGACACAGCCGCAAGGCCTGTAGATTCAGTAGCATTTGTCGATGCGTTTGCAGGGACACTCTTGATACTGAGAAGTGGCACCGGTAGCGCTGCTCCTTACCCAGCCAGCAACCGGGGAGTCTTTGGTATGGGCATGTGTTTGAGAAGCTAACCCTCGCCCTTTAATGGCGTTGCCCTTTGTCTCCAAACTGATCAGTCGGCCACCGAGACTCAGAAGTAGGACCAATTAACAGTCCTCTTCAATGGCGAACTTTTTCAGAGAGCTTGTAATTATAAGGTAAAAGTATGGAATGTCCTATTTGTTCGATCCTGCTGTTTGATACAGTTTCAACCACAAGTGACTCAACGAGTATCATTTGAGAGTATGAGAGCATCTCTATTGTCTTTAGCACCCTGACCTGGCTATCATCACTTGCGTGAGCTAATTCCTACGGGCATAATCCGTTAGTTGTCCGTTGAGACGAGCGACCGCTGCAGACCTGACCCAGCTGTCATTCTTCGCGATAGATGTTGGCCTTTGCCTTCGAACACGGGTGCCATATCCATCCGGGTGAGATCTCAGGGCAATCGGGTCAGTATTGGTCCTCGAAATAGTTGGCGAAGATTCAGGTAGTCGACCTAGACTAGCCAGCTTTCCACCGCAAGAGCTTTCTTTTCCTTTTTGGTAGCTTTCGAGTATCAGTAACCCCTTTCTATTCAAGACGCTTGCGAAATGAATACGCCCTGTTTCGAGATGACTTTGCAGTCCCTGTTTTCCTGCCGGCCACTTGGCTCACAATCCTTCCTCATAGTCCCTTCCGTGAACACTAGAGGAGCCGCTCGTTTGAGCTTCCCCTTCTGACCACTGGGCGCTGGTTCCGACTTCACTGTTGAGTATTTTCATCAAACTTCACTGGGAACATTGCTTACTGTTCCCCCAACGGAGGCTGCACACGTGTTAGTGTAAGTGCTCTGGCCAAGGGGCTACTGGAACTCCTGAGTTGGATGCCGAAGAGGCTCGAGGTCGATGTTGTTTGGATTGGTGTAAGAAGAGTGTCAAGCCAGGTGAAAGAGCGTCGTTCTAATCTTGTTCTAAGTAGCGCCTCGTCCTGACGGCTGCCTTTTGTATTCATTGTGCTGAGATGTCGGGTCTGGCATCTGCTGTTGTTGCTTTTAACTTGATACTCGAACTCTCTTCCGTCCTCGGGATTTGAATCTCGTCATGTCCTGGGGTTCGTTGATCTCGATGATGCTGCCACTCACTTGACGGATCTCATTGCACCCCCCATGTCGTCCTTTCGTATTCATGACTGAGCGCATATCTGCCTCACAGATGGGTCGAACTGCTGTTTCAATACCAGAACAGGCCTTGACGATATTACGAAATGATGCTCCAGCGTAGCATCCCACCGAAGATTGGATATCCAGCCGTACAGCAGCCGTACGCTGACCACGTTTCAGCAATTCTTCATGGTGTTGTGGTGCGTCCTGGCGGAAAGAGGCTGCTTCCATAACGTTTTTGGAGCATCGCGCTATTGTGTAACGAGAGCGGCTGTCACGCGCCCAGTGGTGTACTCAGATGATTCGGCGGTTTCAGTAGCTTCCTTAGACTCGAATCAAAGAGAATGAAAGCGATCGACGTTATTATTATCCTTACCCCGCCCAGTGCCTCAAAACTCTTTGCATCGGTAGTCAACCTATCGCTAAATAGAGAGTCCTGGCTCTCGTCGTAATCTTCGTGGATATTCGTCGACTATTGCTCGAATCGTTCCATAAGATATAAGGCGCGATCACCTTCGTTGACATCGGGTGGCCCCTTGATTGCTCCGATCCCTTCATGGACCTCTTGATATGAGAGAAACTTTCGATTGACTTGGGTGTAGTTCCAAATCTGGCACCCTTGCGTATCGCGATTCTATAGCTATTTTCCCATTACAATCAGAAACCAGATTCCATACTCCAGTACCGAGTCCCGAAGACCCTTTAGGTGTCTTATTTCTCCTGTCACCCACTTGTAACTTAGTAGGTTTTTTAATCGTCGTTTTTCGTCGACGATAGGATATTGGTGGTTTCGCGGTAGAGAGTGGAGTCACCATACGGCCATGGGACAAAGATTTTGTAGGCTCCTACTCAGGTAGCCGGTCTTTCCAGGTCCAGAGTCACTCTAGGTAAGAGTGACTCTGTATAGTAAATGAGGGAGCTGTACAGCTGCTGAAAAAACGGGAAAATTCCCAGACACCAGTAATTTGATAACTTGATACCATACCCAGGCATTACAACACAATAAACTTCAGCCTTGTGCCCGGCTACGAGCCTTGTGCCCGGCCGTATCTGAGGTTAAACACCAAAATAGCTGTACTCGTATCGTACATAAGTTTCATTAATACCAAAGGCTGTGCCCGTCAGTGACTCTTTCGTCGGCATGACTCCTTTTGCGAACCTTAAGATGCTGATTTTCAGCTATTTAAAGGCTGCTGCTGTTGCTGGCCTGGTCCTGAATGAACCGCCCAGCTCAAGTCCATCTGCACTTGCGATAGTATCGACAATTCTCGCAAATCTTCGTCGTCGCAAACAAGCCATGCGACATCGCTGCAGACAAGAGTGACTCTGTATACGAGCGCCCCGGCAAGAGAGCGACTCTGCAAGTGGGCGTCAGAAAAACAGGGACTGCAAAGGTGTTTCCATCCCAGCTACACGGCGATAGCTCGTCTTGACGGAAGACAGATAGGTCGGCAGGGATCGGTTGTCCCCAAAAAGGAAGGGAGGGAGGCGAGGATGACAGGCGATGGGTGTAACAGCAAGTTTGCTAGGCCAGGCGCAAGCGAACACAGCCATCAAGAACACCCTGAAATGGACTCTAACATGGCTCTCGCAGCGGATATAGGACCACTGGAGGGCAATCTTGACTTCTGGCAGTGCCAAGACCTGCAAGCCGCCACTCTGAAGGTATCCAGGACTTAGATGACTGGTTTATCTCTTCGTTTCCGTGCTTTTTGGTGGGTTGTCGATGTGGCTCGGATGATATCGGGTACTGTCTCCCAAGCGATGGAGTGTCAAGCTGGGGAGGTCAAGAGACACTGCAGGGTGCAAGTCGAGAACTACTGTCTTGGTCAGTAATAAAACCCATAGAACAGTAGACCAAAGCCAAAGGCATACTTACTTGAAGCTATTCACGTTTCCTTAGAAGCTTCCTCAGCTGAATAAGAGGAAACTTGAGCCGTTTGGGCAAGTCGATATTTTGGTGGTCGGGTATTGGAACGTGGACCTCAAGTGTACGTTGTCCTTTAACCGTGTTGGTTCGAAGCCTTCCATCCAACTTGCGCCAATCTCCGTACTCAAGAAGATGACGGAGCGTTACGTGGAGCAACTCAGCGTTAAGCACGTCAATGAACTGCAAGGTGTATGTTCACGTCTCCTTGAAGCCGGGATGGTTGTCGAGGAAGTGAAGACGATAGACCGTTCGGCGGCCCTTGGAATGGGTTTGATAGGGTGGATCTGATTTCTTTGCTTGCTGAACTGGATGCTTAATATGATATATTTGATAAAGCGGCCTTTGAGGGTGCCTTTTTTTTACGATGCATAAATGGGTGTTTTTTTGGGTTATGTTTTGGAGTTTGGGTAGCTCTGATTCTGGAGTGAGATGGGAAAAGTGGGTACTTCCCTCGTAGGTAAACAAGGCAGGTGCGGAACAATTGCCTCCCGTGTCACTTACTCTACACTTACCTGGGTAAGGTACCTACCTACCTACCTACCTTACCTACTAGAGATCAAACCTTCGAGGCGACCAGCTTTACCAACCAAAAGTACAGCCTCTTGCAGCCATGAAACGCTCAAAGATTATCTCGCCAATGTCGCTAGTAATGGGTCACTCGAGCACCTCATCGACACCTTTGATCTGGGAAGAAGTCCGCTTGCAAACGCTTCTTCTAGCTCTTCAGAGTCTTCTAGACCGAGAGACCGTTTGTGGGGCGTTCTAGGATGCGAGCCAGAAGAGAGTTCAGTTCTAAACCTACAAATGCCACGCTCGACAATATCACAATCAAACGCATCACCGACTTCAACCTTGTAAAGATCTCGTAGATCAAAATCAGTTCGAACTCTCATTAAAATAAGAATGAAATAACAAATGAACATGTTTCCTAACAACTATCAAATGATGGTAATCTCACGATTGGGAACTTCCTTGAAAAGAGCACGCGCTTGCTCTTCACTATCTGCTGAGAGTGAACAATAACCATATCGGATAAAATTATCATCATCAAGTTGGCGTAAAGCCAACCCCCGAATATGCCACCATCGCTCTCTTTGTTCCGGCTCGGTGCTGATTGGTATCACGAATACTTCGCCCACATCCACATCGTCCTTCGTATCAAAGTGGACCGACCAGTGGAGTTGATGTATCAACTCCCGATCTTGCACGTCGGCGATGCCTGCACCGGTATCTGGATTCTTCAGCATTTTGATCTCCAAAATTGTCTCAGTCTCAGCGCAAACGGGCAAGACTGTCTTAGGGGAGACAGCCGCAATCACCATTTTACCGCTCAACACAATATTACATATTGTTCCATCTGAGTTACAGGGAGTGCTGATCACCTCGCAGAGCAGGCTAGCATTTGCTTTCTCCAGATTGAGCGTTGGATAACTGATTGGGGCCTCTAAAGACAACCAGCTCCATGATGGCGCGCTGTCTCTGACACGACGAGTGGCAGTTGAGGTAGAGCGCCAGAGTAACTCAGCCGGGAAGGAATTCTTCCACATCCCGGAGAGATAGGTCACCTCCTGTACGCCTTTTTGTTCGAGAAGTCCCTTGATTTTGGAGGTCACATGCGCCAAGAGCCGACCACCTCCATCTTGGGAGTGCATTCCACATTGGGTATACTGCTCTACAATGGTCCGCCATTGCGAGAGTATCTGGGCGATCGGATTAATCGACGGCTGATACTGAATACCGTGAAGTGGCTTGATATCCGACCCAAAGAGGTCTATCTCGCTCTCACGACCTGAACCAGTGTTGATATGTCTAGCGCGAGGATGAACCTCGTCGGCGATGGCACCATAGCACTCCCAAAAGACTATTTTACTCCCAAAATGAACCATGCGCGGAGTGAGAAATCGCGCCTCTAACGCATTCGCACTCCGAGAGAGTGGCTCATCAAGGAAGTTGATCCTCTGCAACCGGGGTTCCCCACTAAGCGGGATAACTGTTCCATCGTTGGCTGTATAGAATTGGTTGTCGTTAGCTACAATACAATCTGGGTCTCTCTCAAAGAACAGCCCAGAAGCTGGAGAGCTTGAGCCAGCCGCACCAATACCAAGGAAGCTGTTGACGTAAATGTCTTTCCTCGCGTTCTCATGCGCAGCCAAATCGGATTTGCTGTCCTGAAGAACACAAAGTCGATCTACCCATAGGTATTGAAGACCCATTCGCTGAACCAGCGTGAATGCATCGCGGTATGATGATGGTAAAATTGACAAAGGCTGTGAGGAAAGAAATTGTTTAGAAGTGGAATGAATCAGTCGAGTGGTGTTATCGTCGGTAGCATAACAGTGAGTCAATGTGGCGTATCGAGCTCCGTGTTTGACATCGTCTTTTAAGACCAGCCGGAAATTTCCGGCAGAATCAACTTGAAGAAGGCGTGGTGGAACAAACCTGCCTGCCTTGGCACATTCCTTATGGCTTCCAAGGCATGTGTTCAGCCAAGCCTCAATGAGCCGGAACGTGGTCTCATCGCCAGTGGATGGACTGAGATTTACATTGAAGTTGTCGAGTGGCCCTAAATACACATTAGCAGAGCTGCCAATCCAGAGAACCAAAAGACATCGACGCATCACTCACCAATCCATCCATTAAGCGTTGTATGATATGACGTACTGTGGTTGCGGCTATACAACGAGATGCTGGATGACACCCTATGAGGGGAAAGTCGTATTGTCTGGTGCTTGAATAAGGAGTGAAAACCTAGTTCGGCGATCATTGGGTTATCCTCTGGAAGCTTTTCGAGGGAGTTCATGCCAACACAGACAGAACAGCCATTGCGGACAGACTGCTCAAAGGACTCCGCAGTGAGATGATGACTGAACATATGGAGAGGTCGATCGACAGGCACTAGAAGAGTCTGCTCTTGAGTTGGAACATAGATATTTCCAAAGCCGCTATCGTGTTTGAATTGTTCAATGGTGCATACTTGCTTCACATGAAGGATTGATTGAGGGTTTATAATCCATTGAAGAGTGTTACAACAAACTTTGCAAAGCATTTTGATCGTAAATTGAAGGCCAGGACAAATTTTCCTGGACCAGGATTGACGAGATTCGGATGTTGGGGAAAGTATGGCGAGGTACTCTAGCTGGATAACTCGGAGAGAGAGAAATTTGAGGGGGGGCAGAGATCCTGAAGGCGCAGCCCAGCGTCCCTAATGAATTTTTTTGCATGTTGGCTCCCACTTCAAAGATGCTGTTGGCCCTTCCATTGCAGGATCAGCTGGCGTGATTCTTCTTGGCTCCCCACTTGGGGCTGCACGTTGGTGATCGCAAGGTCAGCCGGCCTGCTACTCTCCCAAATGTTATCCAATCGCCATACCGTACGGGGAGGGGGGGTTTTCTGGTCCTACTGTGATGCCGACCAAGCTACCTGTCTGTAAACTCGTCCTAGCTATCGCCGCAGACCCTATCTGGCTCTCTGCCGTCAATATAACTGATCGTTGCAGACCCGATCTAGCTATGTCCCTTTGTTATAGCTGTGCCAGAGCTACGGCTACTGCTTGTTAAGATAAGAGATGGTAGCTACCAAGGGCAGGAAATAAGGCAGGTACGTAACCATGCGTGGTTGCCTTGTAACAGGCAGTCTCCCTTCTCTCACGTGTCCAGGGTAGGTGCCTGAGGTAATGTGCCACCAACCTACCAACAACTTAACGGAACAAACCATCTTGATCCGAACCATCGACACGCGCATATCCTCCACTTGACTCAACACCAATTACCTTCCTGGGTGCATATCTCGCCGCATTGACTATCTCAACGTCAACACGCTGCAGTGAGAAGCCCAACCTAAAGCCCTGCGAGCTCAGGGGTTTACCGCCAATTTCTGCCTTGGCCTCACTACCTCACTATTGTATGCATCTCTCTTCGGGATGCCCGAGACGAGCTATTGGTACGTCACCATTAATTTGCACATGATGCCTACACAACCTGGCAGGGGTCGACAAACCAACAATGAGTCTAGGCATCTCTAAAGAAGCATGCTATGGCTTGTACTGCTGGCTCCTGAAGCTGAGTGAGTTTCCCGAGCGGTGGTCCTTGCATTCCTTGCTAGCGGTGACTGATCCTTGGCAGCGGCAAAAGCTTAAAACTACGGGCGTTATGGGTTGCGGAGAAGCTAAGAGCCGGGAATGCCCCTGTGGTACTATTTAGGGACGACAAGGCTCGGTTTAGGTGAACAACAACTCCACCGGTTCAAAGGTCATGGCTCTGCTGACATCTTTTCAGAACGATTAGGTCCTTCTTTCTCCTCCTTCCACCAATAGACCGACCATGATCAACGAAGTTAGCATCCGTGCTCGCTAAGATGTGGACCTCAGAGGTAGTAGGTCTACCCAACGTGACCTACCGGGGTGACAGGTGTACGCCTTCAAAGAAACGGTCTTCTATTTGCACTTCGGAAACAAAGCATTTTCTTTCGAAAGTTCCTACTCCTCGAGGCCACAAACTTTATGCAAGAGGTCCTGCCGGCGGGCAGTCAATTCGGTCCGACATGGTCGGTCCATAGGTCTCTACTGAGAGGAGTTTCTGCAACATGCGCGGAGGTGTGTCGTGTTTACAGCAACTCCTCTCTTGGCCTGCACGATAGGATATAACGCTAACCCTTTTACACCGCATACATGAGCCGTGTCGCGCCGACGCATCTCGTGCTTAATCGTGACCTTGGTTTCTCGCTAAACAAAGGGCCACGCGCAGGCTTACTGGCACCCTGCGTCAAGAACATGTTACCGAAGAAGGTAAACTATTCGATCTTGCAAACATTTTGTGGAGACAAACACTGACTGAGGTTACAGTCGGAGACCCCGATTGGTGCGTCCACTGCAGAAACCCCTATATCCTGCAGACCCTTCAACTTCGCCCGATCTCCCATGAACCCCTGTCCATCGCATACGTCAACGACCCTCGATTATCTGCACTTTATTGACTAGATGGCAGCCGACACTCGCACGAGATTCTTCGAGGCTGGTTGAGAGCCAGCATTCCGAGGAGTATTATGCCGGGTAGGGGTGCGCTGGACGCATGTCACCGAGCCAACGCCCAGCGGTATATCTGGAAGAAGCAGTCCGCCTTTCAAGGTTGCCTGCGAGGCGCTGTTATAGGACACGGCCTGATTCAACTAGACTCGTGGGATGTTTATGCGAAAACCTGTCCAATACACAAGCAAACACAATATGGCGGTATTTCCCGCACAAGTGCTCGCCAATGACTACTATCTACCCATAGGTAGATCGTTGGGCTTTCTTGACCAAAGCGGCACATCGCCTCCTGCGATGACAACCCGCCTGCGAGGGGCTAGATGCAAGGGACTTCACCGTACCCACCCGAATCCTTCCTTGCGTAGGTGGCACATTTCGATGGAACCATACTCTCTTCCGGAAGTTCTAGAAGCTTTCACAAAGTGGATGAAAAGTCCAGGAACTTGCATTTTAGCATCGCGCCCGCAGCCGCGTTTCCACTTCGGTCTGTCCTTGGCCGCAGGATGACGCCAAGCCTGCTCTAAAATAGCCGATGCCTTTGGCGATTGCGCGTTGAGAATATTAACCAGTCGTGGAATGGACCAGGAAACAAACATAAAGTACTAATGATGAGTCCATAGCTCATTGTGCTACAAAGCGAAGGCATTGAACTTGAAGTCACAAAACAAGAGTTCTACGTGTTGGCTGGGGATACAAGGACCAGAACAACCTAGCCTTCCATCTTGTTATGACAAGAAACAAGAAATGGATGCAGTGAAGCCAGCCTCACTTTTCGACTGCAGTGGCTCAACAAACAGTAAGCAGGGGATGCAGTCCGCTCGGAATATGATTACCATTCTCCACCCCCCTCAACAAAACAGACTGGGACATGACGGTGTAGGAGGTCGTTCTCATTCGTCAATGGTCCTGCCAAATTCATGCGGTTCGCACTCGGGAGGAGGGATCACCCGAGTCTAGTGCTCAAGTCGCCTACGGCCTTAGTTTGGGATTGGTCCCGAAGCTGAGTCTGCAACATGTGTTGAGGCTGAGCTGGCAAACTGTCACGGGACTAATAGTTGCCTTGCAGGTACGCGGCTGTCTCCAGCTACCATTCGGGCTTCTTGAACTTGATAGTTCCTGAATCAGTATGATCCACCGACGCATGCACATACTTACCATAACAGTCAAGCGGAAAATCTCGCAAGCGTCTTTGAGGGCAGAATAGTGACTTTACCTTGACGTTTCACAGGTCATTTCGTGCCTGCCCTCCCCTGAGAAGCGAGCCTCGGGCGGCCGCGCATGCACCTCAATTGTGTATTATCGGATCGGCGTTATGCCATGAAACGGCAAGTATTCTATCGAACTTCCTTTCTTGTCCTCATGTTCACATCGGCGGCCACTGGCGAGGTTGTATATAAGCCCCAAGGAGCTCCCGCTCAACAAGATGGCTTTATGACCATCCATCCATCTATCTACTATCCTTATCCATCTATCTATCATCTAGATTAGATACCATCCATTGCAACATTCGCGCTACACAAAGAAATGTCTACTCTTATAGTCGCAGTTGATGTGGGTGAGCTCGGTAATACGAAGTTGCCATCTCGACGTGGACATGCATTGAGCTCCTGTGACCTTGGGTTGGGGGCGCCATTGTCATCGCCAGCCAACGTCAGCGGCAAGGGAGACAACGTGACGCAAGATGTCATTACCTCTCTTCCCTCCCCATCCACCTGCATGTCCTCTGCAGCTGACTACTACAGTGGCGGTGAGTCCTCCCACCATCTCTACTCCCAGCGTCGTATTTGCCTCCCACAGCGCCCAAGGGAATCCCATTGGTCCAAGATACTGAGACAATTTTCATTAGCAGTTGATTTAAATCTCTCCCTCCCTAGCCGTTGCTCTACAACTCGAATCTCAGGAATCCATCACCTGGCAGTTGACCTCAAACTGTCCACCACCCACTTGCTCTTCAAGCTCTGCTTCCCGAGTACATGCTGGCCCAGCTTGATAGTGGCTGCCGGCCATTACGTCGTGCCCAACGGTAGTCCCTCATTCTCCACCTCCAGTGGCAGCCCCAGACGCCACACGCATAGGGAAGGCATCCAGGCGAACCATGGGGGTGATGGAGGGGGTCAGCGCGAAGAGTGGCGAGAAATAGGAGGAGAAGGAGGGCCATCACAGCGAACCTCGACCGACCCCGTCGAAGTTTCCGAGTACTGGGCCTGCCCATTCTACAAGTTTGATCCCATAAGGCACTGGCGCTGCTACCGGAAATACAACCTCAAACGGCTGGCCGACGTCAAATCTCACGTCATGCGAGTCCATCTCATGAGCGAACTCTACTGCCCCAATTGCTTCCGAGAGTTCGACGATACGCAAGAATGGCGCCAGCATTGCAGCCACCCGGTCTCTGCCTGTCCTCAGGTCCAGGGGCCGGAGCCCCTTTTCCGGGAGGACTTTGATGCCCTCGGTGATGTGTTGGCTGCCGCGCAGGGGTTAAGCGAGGCAGACAAGTGGTACCTGATGTTCGACCACATCTTCCCCGCTGCCGTCTGGCGCCGTCCAGCTTCTCCCTTCGTCAGCTTATCTTTCGACGAGCCACTCAGTGTTATGCGCGCCCATGCATCCCGACAGGAAGAGCTGCAACGGAGCATTCTATCAGTGCTCCAGCGTCATCAGATCCCCTTTGGGGGAATAACCGGGCCGAATGCGCTGCAGGTTGATCTCGTGAATGCAGTGCTCCCTATGTCAGCAGCGGCTATGGCGACAACTCCGCCATACCAGCGAGCCGTTCATCCATCTCGGCTTGGTGCTTGACATGGTGGAAACTGTTAAGACGAAGGGACTGCAGAGACAGGGCGAAGAGGACCTCGCTCAACTTGCCCCAACGATGCTTGCACGTCCGGTACGCCGTGCCAGCTACAGCTTGAAAGACGATTCTTGTTTCAGATACTGCTTTCCAAGTCTGAGTTATGTTGTCTATCTGCGATTTCCATCATACACTGGGTAAGATACTCACAGTCTTCCCATTTTAGCACACATTTCTTTGTCTTTGCGTTCAAGCGGTGTCAAAGTGGTAACTTTTCACGCCCATTCGTCGTTGTGGGGAGATAGAGGAGCACCACCACAACAAGCGTTCAAGCTGTTCATGAAGATGGAGGCCATATTCTCCCGGAGGTGGATTCAGACACTATTATCGCAGTTGTTTTCCGAGTCTCGTGTTCGCCGTCATGGTTTGACGTCTATCCTCGCCAGCAATCACTTGAAATATTTCACCAAAGTATCGGAGGGGCATTCTGAGGCGATCGCACCGTAGGCAATATTGGCAGATGTTGAGTCCAATACATTTATTTCAGTTCTTAGTTAATAAAATGCTCGTTGCCTCGACTCTCGCTTGTGTGGCCATCATGTCAGCTGCAGCAGCCCTTTTCGGTTTGCCTTGTTTTTTCCTCCTTTTTAGCTGCCACTGCTTCCTTCTCTTGTGCCTTATTTTTGTACAATTTCCGTCTTTGCAACGGTGAAGGGAGTGTCGCCCCGGGGGATCGGTCAGCAGGTTTCCCCAGGGTTAAGGTTAGGGTTGTTCCCCTGTTCTGCTCTCAACAATAAGATATCTTAATGGAAGACCTAGAGAAAACCTGTGTGCATATTTAAACAAAAGCAGTAATCATGTGAAGAGGAATGGCGTACTTGACGATGGCACGCTGGTTGCAGTCTGAGTAATCTGAAGCCGCAATTGGTATTGTTGCGCATAAGCGTACATGCAAGCCTCTAAGCCAATGCCAAGCCTCCATCGGTATTCTCCCATGACTTCGCTACCGTAATTTGCCCGGTGTTAAGGGATGGGCTCAGTTTTTTTGGGGGCTTGCTAGCCACTGTGATCACCCAGTGACTGTCCTTGAAAGTTGCGAATGTCAATCGCGTTTGGTGGTTGAGAGAGCTTACTGCTGTTTAGTTGCGCACATCTTGGGAGAACAGTAATAAGAGCTGCTGGACGCCGACCAGCACCTGCGCGACTGAGATTGTGTCGTTTCTTTGATCCTTCGATATCGGCTCTTCCCATCATAACGAAGCACAATTCGGTAACCGTTGGATTGTTCACCCACTAGATACATTGAACCATTTAGCTATTCAGTGTCGTGTAATTCTGTTGCAGGAGAGTCCGGTGACATTGTCGTAGTGTCATCATCAACCAGACCGGGCGTAGACCGTGTTGGTTCAAAGTTTCTCTTCATTCCTGCTGTGATAGATAGTGGTTGAACGCCTCTAAGTCAGAATCCATGCCAGAAAGCAGTAATACCACCTGTATGTACCGAATCTTATGGATGAGTGGCTGGATAACGAAGCACGAGAGCTTCTGGCAATGAGACTATTTGTTTCGGCTCGTGGCCGACATGTGCTGAGGCGGACAAGGTGGTGCTACGCCCAAGTACTTCCCCCTACGCCCTCCCCAGCTGCAACCGGATTCTTTTCTTCTCCCTACTTCGGGTCGCATTTCTTCGCTCCTGACACCTTTTGCGGTTGGAGGGTGGCTTTGAGATGATCACCCCGATCAAACATGGAGGGACGTGTTTGTGGTTGCTCCTTTTCCGCTGTGTCTATTCGCGCCACAGGAGGCGAGTCAAAATGTCACCACAGAGGGCGTCCGCAATCGCTCTAGTTGACAATCGGTTGAATTATGCGTGATATACATGGTGGAAGATTTCGAGAGACATTATTCTAATCGTTCTATTGGGGGGTTTGATTAGACTCGCGTGATTCCCAGGGATTCAAGTACGATGTACCCTACTTGCCCAAACTCTCTCGGGTTCCAGCAGAAGCGTGTCCAGGAAAAGTCGTAGTAAAGGGAAACAACAAGGCAAAGCGCAAGCCGACAACCAGACAGGAGGCTCTGGTTCTGTCTCTGGGAGTGATTGCCTTAGGTATTGGTCCAGTATTGAGGTCGCAAGTGAATTAAGCCCCTGTCAATGAATGGGATGGGTTTCCGACTCGGGCTCGAGCGCGCGGGGCAAGGTTGGCCGAAAGCATAGGGCATGGAAAGGATGCTGTAAGGCTTGTACTCGTCGTGTTTGGGCTTTTAGTCACTCGGGGTTGCTGATTCGTTGATCGTGTGTCTTCATGTCGAGATGCGAGCCAGGGGGAGTGGCCATGGACAGAATCGACTCTTCTCTCTCTCTTGGACGGGTTCTTCTCATCGCATCTCACCTAGAGGTTTTCTAGGCAGTGGTTAGCAGGCTGTTTAAGACTGTGAGAGAAACTTCTTTGACCTACTAGCTCTGCTCTGTTGATAAGAACGGCATTCCTGTCTGTAGGGATGCGGCGGATCGGTCGCCATGCTGCTGTTGACGATTGTTTTGGCTCGGAAACAAATTCTGTCCAACATTTTGCGCTGCGAGTGAGAACAAAGGGAGGCGGAAGGACGAGGTTCGGTCGGAATTGGATTGAAAATCAGATGATGAGTAACAAAGGTGTGCGTCCATAGCAACAAAGAACTGAAGGCCGAACTAGGACACTGTTTCAAATACTAACGAGTCTTCGGGCTCCCTTCACTGCTAATGTCCGAACAAAGGCGTGCCCAGTGCCACCAGTGTCCGTACCTGCCTATGTACCTACCTTAACCACCTTGAGTATTTGGCAAAACTCACCGCTTTGGCGAGCTGCTGCTACCTATAACCGACCTTCAAGCTCTGTTAATCGCTTACAAACCACCATGTCCGATCTTCTCATGCGCCATGTGCAGCCAAATGCCACCCAGCATCATGACCGCTACGAACAGCAAAATTGTTCTCTTCACTTATCCCGAATCGCTTTGAGGGAATAAGACCGCCGCTGCCTACGCGTAACACCGGCAGGTCGAATTTACTGGATATCCGCAACCAAGGAATGAGCCCCCGATCCTGGTAGAAACCCCATCGACACCTTGTCATCCCTCACCGGAGCAGTTCGCTAACATCCGTGGGCAGGAAGTCTACTTCGATACGCACCAGGTGATGGGGAAGTTCAAGAAGCTGGTGCCTTTGACCCCGAGCAGCGCTAAGGGCGTGATCGATCGCGCAATGGAGAAGCCATTCCAAGCATAGGTCGAGCCGGTCGCCTCCCCCAGGGTATCATTGCTAGCCTGGCTGCTAAAGTACAACCAACGACGCCTGAATGAAGGACAAGATGGGGCTTGTTGGCTGACTTCTTAATGCCGAGGCCCAAGCCAAGAGAAGGCCCGGGGTTTATGTGAAGGAGAGCAAACCTCCAATCGTTCGAGGAGCCCAATGAGCAACAATCGAAAGTGGATACGAGGCTGAAAGGGCATCTAGCTGGAAACATGGAAGGTAAGCGAGCCGTTGAAGAATGATCTTGGCAGCATAGCTAACGGCAGGTAGCCACTTCCACGATCGCCTGGGTCTTCGGCGTGCCGAACAGTCTACTTGACAATTATTCCGGAGCCCAGTATTACCCGAATGCTGCGGCGTCTACGAGAATTCCAGGAGAAGCTGGGTACAAAATCGGTCACAGCACTATCTGGCAGGATGCCCTCACGACTTTGCCCCTATCTAGCTTTGCTGAAGAGGCCAAGGAGGTCTCCAAGGATCCCACAGCGCGACTTTATGGCGACTGGTGAGGAGATTCCCTCCCATTTTCCCAGAGGTATGTTCCCTGTGGTGGCATTCCCAGAAAACCACCTATTTTGATATGGTATATAACTTTTGTCTCTATTGATAGTCACTCGCTCTATTTTACCCCTCGAGATTATCATTAACTGTGCATATTCGTATCATTAACGCAAGGAAAAAAAGAAAGAAGAAGCACATCTAGTATGTGATAGTGACCTCGGTGGTTCGGACAATGGCCTTCTTCCCACCCTCCTCGTGCAGGATAGTCTCTTGGCTCCCCGTCCTCTCTGGAGAGCCGTTACCCTTCTGCGTGTCATACGGACCAGGTGAGTTGGCGGCATCTCTTGCGCTTGCAGTAGCCCGGTACTGAGACCGCAGCTCAAACTCCGTGCCGTCCGTCCTGCTAGTCTGTTTGGTGTACCCCTTCGAGCCGGTTCCACCGATGGTGTACAGCCCCGTTGCCCGGCCACTTCGCTGGTTTTGGTATCCGCCGGAGCCAGTGTAGCCGTATCGGGGCGTGAGGCTTGTAAGTTGCAAGATGTTCCTGACCAAGGGCTTCAGCGATGGACCGCATGCGGCAATGATACCGAGGTTGAGCTGGAGACTGGAAAGAAGTCAGTATGGCAGCTCGGTCTTCTAGAGAACAGGTAAGACTCACAGGCCCCAAAATTGGACGTCATAGGTGCTGATCATAAAGTCGTTAGTCAAGTGCGAAGATTCATGTGGCGGAAGCCTGCTTACAAAGTACCGTCCCCTAGAGGATTGTAGTCGATTTGAGCTACGGCCTTCATAATGCCCATAATAACAGCACTGCAGGCTCATTAGCGATGTCTTATTCTTCGAGCGCAGTTCAACCTACACATAACCAAGACTCAAGACACCGACGAGATACAGGCGGGTCTTGAGGGGCATCTTCAGAAGCCAAACGATTGGGACTGGAAGAGTCGCAAAGGCAACATCGGTGAAAATGTTGAAGGCTGGTATTTGGGTCAGTGGGATCAATCAAAGTTTCGCTGCGAACGTTCACCACGTACCCGTATTGATCAGGCCAAACTTGACGAACAAGCTCACGGAATAGCATGAGCCTTCAATGCTTGGATCCCAATACTTGGCCATCGGCCTACAGAACAAAAAGAAACTGAACCACGCCATCAAGGTGTATGCAACCACAAATCCTAGTCCTGGGTTAGTCGACAGTCCAAAAGGGGGGCGCGCTTGGGAACGAACCGATGAGGCACCACAGCACCGTATTGTACCATGCCAAGGCATTGCCCTTGAGCTTCATGAGCTCGAGCGCAATAGCAATCTTAAGGAATGCGATACCACCCATCAGAGGTACAATGGACTGAATGAAGCTGAGCTGGGTGAATGGAACGAGATCCGCGGGCGGGATGGTATCTTGGTGACGACCCAATCCATACGGCACCTGCATGAATATTGTCACAGTGCCTCCCAGCAATGAGCAGAGCTAATGTTCGTTCAATTAGCAGGTCGAACGAGACTTGGCGGCTCCCCGCGCGCGCGTTGCATCGCAGAATGTCATCACCACGGGATGCATGGTCAGGGGTGCAAGCGGAGTGATTGCCTTACCACGGACAATATCATGAACGCATCCGGGAAAGCGAACGATCGGACCAGGAATAAGCGAGTGTAGGACCTCAAGACGACGATTATGAGGGCAAGGACATGGAAAACCGTGGTCACGCCCACGATCTGGGCCACGCGACTCTCCGCAGCCCTGGCCGGATCGACAGCACTAGTCTGGGTTTCGCTCATCTTGCCGTGATTGCGAGGACGATCGACCGAAAACGAAGAAGAGGAATCCCAAGAGTTGAGATCGAGGGTATGTCGGGATATAAGATATCACAATGCGCCTCCCCCGTTCTTTGAGCGCGCAAGAAAGTGGCTTGACTTAGGTCGCCCGTCGTGTCCGATTATTGTTTGGGACGAATATTGATCAGGGAGGAGGGTGAGACTGCTTCTTTCGTCCTTGCTTTCTTTTGCCACGGAACTTGCCACGTTCGTTTTTGGGTCCAGGATGGCGGAACGGGCGTCAAGACCCCCCGAAAGGATTCTAGACTGTGAAATATTTGTTCGTCCAGGGGTAAAGGCGGCCGCGGATTCGGGCTCGTTCTCCAGATCATCGTATCTGGCTGCAGGTTCTACGATGAAAAGGGAAAGTCGGCCTGAATGCGATTAAGGGAGGTGTGGAGAGGCGAAGCTTTAGGGCAAGGAACCAATGCAGCTAACACGGCGGCCTGTTCCTGGCTCATATTGATCTCTCGTGGCCTCGATCTTTCAAGCCACTGCCAAATTCAAGGTTGTCTCCCCCATATCACGCCGTTTTAATCCTCCACCAGGGCTGTTCGGCGAGATGAGGCTGGATCTCGTTGGGGCCAATTTTCTACCACACCAGCGATGAAGCTTACACCCATTCGGGCGTTTGATGCGAACCGAGCGGGAGATCATCCAATCTCTGTTAGCTGGCCGTGGACACTGACTCGATGACAGAGAGTTTGTCATCGGCCGAAGTTCGAACGAGTTCTAGTTAGCCCGCATTCCCAAGGGCAATTAGGCTAATGCAGCCTTTCATCAAGGCGGAGCAAGACGAACAAGATGTGGGTTTTCACATAAGCAATGGCGTTTTTTAAAACCTTAGTTTGGGTTAGGGCAGTTCGTCCCAGCTCCGGGAACTGGAAGCCGCAAACTAGAGTCTGCAGTTAATCGAAAGCAGAATAGGTCGTGGTATTTGTAAGACCCGGCATTTCGGGGAACGCCCGAACAGCTCTCAGCCCCTGGAAAGGAGGGTGACTAGTGAGAGGCAGCACTCCTTCTTGTGAGGCCTCAAGAAACAACCATCAGCAACAGAGGCCAGCTCAACATGATCCCCCGCATTCTCAGGGAACATCGCCAAACAAATAAGGGCTCTGTTTACCGCCCGGCTAGCGAGCAGATGTGGCTTTCACAAAACGTCCGTCCTGGATCCCTATCGGAGATTTTTGCGGTGATTTGGGCAGAACTGAGTGCCGACTGAGCGTTGCTAGCTCACCCAATAATTCGGAACCTCAGACCAGGAACCGGAAATAACGGCTGAGCGTAACCCATCTTTATACCTCCCTCGCGCGTGTGGCGAGGCGCTAATAACGAGTGTCAGCTCGACGGTCGGTTGCGCTAACAGCAGGAAGTTGAGCCGTCGGTACTAGTTAATCACGCATTTGCTGCACTGCCGGCCGCAGTGAGGAATATCAGGAAGACGTTAAACGAGATTGCCCCTCGCTTTTCATTAGACCGAATGCGTCCATCAGTTCGCATTCCCACTTCCACAACGCAGGGCCGCGGCTCCGACATGCGCCCAGCACGTGTTGTGCCAGGCGCATTATGCAGGACAGGGGCAAGGTCGCTATTGTCAAGACCCCTACACGTATTTCCAGAAGGGGCACTGCTGGTCCGGATCCAGAACGCTAATCAAAAATCGTCCATTCGATGCCAGAGGGGCGGTTGAGTTCGAGATGTCTTTGGAAATCAATAAACTGCCCCCCCAATCTGCTTGGCACTTGCGCGGTGCCTAGCGCTGAAGGACTAGACTCTCAGGTCAACAGTATACATAGTATAAGGCAAATCTCGAGGGATCGGCAGTCTCTCTCCTTGCTCATCTCATTCTTCCCATCGATCCCGTGATTTCAGTCGCTAATTGTGTTGGCACGATGCATATCTCACGAGCAATCATCCTGGGCCTTGCCGGCCTCTCGCGCCTGGTCGTGGCCACCGAGGATCAGAACGCTACCGACACTCTCATCGATCTCAACAGCCAGGCCATTGACGCGCTCCAGGATGCCGCTGATGACACCCAGACTACCAAGAGAGCCAATGGCTGCTCGCTCTCCAACGCTTCCGTTCGCCGAGACTGGTAGGTTTCCTGCCCCCTGTAAATCTTTCCAAACCACGTTTCACGATTGCTAACCTCTCTCTTTCTGCAGGAAGTATCTGTCATCCAATGAGAAGAAGGATTATATTAATGCTGTCCTCTGCCTGACAAAGAAGCCCTCCAAGGCCGACCCTGCGTTTGCCCCTGGCGCCCGCACCCGATATGACGACTTTGTTGCCGTGCATATCAACCAGACCCTGAGCATCCACGGAACTGTAAGAAGCCCGCCCTCCTACCGCACTCGCGAATGATTCTATGATTCTAACAACCGTGCTAGGGTAACTTTTTGACATGGCACCGTTACTTCACCTGGGCCTACGAGACCGCCCTGCGCAACGAATGTGGCTACAAGGGAGCCCAGCCCGTAAGCACCAGCGCCACTATTTTGTTTGATGAGATTCAAGATCTAACATTACGCAGTACTGGAACTGGTTTGATGGCTCCAACTTCAAGAGCTCGCCCCTCTTCGATGGAAGCGACACCAGCATGAGCGGGGACGGATCGTATGTCGAGCACGACGGTGCCCTCTCCGGCCTCAACAACATTTACATCCCCTCCGGCAACGGCGGCGGCTGCCTGAAGGATGGTCCCTTCAAGGGGTAAGGAAACCAAATGAGATTCCCGTGACACCAACCGTATGCTAACCCAGCCCAGACTCCAGGTCAACCTGGGCCCCGTCTCCCCCGGCATGGCCGGCATGACAGCCAGCCCGACCGGCGCCTTGGGCTACAACCCCCGCTGCCTGCGCCGCGATCTGAGCAGCTACCCCGTCGACACTTGGTTCACCGCCCGCAACCTGTTCAACGTGACGCTCGGCGCCGCGTCCGGCAGCATCGCCTCCTTCCAGAACGAGCTACAGGGCCGGTTCGGCGACCAGTTCCTCGGCATGCACGCCGCCGGCCACTTCACGATGGGTGGCGACTCGGCCGATCTGTTCTCGTCGCCCAATGATCCCATCTTCTTCCTGCACCACGCCATGGTCGACCGTCTGTACTGGGTCTGGCAGGCTCTGCACCCGCGGGTGGCCAAGGATATCTTTGGTACTATTACCATTCTGAACATGCCCCCTAGTCGTGATGCGCTGAAGACGGATATCCTGAACCTGGGTGTCCTTGCGCCGTCGATCAACATTGCGGATGCGCTGGATACTCTTGGCAACTCGCCTTTCTGCTACATTTACCTGTAAGGGCTGCTTGGCAGGTGCGCATTGCGATAGAATTAGATATGGAGATGATGTAGACTTAGTAGTAATTGTTTGCGTCTAGCAAATTTAATGATTCGAACTTTTGGTTTTAAATTTGAACGCGATGCTTGTCTTTGGTGTATTGAGGGATCAATGTGCAGGCAGGTGGGTGACATAAAACATGGCATACCAAAGCTCTTTTCGCGTAGGGCAGCGATATTGTTTTTTATTAAAGACAGTAACAAGATAATGATGAATTATTCTACGATATTGAGTTTGACATTGTATTTATTGCTACGTTAATTTTGATGTTGTGTTGAAATGCAATGCAATGCTGCAGCACTAGATGTGCCATATTTCCTATTAATTACTTAGCGGAATATTGTACTCACGGCATCGGGGTCAATGGGCTGGATGTCATGAGCTGTCAAGACGGCGGCGATTGCTTCCTTGACGGTTCTCTTCATATGGTGCGTTCCACTTGTGTTCTATGTGATTGGTATACTCCGTCATAGTCGCTGCCGCTCATCTCATCCTCCATCCGAGGACTCGTTGATCTGGTCAAGCTGGCCCACCTATCGTACAAAGTATTGCGCACCCGATTTCGAAAGGACATACCAGCGTAAGACAATGGTATCAACGAAGACCAGAACGCAAATTTAGGTTTGAGACGCTGCTAAAGGCACGAATTATAGAAATTATGATGAGATATCTTCGAATCCAATTCTCTAGAGATGCGAGATTGCAACAGGGCCTGTGGCCTCCTCGGGTGTAGGGTAGGTAAGCCCCCTCGATACTCGAACCACCCTGCCCAACACATTCTGGAGCACAATTTGACTTTGTTATACTGGGTGCTAATGGGGTAGCAGTGAGAAAACAAGGTAGCGATGCACCTATTATTAAAAAATAAAGTCTGTCCTGTCAATTCGGGTACGAGACCTGTGATGCTGTGCCATGTCTACTATCCCTTCGTACCTGCCGTGGAAAAAGAGGGTCCTACTTTTCCATAGCCCTCTTCATAGCCTGAAATTCCAGGAATTGCTGATACTCCTCCATCTCATTTCTACCAGATCCTGCCTTGCTGGTCACAGATACACCCCGATCCTCCCCATTCTCCTCCTCATCGCCCGACTCCCCGCTATCACTCCCGGAATCGCTCTCTGTCACACTCAACTCGTCTTTCGCCGACTTGAACTTTGTCTCTAGCTTCTTCGTAGTCGGCAACTCACTCCTGAGCGGTGTCGCGTGCCCTAGCTCTTGCAGCTCAAATGTGTCGTCGCGCCACTGGTCGCGGATGGCAATGTCCGCGTCCCTGCCTTGCAGAGTCCGCATGAGGTAGTCATCGAATTGCCTGGACCCCTCGGCAACGACTTCGAACTGTTTCTTGCCTAGGGAAGGCTTGGGGTCACCAGGCTGCATCTGCGAAACGTCATATTCAACCAATGCAATGGCGGTCTGAAACGCATTGCGAATTTGTCTGGAAAAGTGATCAATGTCAGTTTGCCAAGGCAGTGCTTTGAATATATGCATGAGGCCATCACTTACCGACCGTTCCACGTGTTGAACCCTGACTTCTTTAGGCTCCGGTAGTTTCTCTTAGCAAAGCGACTTATCTCCTTAGACTTAATGTCGAACGTCGAAACACCAGACTTCCGTTGCTCCTCCTTGGTCTTGCGGAGGAACACGTCGAAGAGCTTCTGCGTTCTATCGAGATCGAGCCGTGGATAGAAAACACTCAGATGGATCCGGGACTTGAATGCCGGATCGATTCCGCCGACTCTGTTCGTGGTCAGGAACAAAATACCAGCGTAATAATCCAGGCTCCTCAGGAAAACGCTCGTCACAGCATTCCGTCTCAGGTCCGTCTTGTTTCTCTTCGCCAAAAAGATATCGCTTTCATCAAGGAGGAGCACGCATCCCCACCTGTGAGCCAGACGAAAATTGTGCTGCAGGTTGCGTTCGACTTCCATGGCCGCCTCCCCGATATCACCGCAAGTAATGGGGAATAAGGGGCGTTTGGTTCGGTCGGCAACGCACTCTGCCGTCGAAGTCTTGCCCACACCTGATGACGCTGGGTTAGTGACCTGATGGAAGCGAGTCGCTTTGGCAGTTACGTACCTGGTTCACCATGTAAGAGCAGGATCAGGCCCGTGCCCTTCCCCGTCACGAGATCGAGAGAGGCCCCAATTGAGTGTTTCTTAGCACCTGGCGAGAGCCTCGCCTTCTCATGGGTTTCCACCAAGGCCAAGATGGCTTGCTTTTGCTTCTCGTTCATCATCAGATTATTGAAGTCGTTGTCAAAGGCCACATCTGATAGGTCCCGAGTCTGCACTGTCACCCACTTCCGAAGCCTTAGCACGAAGCCGTATATCGAATTTGGAAGAAGAATCAGGTCATCAGCAAGCTCTCCCTCCGTTCGCGGCCTCATAAACTCCGTGAAGGCTTTCAGTTTCGGGTTGCGCTGGTCGATATTCATAGTTTGATCTTTGAAAGCGATGTCGCCACCACAACAACCTTCCGCATTCAGGCTTTGGTGTCTGCACGCCTGAACCAAAAATGTCTCTCTCAAGTCGGGCTTGGTCAAGTGCTCTTCATTCACGACAGGAGGTGGCCGCCAATCCGGTTCAGTCCTGAGGGCCATGGCAACATCAATAACAACCTGCCCCTCGATTTCTTCCGGCGTGTCGTCGACTGTGCGACCACGAAACGTAACATGGGAGTATGGGCGGCGCGTGAGATCTAGGTACCTCTCCCCGTTCGACATCAATTGGTCCTTGATTGCGCTGGCGTCGGGGTCAAAGCGTATCGGGTATACTTCCAGAGCAGGTATCTTCTTGAGACCGGTGAACTTGCTGATGTTGAATTTGTGTAGTCGCGGCACATAGAAGGACCCGTCGTAACTAACACTCATGCAGTCTATTGCAAAGCCGTAAATCGGGGGCGACTGAAGATCTTCGACGTTCATTTTCGTTGCGAGTGGCTCACGGCCACCCGCTATACCCAACACTTTGAATGCTTGGTGGTTAGCATCTCTTCTTGTGATGATGTCGCCTACTCGGAACAAGTGCCATAAGTCCGGATAGGCAATGTCTTCCAATGTGGCGTCGTCAACGGATTGGCGCAATTTGTATGTTGGCTGCAGTGCCGTGTCCATGACTTCGATGAGCAGATTCAAGTCCGCAAGGAGATGTTTCCACTCAAACGCAAAAGGGCCCATTGCACCGGTCAGTGTTCCTTTTGTATTTCCCGTCGTCATCGTGTTTTCCACTTCAATTTTTACTTTTGAGACGCTGTCTCGGATAGCCTGCTCAAATAAAAATAAGACCTTGAATGGACGCAGGAGAACCAACGAGGGTCTTGACTCAATTGATGTGACATGAGCCAGACTAAAGGTTTCTCCACAGATTTTCTCCAAGTGGCCAAGCAGTGACCAGGACCGAATCCGCACTCTTTCTGGAATCTTGGCCGTAGCTTCTTGGTTTTCGGGCTGGCCGCTCGTGGAATCACGCCGAACATTGTCTTGAGAATGAAGCAATGTGGACCCTTGAGAATACAGTATCTCAATGGCGGGCAGCTGGATTGGAGGCAAATCATTCTTTTGATCGGGATTGCGAAACTCATCTATGGGCGTCCAACTCAGAGCCGGCATAAAAACCGGGCAATCTTCTCTCCCTTGGTCCTTGAAGTCGTTGCGGCCCTTCTCCAGCTTCTCCTGAAGTTCCCCGAGCTTGGTCTCGACATCCAAAAGTCGATACTCGGTGGATGCCACATGAATCATGGCTTGCCTTGAGCGCAGCCTCATTTTGCCCCGGAGCTTTTCCTTCCCGAGCTCCTTTTCCCAGTCTGCCATCCAAAGGAGGCTATTGGCAAGTTGCGCTGCCTGGTAGAATGACTCCGGTTCATCATTATCGCCGGTATTTTCATCATGCTTGCTAGCTGCATCGGCGTTTGCATCTGAGTCATCACCGTTTGCGCGGTCGCCTACAGCAGTTGGATTTATAGCCGGCGTGTTCGTACGGCTTGTCGATGCCATGGCATCGTTCGGTAACGAAGGGCCACCCGAAGAAGCGCTTTCTTCCATTGAGATCCTTTAGGCCCAATTCGTTCTGAAAAAGAGTAGGAATGTCCGCGATTTGCTACCAGGAAGCTTGTATTTCCCGTTCATCACAAGGCCGTTGGAAACGGGCTCAGCAATATATGTGCATGCGGGGCATGAAGAGAACACCCATAATCAATCTGACTGCCTCGACGTTGCATCCAAGGGTTTCATTTGCGAAGCCAACGAATGGATTGCCGCCATGTGTGTCTTGGCGTACGCACCTCGCCTATTAGATGTAAGCATTGAACGAGGCACAGCGCAAGGCGCAGAGGCAACCAACTATTAACCCCTCATAGAGGCAACCTTCCGGCGTGTAGGGCGCGAACCGTTATCCTTTCAAAAGCGAAACCGAGTGTACAACCTCTGACTTTCCAATGTTGGGTATTATCGCTTTCGACAAGATCTAATTCATTCCATGATGACTGAGGCCGAAAGAGAAGACTACTTGGCCAGTAGGATGGAGCTTCCTTCCACCCATACGGCCACCTTTATAGAGAACCAAGTTCGAGTAGCGGGCGAACCGGCGCCCGTTTTTATCAACAGATTAAACCGCATCGACTCACTCGAAGTAGCAAAAACCCAGCAAAAAATAAGGTAAAGGGGGCCCTGTTTCTATTCAGATTGATTTCCGTTGCAATCATTGGTGTGTGTTTCTTACCCAGCTCAGTGACGAACTGTGGAAGGAGGCGAATGCGGAAAAGACAGCTTTGCTAGCTCTCATGGATCAGGTTCGTGCCAAGCTCGATAAGAGCAATCCCGTTACGGCACATATATCCAGGCTAGACGCAAGAACGTGCTCCTGGGATCAAGTCCTGCAAGAAGTAGAGATCCTAGCTTCCCGTTGGTCATCGTCGCCCAAAAGAGCCTCAAAGATGCTCCATTTAGATCGCTTGGGTAGGAACTCCGAGGCCTTCCAAGCATGGATAGGGTTGTTACCCGTGGGGGACTTCGGATCCAGGTTGATTCCTCAACTGTTGTGTCTGCGTGTGTGAATATGACTGACAAGAGCTATAGCATATGTGGCGTTTTCACAATAGCTCTCAATGTATACTCTCTAGTCTCCGTGAGATGGCAAACAAACATGAACTAATACAAAAGTAGGCTGCTGGTCAATACGTGAAGGTAGAAGACGCGATCATCGATGCACTGGCTCAGATACCAGAGGCAGTCAGCGACACCAGACGATACATCAAGCTCTACGCCGAGACCAAAGACCACCGACTTGAAGAAAGGACGTTTGATCTTTACCTATCGATTCTAAAGGCACTGAATCACATTATGAGATTTTTTGCAGAGCGATCTGTCAGTTAGTTGCTCGTGGCCCTCCACATGCTGCCGGCTCATGGTTTGTTTTAACACAAATTTCGCAGATAAATTTGCTGGATCTCTGTTCAAGCAACACTCATACCAGAAGGATCTCTTTTCGAGCATAGACAACATCAAGGCCCAGGTCTCGCGGGTCAAGGAGGAGTCTGAGCACTGCATGCAGAGACGTGTAGCAGATATGCAAAAATCTATCGTCAACACGGACCAGAATGCCACCAAATCGTTGCAACTTCTTCAGGCGCTATACAACCAACTTATCTTGCAAGAGCCACGCTCTTCATTTGATCAAGGTGAGCATGAACGCAAGAGCCATTCCACCGACGGGCACTGATAGTGATCAAAATTTGTTAGGTAACAACATGATATCGCTAGGAAGAAAACTTTCAGGTACAAGGATGCACGAAATATACAGCTTTTCAGGAAGTTTCAGGACTGACGATGGATTTTAAGGAGCACCCGCCTCGAATAATAAGAAGCAGTTGGACAGCCTTTTAACAGCAGTTCAATTTGATGGTGATGCTGTTTCTAGGGACATTCAGACATGCCTACGCAGTGGTCATGCCTCGGATGAAGCGTTCCAAGCCAAGGCAGCAAAACTCATTGAAAGCCCGCAGCTCAAGAATTTCATTGTCAGCAATGCGAACCAGGGAGCGTTGCTTATCAACGGGAATGAAGACATGTCTGCCACCGAGGGAATATCTCCCGTTAGCCTAGTGTCTGCAAGAATAGCAGTTGCTTCCGAGAGTACGCCTCAGACACTAAGTCTCTCCTTTTTCTGCACGGAACATCATCCATACGGTGGCCCTCCTCGCCCACCTGCGCCCGCAGTAATGATGGCCACTCTGACTGCCCAACTTCTCACCAAAATGGTGGAAAGATCTTTAAGCATCGACCTGTCCTTTTGTGATGACCTTGAGATGGAGGATATTTCCGGGCTGAATCTGAAAACCCTGTCTCTCATATTCTCGGAACTCGCGAAACAGATACCCGAGGGTACGATTTTGGTCTGCCTCATTGATGGCATCGATATGTACGAGACGGGGGATTTTCGGGAGGATGTCGATACGATCATAAGAAGGATGGCGAGGCAGGTATCGAAGCGAACCAAAATGATATTCAAGTTGATTGTAACTTGCAGCGGTCGGGCCAGGGCGATTCAGACCCATTTCGCGTCTGTCATCAACATGGAGGAGTCAGTCGAGCCGGATGACTCATCTCGATGGAGAATTGACAATTCAGATATTTTGGAAGACTTACAGCACACGGGACCTTAACAGGCATTTTTCATGGAAAAAAGGGGTAGGGTTAGGGGCGAATCAGAAACCGAGGCATCCTGGGAAGAGCGCCTTTTCAGGCTGGGACTTGACCACAGTCCATGAGCTTGAGCGTAGGTAGTGGACAATAGAACCTCGCATGTAATCATACTAATGGGTTGTTTGAAAACAAAATGCAATAAAAAAAAGTGCACAAACCAGCTTTGTTTCAGAAATGGAAATTGAACAAAGACCATTCCTCGGCTCTGGGACTGGTGATGTCATTCATACACAGGCCGCTCCTGCTCTACCTATCCTCGTCGTTTTCGAGGAGCCTACCCTAAAGCTTCAAGTGCCACCTAACACGTTTTAGTAAGTAGCTTCGATTTCCAAACACCGCATCGGCAGTCTACCAACATGCCGATTTTCCTTTCGCCATGGGCAGACGATATTCATACCTTCAATACTAAGGTTTTTATTCCCCCATCCATGGATACCGCACGAGTTGATCTAGATCACCGGGACTATAGGACACCCCGCGTCATGCCACCTCGGAAGTTATCCTCTTTTTCTAGACCAAGACAAGTCGGAGACGTGGATTTAACCTCTACTCTCAATAAGTACGGTTCCGAAACGGTTTGAGCGAGGCCAGCTACCGCCCGAGCCTTTTACACTAAAGTCTACCAAGCAGTGTTTGGGGACCAACCTGCGTGTACCTACTTTCTGATTACCCAAGGTACACAGACTAACTAACGAATAGCTCTCCACAGGATGTACGGGACGTCGATCGAAAGCCTAAACCCAGATGAGCGCAGGTAATGCCGGAAAACGATAGCAACGGCCGTCTTTGCCCGACCTTATTTTCGTGCCGGGAATAAAACCCACTCTATACGCTTCTAAGCTTATCTGGACGACGAATCTCGAAGGGCACGACGGCCACTCGGCAAATGACGTATGCCAGGGATACGAGCAGATAACGCCCTGAAAAGGAAGGTGATGGCCTCTTCCTAGGTCGATACCAGGGAGGAGGAGGGGCATGAATTGGCGAACCCGGCCATCGGACAAAACTCCGACCACTTTCTGCCAATGGGGGATTTGGTGAGGTGGGATCGTCATGATGGGTAAGCCCCCTCCATCTCCATAATTTGATCAATTAGCCTAAGAGACCATGTAGGAGGCAGCCAGATGATGCTTTCTCATGGAAACCCCGCATGACGAAGGACGATATGATAGCACTGTGCGCCATTGCGAAGAGCGGTATAAAGCTTGGCCTGGTTCCCCGAATCGGCCCAGGGCGTTTCAAGCGCAGTTGAACATCGAGATTGGAATACATCTCCCACACACGTCCCAACCGAGTCAACATGCGTGAGGTCTTTACTCGCAGCTTCCAGTGCTTCGGTGCTCTCGCAGTCCTAGCCTCTACAGCGACCGCACAATCCGGCGGCATCCAAAGGGTTTTACAGTATGGCGAAAATTGGGTTCCAACCACAAAGGATTCTGAGCTGGTAGCGAAGAACTTTCAGGACGTGAACATCACCCTGCTCTCTCCCGCGTTCCTCAATCCGGAGACGGTCCCCGAGGCCTTCTCTGAAGGGAAAGATGGACCCACAGACGATGCTGTGTTGGGTAAGTTAATTCGAGAAACTTGCCAGTTGCAATCACACCAGCTAACAGAACAGACTCTTTCATCCGCCAACTGGCTGACCGCAATTCCTGGATGGATTATCAACCTTCTGAGTTCAAGTCGGAGGAGGGACGCACGCTCCCGTATGTGCACCTCTCATCGGGCTCTAACAGCACGAAGCTCCGAGTATATTTACAAGGGGCAATTCATGGAAACGAGCCAGCAGCCGACCAGTCGATCCTAGCATTTCTAGGGAAGCTGGATGCAGACAAAGCTTGGGCCGAGTCCATACTCGAGCATATCGATATCAAGATTCTTGCTCGCTATAACGTTGATGGGGTGTCATATTTCCAACGCCAGCTGGCATGCAATCTGGACCCCAACAGGGACCATATCAAGCTCATGCGGGAGCAGACGAGAATGATCAAACAGATTGTGAGCGAATGGAACCCACATATTGCCATTGATATGCGTAAGTCTCCCGCTCCACACTCTGGTGCGTAGCTAACACACTACCTAAAAGACGAGTTTACGGCGACAACTATATTTGGCGGAAGCTACCAGCATGGCGCTGATGCCCTGCTCTCGGGAGGCATCAACCCGAACATCCACCCCGAGATTCGCAAGCAGGTTTTGGATGTCTTCATCCCACACATCGGCAGCGCCTTGGAAGCATACGAGATCCGATGGGAGCCCTATGTCACTGGGTCCTCCAACACGACGATAGGGTCCCCCATCACACTGCAGGAAGCAGTCACGGAGGCACGCACTGGTCGAAATGCTGTGGGACTTACCCAGACAATCTCATTTCTCTGTGAAATGCGGGGAATCAGGATCGCCAACCAGCATTTCCAACGCCGTGTAGCTACCGCCTTGACTAAAATCACAGCCATCCTGGAGCTGGCGAGGGACAACTATGACAACGTCTTATCTACTGTGGAAAAGGCGAGGGAGGAGTTTATCAACAGCGACGATGACATCGTTGTCACCGACTCATACGTTTCCGAGAATAGGACATTCACCATGATTGACCGAACGAACGGCAGCGTAGTTCAAGCTCCCATCAAGTTCATTAGCACGACCCCCTCCGTCGCAAATCTCACGCGGCCCAGGCCTGAGGCATACATCATCCCACGGACGTGGTTCGACATCGCCGAGAGGCTCAAGATCCTCGGTGTCCAGGTGGAAACAATAAAGGAGCAGTTCGCGGGGACCGTCGAGACCCTGGTTGCCACGTCGTCAAGCGTGGACACCGAACTCTACGAAGGCCAATTCCTCAACACGGTGACGACGAACTCGACAAGCAGGGAGATTGTCCTACCGGCTGGCAGCTTCTACGTGAGCACGAGGCAGCAGAATGCAGCTCTGGCTTTTATTGCGTTGGAGCCGGAAAACATTGATAGCTTTGTCACGTTTAACATTATTCCTCTTGAGACGGGCATGGAGTATCCCGTCTTTCGCATCCCAAGAGCTTGATGTTCTGGTAGGAGCAATATGAGATTAGGTACTTAGGTAGCTAGTTAGATTTATCTCTTAGCCTCTTGATCAGACTTGTCTATTCCGCCGTTCCAAAGCCATATGACCTGAATATTTTCTAGAAGACATGGACTGGTTGTAGGCATCAATGCCGGCCTTGGATCCCCGATAAACGATTCCAGTATTAGCGATCCTGGTCCGGCCAATGGGACGGGTTAAACTTTAATATTACTATCAATTTGCACCCTTTTTTTTTTTTTTTGATCGGTAGAAAATGGAACACTACCAGGCGATCTCGGTGACATTGCTAACCTCCGGGGTTGGGTCTTAGCCTGGATCCCGGGATCAGGCAGATTGGCCCGCCTCTTACGTCTGCACAAAGGGACAGGGAATCATGTAAGCGCATCTCACTGAGACGTGCAGCACTTATGTAAGGTAGGCTGCGTGCGCATGTGTGCGGTGTGTGTGTGTGCGGTGTCATGCTTGCCGCTTTGTCAGACTCGCAGGGCAATACTGAGGGGATGCCTTGCTGCACGTGCAATGCAATGTGATGATTTGAAGCCGGAGAGAGTGGTTACTAATCAGGGCAGGGGTTACATATCTACGGACCAGGCCGTGACTTGGAATTTAGTCCGAATTTTGCGCAAGACCCTGCCTGGCGAATGAGCCGCCCATATTGGGCCTCTCCGTCCCACACTCGCCAGCTAAGTCTCGGCATTGGCATCCGCAACGGCAAGGCAAGCAGGACCAGCACAGGACAGGACAGGGCGTGGCACACCCCAGCTCTCCTCGACCCTGGCTCAAACACATCTCCACAGCTGGCGTCCATCCAGATACCCCGTGGTGTATCGGCCGTCTGGACCACCAAGGGATGGTCCGCGCTGATGGATTAGGTTGAGCACACCATCAAAGCTTGCCAAGCTGCGGACAAGGTGGAGCCCGGCCAGTAATGGGGACGGTCGCGGCCAATGAGAACATCAGAAGTCTGCAGCCCGGTTGGTGGATAGCACTCTGTGGTGGAGCCGGGCTGGGGGAGGGGACAGGCAGGGGACCTCTCAAGGCACCTCGACGCCCAGCTCAGTGAATGATTAATGATTTGGCCGGCCAATTTTGGTGGGATTGATCGATTCCAAGTCAGAAGCCTCCAAAATACTTTGACGTGCGCAAAATCTATATAAAGCATAACCCAGCCCACGCTTGATCTCGAATGTCTGGCCAGCCATCCCCAGTAGCATCTTCTCTTCATATCATAATCAGTACCTCACGAAAATCGCACCTACTCTTTCACTACTATACAAGCCATGTGGGTGTTCATGTGTCCGCTATTGTCTGGCGACAGGTGCAAGTGCCTCATATTTACTGATAGGTAGACTTCCATAGAGGACCCAGTAAACCAAAGACTAGATCTACTTCTAGCTTCTGCAGCCATGTCCAAATGTTCAAACGCAGCTGCTGCACCTGGTGGTGCTGGCCCAAGTCAGACAAAACCAGCATCCGCCACATCGGGATCCAGCGCAGACACCCTCAGTCAAGACCAACTACCTGTCCCCTCCGCCATGATCGAGGTACGGCGCCCGTGGGGTCTTCAACCTACTCCCCGACAACCTCTTGTTCCTGGTACTGGTAGTACCCTGGCAGCGGATCGAAACAGCGGCAGCGCGATGCTCAATGCGTGGCTCGTCCAAGACGCGGCCGAGGACCCATTCCAAACCATTGCCGCGCTTTCAGTCGGTACGGGGGCGGCTACAATAAACAAGTCGGCGGCAGTTCTTCAGAGAATTGACAGTTTATTCGTAAATCGGGCGGAGCAGGAAGGAACCGTTGCAGCATGTGGTAGCTGGACCAAAGAAGATAGCTAGGGTTGTCTGGAGATGCCATCTGCTAGTTCATGGGCGTTCATGGGGCGATGTACACTTACGTATGCATTCTTGACATATTAAAGCATCCCATTCAGGTCTTACAGCTTCATCGTGGTATTTTTCTTGAAAAGGTGATTGACCAAGATGCCCCTGTCCCTTGAGTTGGCTGCTCCCAGGTGGGTCTTGACGCTTGACCATGCAGCACGGTTGCACGGATCCATTCCGAGAGACACGGAGTGGAGAGCGCTTCACCCACTAAAAACACACACACACTCACCATGCACCACCTGCACTGTCAGCCCGAGCTATCCTTCCCAATCGGGATATCTGAGGGTCTGCAGCCCGAATAATGTAACCAAGCTCCCAGCTGAAGCCACGACACCCGAGGAGAGGCGCAGCGTCACCAGCAAATGCTTGTTGGTTACAGTGCAGGCTCCACTGGCTGGATTGACACCACCTATCCACCTGCAGGCCGAGATTTATTGGGCACCTCAGCAACTCAGTTAGAGTGTCTGTAGGCATCTCCACTTCCCAACTGTAGGTGCCGCCCACTAGCATGCCCTGAGGTGGTCAGGGTAGGCACATCCGTCTCCGCCTTCCCAGCGGTCATGGCACACAATCAGATGGGTCGCACAGTAGTCCGACCAAATCAGATCAATCACTCATTCCTGCATCAATTCCCACGACAAATGCCCCAAACCTCTGCTGCATAAGCACGTCACGTCCGCTATGACAGCGTTACATCATGGCCTCCCCGGCATACGAGCGCACAATATCTACCGCCAATGTGACTGGGAAGATGCAACATGTCTGCCGAGGATAGTGCTGACGGCATTGTCGGCCACAAACACCAGCGTAACAACGACAGACCGAATGGCGAAGCTCCCCGTGCGATCCCGTGATGCCACCCCGTTCGTTTGTTCCAAGGGAATACGATTTGTCTTATCACGTGGGCTTACATCAACGGGAACGACCATGCTTGATCCTTGTTGGCACCAAGACTTTGGTGCAACTATGGTAATACGGTGATCAATTGAGAGTTTGATTTTCAACTATAGAGCCTCAGAAGCCTTACTCTACCGCTAAAAATCCTTTCCTTTCGAAGAAACAATAGGCATTCTTGTCTGGTTCAAAAAACCAGGAAATACCTTTCAAGCAACACGTCAATCCGTGCCTTTGTGAACCCGATCCCCATCACATTACGACACAGCCCAGTTCTTCCCCTTTCCGGGCCTTGTTCATTCTCTCCGTTCTCTTCTCCGAAGTCTCGATCTTGTTCCAGTACATGTTCTCGACGAACCCGCAGCGACTCTTTTCGAAGAGCTTGGCAACCGTCTTCATACACTCCTCATCCTGGGCCCCCAGAGCACCCATCACCAGCCGGTTGCGTTGATCTCCTCGAAAGGTCGGGTCTTCGTACGCGCTCACGTAGACCGGGTTGCGCAGCTTCTTGAGTTCCTCCTCCAGCATCTCGAACCACACGTAGACGGAGGCCGTCACCCAGACGAAGCTGAGTCCCAGAACGGGCTGGTCGCCGCAGATACTGTTGTACACGTCCCATCCGCAGAGCCCCATCATCTCCTCGGGGTTCATCGATCCTCCGGGCGAATGCTTCTTCCACATGTCTTGGTCTCCGGTAACCATTCCTTTGAATTTCTCCGGGTCGGATCTCCGCATGTTGTCCATCACGGTCTTGCTCAAGCACTCGTCCTTAGTGGCGGCATCGCCTTCCCAAGGGTTAAGGAATGAGAGCTGAGCGATGTGCTCCTCCGTGTATCCACGAGCCTTGGCACGCCGAGCGAGTGGTGCTTCAGGATCGGCCAAGGCCAGACGACCGGTGAGCTCATCCTTCTTCATCTTGAGCCGGCTGAGGCGCAGCATGCAGGTCAAAGTCTCAAGAGGGATCTCCTCGTCCGGTACTCGATCTGGGTCCCACTCTCCTTGGCGGAGGAGTTGCACATACGGCTTGGACCTGAATGAAATATTTGATTCGGGGTCCAGCATGCTAAGGGCATTGTTGGCGTTCTTTGCGGCCTTGAGTTTCGTCGCTCGGGCGGCGGAGCCCTGGGCTTGAACATTCTTGCAGTGAGATGAAAATGTCTGTGCAAACCTGGAAGTTGGTGCTTTGCCTGTCGGGAACAGCGCTTCACCAAAGATTTGTTCAAGTGCGAGCCAAAGTTCAACAGGCGTCTTGAGGTATCCCTTCTTCACCACCATGTTGTGCAGGTGAAGGAGCATGAGGGGCTCAGGAACCTGATCCCAAATGTAAGTGCTAACCAGGTAGCTCAGCTCAAGTGCTTCCAGTGATCCAACGCCACATTGGAAGGGCGAGTAGTTGTATAGACCGTTGACATCAGTGTCTGCGAATCGCGAGGTAGGGATCGTGTCCAGACCGGCGGCGAGAATGGTTCGGCCCAGGCAGCCGTCGAACTCGTCTCTGATCTGCTTGAGAATCGCGCATCTTGCGCTATGCGCCTCGGGGTGGCCCCTTCTAATGCCATCACGCTCGAGCAACTGCTGCAAGACCGATTCAGCTTGCAAAGACCCGGTGAGGGCTTGGACGGCTTGTGTGCCGCGATTCAGGATAGGGTCCAGGTCTCGCCTGGGAATAAAGTTATGGCTCGGAGGTCGCAGCACATGACCGTGCACAAAGCTCAGTGACCATCCGCGCGACACGGTCCAGGAATCCACGATGCACTGGAGCTGAAAAACATGATGGGGGAGAACCATGACCTTGATCGGGGCGCCTGGCTTCTGCCATGCGAGCGAGCTGACGAAAGCAGCGAATTCGTTGAGGCCGAAGAGCCGGCGGTGTGCGTGCCACGGGCCGGAAGATGACCAGTCGACCTTGGAAAGGTCATGGCTTTCGTCTTCCAAGGTGTTGCGATGAACAACAACAGAGGAGAAGACGTTGACCAGGTCGTAGAGCCAATTGATCGTGTAAGCACGGCGCCATTGGATTCGTTCTTCCTTGGTGGCACTTGCGAGGTTGAGTTTGGGGTTCCAGTTCCTAACCTCGGCCTGCATCCGCTTTGTTGGCTTTCCTGTGCGGTTCAGCTGGAAGTCGGTAATGAAGTCGCAGAGGTCCTTGTACGAGTACATGAGAAATTGCTCCTGGATGTCCAGGTACGTGCCGTGCACTTGGTGACCTCCCTGCCCACCGGGGCCGCATGCCCACATGCCAACTTCGAAGTTATCCCTCATCTTCTCGGGGTTGCCTCTTGTCAAGGCGTTTAGGATTGCGTCGAACGAGTCGTTTCCGGGATACTCAAAGAAGATTGAAGACTGGATCTTCTTGATTGTGGCGATGGCCACGTTGGACATGGCGCCGGCGACGGCACTGTTGAGATCATCGTAGGCCACCTCAGCCCACTTGTTTTGGACTGATGCACGCAGGACAAGAAGGTTTCGGAAGACGAGGTAGACGTCCATCAGGTAGTCGGTCAAAAGGCCGGTCCCATTCTCACCATTGCGAGCGTTGAAGTCTTCCACGATCTTGTAGCTTTCCAAGGGCAGATCCTCCAGAGCGGCTTGTGAGGATGATGACACCTGGTTCTGCTTGTTGCTGCTTTTGCCCTTCTTGCCTTTGCCTTTGCCCTTCTTTCCTTTACCAGACTTGTTTGTCTGGCGCCGTCTTGACGCAAATTTCTTGGGAAGCTCAGCCTCTTCCTCAGAACTACTATTAACGGCGGCACCGATGTCGAGGGCGGAAAACTTGTTGGAGAAGATGACTTCCTCAATGGTTTCTTCGTCGTCTGCGCGTTGACCTGCTGCTTCTGCTGATTGCCAGGTGAGCCCTCCCAGAATCTCAAAGGTCTGCTTGAGCACATCGATGAGATGTCTATGCGAGGCGTTGCTTCTCTCCAACTCGGGGTCTGGGTCCGAGCCGGCCATCTTTTCGAAAATGCCATGAGCCTGCGAACGAGCGGAAATGATGGATGGAGCAGTCGGAGGAGGATGGAGGGGATGGTGGGCTTGTGCTTGGCGATGAGGGATGACATGGCCACCAGGCCGGAAACCGTGGTTTGGCCAGACGTGTTGGCCGCGAGAGACTCATCGTGTTGCGACACGATGATGCGATTGGATGTGTGAATCAACCAGCACACGAGGTATCTCTGATCCCTCTTGTACGAGGCGTAGAGGTTGTGGTCAGCCATGGTTGTTGAGGATGTGGAGGAAGTATGGAGGGAGGTGCGTGGTGGTTTGGCTGATGTTGGAGAAGAAAAACAAGTGGAAAAGTGAGTGCAGGTTGTGAGTTGTAGGTCCCACGCGAGTTTTGGGGGAGTACGTTACACAATGAATGACAAACCCCTGCGATGAAAACAATATACTGTAACTATAAGAGCAATAAATGCAACGTAACTTGATGCTCAAACATACTGGACATGATCTTACTGAAAATTTATAAATTACAAAATGGTACCTTGGTTGCTTAAGACATGAGGCTGGTAAACACTCAGAAAGAGTTACAGTGTAACTCAACCAATATACTACCTTTCACCAGAAGAACAAGCATCTTCCAGGTACCTATTTATAAAATAATATTTGTTCGTATTGGTTTTACACAATCTGTATAACAAGAATACAAATCGCAACCGAATTCCCACGAGCTCGGCGTCACTTATTCCTGTTACCATGTTTCGTGCTGCTGATGACTCAGTTCGCCGTTGGAACGATTATTCTAGCAGAGCATACATGCACCGATAAGGTTTGCCATATTTCTTCTTGATCAAGTCTTGCAAGGAGAAAAAAATCGGGAATGTTTCGACCTGGGTGTATCTCGAAGGTTGGTCTTAGAAAAAGGATAGTGTACCCTGTTCCAGATAGATACGTCACCACCTGCCCAACGATTATTGGCGAGACACAATTGGCGGACGGGTGGATGTGGAGCCTTTCAGACGAGGTGGCCTCAACCAATGATTGCATTCTTAGTCAGCAGGCTATCGTAAGCGCTCAACCTCATCTCTTACCCAACGACTCCAACGGTTGCATCAATTGATCCTCCGCCAAGGTCCACGGCCCCGAGGCATATCAGCCGTCCTCGCCATGTCGAGCCTACTCTCCCCGTCGGAGAATGATTCTCCCGCTATCCCAAACCCCCTACCCTCTCCCCAGGCGCCGAAACCCACGCGCGTCCTGGCCTGCGTCTTGTGTCAGCAGCGCAAGATCAAATGCGACCGCAAGTTCCCCTGCGCCCACTGCCTCAAGCAGGGCCTGCAGTGCGTCCCCGCCACACAGGCCCGCAGGCGACGGCGCTTCCCCGAGAAGGACCTCCTGAGGCGGCTCGCGCAGTACGAGGACCTCTTGCGCGCAAACAACATCCGCTTCAACCCCCTCCACCAGACCCCGAGCACTGCGGGGAAAGGGAACGATGCCGGTGCTGATTCTGATAGTTCGGATGACGAGCAATCGCACTCGCACTCGGCGGCGTCGCCAACACCGTCCACGAAGCCTTTGGATGTGTTTGATACCAAGTGCGTGCTTGCAGCTGTCTCGTTTAAATAAGGTTGTGAATGACACTAACGAAGACCAGGAGCATCTGGCTAGCCATTTGCCAAGAGGTAACAGCCGCGAGCTATCAGACCGAGATACAACACTAACAGATTACCAGGGTCAAGCATCACCTTCTTCCGGTCAAGGAGAGGGTGCTGATAACCTCGAACGTACTGTGAAGGATGCATTGGAAATGGAACGAGGAAGCGACTACGATCTTTTCCTATTTGGATCTCCCCAAGCATCTGTAGACCTCTCTACATTCCACCCCCAACCTGTCGAGATATTCAGGCTGTGGCAAATTTACCTCGACAATGTCAACCCCCTCCTCAAAGTCATCCACGTGCCCACCATGCAAGGACGCATCATAGAGGCCGTTGGCAATGTTCATGGGATCAGTCCCCCCATGGAGTCACTTATGTTCTCAATCTATTGCATAGCCATCACCAGTCTAAGCGACGACGAATGCCAGTCCATGCTTGGGATGTCCCAGGCAGACTTGCTAACCAAGTATCACTTCGGATGCCAACAGGCTCTAATGAATGCGCGGTTCCTAATTTCTAGGGAAAGAGACACGTTGATCTCCCTGTATCTATTCCTCGTTGGTCAAACCCCATCTTGTCTTATGTTACGTTCTCTAACAGACACGACAGCTATCTCTTCGCCCCGAGATGCATCCGCGATCGCTCAGCGCAATGTTCTCAATCGCCGTACGAATTGCAAAAGTTCTCAAGCTCCACAGAGAACCGCCGCTGGAGAGATGCTCAGTTTTCGAGTCCGAGATGCAACGAAGACTTTGGTGGTCACTTGCGCTTGATGATACTCGCCGCTGCGAGGTAGCCGATGTCAGCGATGATGCATCATTATCTCCGGCCTGGTCGCGCAAGACCCCTGCCAACGTGAACGACTCCGATCTGCGGCCTGACATGAAGGAAATCGTAGCCGGCGGCGCCAAGGTATCCGAGTCCATCTTCGTGGTTGTCCGGAGCGAGCTGGCCGACTTCCTCCGACACACGTCCGCGTTCCTAGATTTCCACCACCCCAGGCTCAAACCTGTTGCAAAGGAATTGCCAGATGGCGGGTCTCTCCTCTCGTTGCGCAAGCGGATAGAGAATGATTACCTCCAGTACTGTGACCCTGAGAACCCCATACACTACTTGACGATCTGGACAACACATGCCTTCATCGCCAAACAGCGCATGATACAATACTATGCTACTCTTGCTCATTCCGGTCTCCCTGCAACAGAAACGGAAATGGATGATGCCATGGTTCTCGCCTTTGAAATGCTGGACTGTGATACCAAGCTCTTATCCTCACCCAAAACCAAGCCTTTCCTCTGGTTCATAAGATCGCACTTCCCCTTTCCTGGATACATGCATATCATCTATGATCTCAGACGCCGCCCGTTCAGTCGGTACTCTGACCGCGCTTGGGAGGTAATGGCGAACAACTACGACTTCAGAACACACACCATGTCCAGGATGAAAGGCCCCATCACCCGGGTCTTTGGAAAGTTCATCCTCCGATCCTGGGATGCCCGCGTAGCCGAATGGAAGTCGGACCAGCCGCTGAAAACTCCACGGATCGTCCAGCAGATATGGGAGATGGAGGCCAAGAGCAAACCCCCCACCGATAGCATGGCTTGGGGCAACCTGGGGAACACCCCGGAAGTGAAACTGGAAGATTCATTCAGTATAATGCAGCCGCTGACCTTCACCAGCAGCGATCTATATGATCTTGCTGGGTCGGGGGGTATGAACGGGCTTCTCCCGGGCGACTTCACCAACTTCTCAAGCCAGGGCGCTTTTGACTTTATGACGGATCAGTACAGCTGGCCCTCGGGAAACTAGGACTTGAACCCTGTATCTAATTATGGATTTTAAGGCGTGGTGTTTTTCTTTTACTATTGTAGCCCGTAGATAGGGCTCTAGAACCATTTAGTCATAAATCTCATGCTATGTTGTTGTGTCAATAGAATACATTTCCCCTCTACATTCCAAGGCTAGATACAAGATCATGACAAACAACTCGACTAGTCTATGAAAGAACGCAACGAGTCAACAGTGAGATGCATGGTTCCTATTCGTAGACCCTCTTCGACGAATCTGTTCGTCGAACTGAACAGATAAGACGTTCACTGTGCAATCTCATATCCCAACAGACACGATCAAATCAGTCAGCCACATTTAGTTTTTTTTCATTTCAATTCACCATATTACAGATCAACGCAGAGAAGATTCAAGAGAAGCGATTGATGAGGCAAAAAGAAAAGGGCAGTTAGCCCATGCATTGAAAATATGTATAGAAGATATGTACGAGGTCTCCCAAAAAGGAGTCAAGGGTTAAAAGAAATTTGAAAATGAAAAGCCATGCGACCAGATCCCCGCGACCTTAAAGCACAAATCCGGCTCAAAAATAAACTCCTCGCGTTATATCCTCTCCGTATTTCCTCAATTTATGACGAGTATTTCTCATATACGACCCTCAGGGACAGCTGACTAGCTAGTAGGTTCCTGACACGAGGTCCCATCTAGGCCTTCTGGGGCAGCTTGGTAAAGTCCTTCCAGGCGCGGCTGATGGACCAGTACTTATTCTTGCTAAAGGGGGTCTTAGGCGCCTTGTCCAGCGGGACAGCTCGGTTTATGCGCGTCTCGAGATCAACCTCGTCTTCGACAGAACGAGACTCAGGGCGGTTAACGTGGACACCAGCCTTGCGATGGCGACGCTTGCTTCGGGTCTCGATGCGAGGGCCAGGACGGTTGACGTGGACGCCTGTGCCATGGCGGTGACCGCTCTTTGCTCCCCGAGTCTCCAGCTCTTCGTAGATATCACGAGCATCAGGGCGGTTAACGTGAACACCAGCCTTGCGATGGCGACGCTTGCCTCGGGTCTCGATGGAACGAGGACCGGGACGGTTAACGTGAACGCCTGCGCCATGGCGGTGTTCACCCTTTGCTCCCCGAGTCTCCAGCTCCTCGAAGTCGCGCTCGTCAAGCTCCTCCTCGACATATCGCTCGTAAAGTTCATGGAGATCACGCTCATCAAGCTCATCAAAGTCACGCTCATCGAGTTCCTCGTAGATATCGCGAGGATCTGGACGGTTGACGTGGACGCCAGTTCCATGGCGGTGGCCGCCCTTTGCTCCGCGAGTCTCCAGCTCCTCAAAGTCGCGCTCGTAAAGATCGTCGAGATCACGCTCGTCAAGCTCGTCCTCGAAATCGCGCTCGTCAAGTTCATCGAGATCCCGCTCGTCGAGGTCCTCCTCATCCCGCTCCTCAAGTTCTTCAACGTCACGTTCTTCGAGTTCGTCATCATCTCGCTCGTCTAGTTCATCGACATCGCGCTCATCAAGTTCCTCCTCATCTCGCTCCTCGAGCTCCTCCTCGTCACGCTCCTCTAGCTCCTCGATGTCACGCTCCTCTAGCTCCTCGATGTCACGCTCCTCGACCTCCTCAGCCTCTCGCTTGCCGGCGTGGGAAGACGGGGGGTTGGGCACGATCTGGATGCTCATGGTGCGGGTGTCAAGGATTGAGGCTTCCTCGACGGCGCGGGCATCGAGAGACTCGGCCTCGGATCTCTGGACCAGGGTGAGGTCGTTGGTGCCCTGGTCGATCTCAAGGGCGAGCCCGCGGCTGGCGAGGCCAACCCACAGGAGGGCGGCGAGGCTGAGGTTCTTAGCGGCGACCATTTTGAGTATCTAAGGAAAAGAAGGATGGGAATGGAGTAAAGGTAGATGGAATGGAATCTGTTCGGGAAAAAGAAGGGTAACGCTAAATAGACCGACTCAAGGAAAAGCTAGAAGACCAGCTGCTAGGTTGATTGATACTGAGGAATAGGTTGATGATGGGAAAGAAGAAGACCTCGACCCGGAGTAGAGAGGAGAGAGGCCTAAATACACTCTCGCGTAGGATCATCCGTGGCCCAGGCCGGCAGTTGAGCGATGCAAGTCATCAGGATTTCAATCCCTAAAATTAGCGATCACGCGACATGGGGCAGCGACGACTCGAAACTCGAGACTGCTAACCCCCTTTTAGCCATGCTGGAGACCCGAGACCTGCGACCCCTGCGGACGAGACCGCCAACGATCTGTGCTTTGCTTGCGCGTCCAATGCCGTCTGTAGGCCAAGCGAGCGGCGATTTCACCTAGGGCTGCTGCTGACGCAAAGTGCCGGCTTCTCCTGGTCTGTAGGATCGGGGCCTGTCACAGACGGCCCCAAAAGCCCAAAACATGCCAAGACGCCGGCATCGAAATCCTTCGCAACAACCGGGACCCAGAACGATTGGTCAGAACACGCATTCCCCCTGCACCCATATAATAACCTCACTGTCGAGCCAATCCGGTCCCCTGGTTCAGTGCTAAGCTCCGAGGGGTTATTACCGGCATTTCTTACCTAAGGTTATAAATATCTCCAAAGCTCCGCTTGCAATCTGGGCTGCTTGCTGCACAGGGATCAAGCAAGCACGTCAACCACCATTGATCTCCTGAACGATTGGGTGAAATCGTGAGATCCTTCCAAGATTGGCCTAAGCCTGTGGAGCTGATGAACTGCAGGAACGGGCAAGTCAATACCAACGACGAGAATAATCGAGCGGATTGTGCAAATGAGATTTACGTAAACTTGTAGCCCACTCAGTCGTGTTAAATGTCCAAGCCCGAGTCAGCATACACAACGCCCACAGCTTGTGATCAAGCAAGCAACAAAACAGTTGGTAAGGCAGGCGCACATTGGAGCGCAGAAGATTTTTGAAAACTACCTTAGGCTCGAGGGATCTAGTACACGATCTTTACGATTCGGTGGGGAGCTGGTTTGAGGTATAGGGTAGGCTTCACTTCGATAGATTCTCCTGAGCCGTCCACAAATATTTGACCCAAAGAGCCAAGAAGCTGTTTTATTTATTAAGATATGCCCTATTGTCTACGGGAAATAAAGCAGTTAAATATTTGTCTGATTGCTCAATGGTTTGCTCGCGTTATGTCAGTGCTGATTATATACCAACGTAACAGTGCATTGAGATAACGAGACGGATGTTTGATTTTTTGTTCTATTTGTCGACATTTCTTCAAATTACACGTGCAAGAGATTGTTTCGAGTTGAAAGATAGTGTTCATGAAATTCAATTCTTCCTATCCATCTTTTATCCAACCATACCAAAAGCCCAACTCAGAACCCCGTATTCAACGTGCACATCTTCCCAGTAGTGAAACACGCAATATTCTTTGAAGTGCGCTCCGTTGCCGTTAAGCAGCCGTCCGTCATTCCAGCTCCGGTTATTCTTGTCTTCTTCATCAAGTGGGATCGCGGTTCTCGGGCACGGGGAGTGCCAAGCAGGTGGGGCCAAGCGAGGATCTGTTTTTTTTGGAGCGAGGAATTCTTGAATAGACAACTCGAATTCTTTGGAGACCAATTTCTGCCTTCAACAAATGTTAGCATTCATGATCGAGCGAGCCTGTTTCCGAAATCTAGTTTGTCTGTACTTACTGCCATGGCAGTTTGAGCCAAACGTGCTGAAGCTACTGCTCCGGGGCGTTTGAAGCCGTTGGTGTGGGGCCGACCATCGGCGACCGACCGTGAACTTTGATTGTGCTTCTTGCAGTGGTGCTGCGGAGATATGATGGAGGTTTGATCTGCAAACATGCAAGGTGTCAGCCTAATTTCTGTCGCCCTTGAATTTGAAGGAACGTTGACTAACCTTGAAAGAAGTTTTTGTTTTGGGAACTGCCCCCGGATTGTTTTCTCAGAGGTGTGATGAAGTGTTTGATCTGCAAAAACGAGGGGAGTTAGCTCAAGTATTGGAGTTGGTGACTTTGAAGGAGTGTTCACATACCATAAAACTGAATCTGTTTCTTGGAGAAATCATCCCACTCTCCACAAACGCGAGTGCATGCTGAAGGTTGAGACTGAGGGTGATATGGGTTGAAGCCCGGGGGTGGGGCAGGCACAAACGGAGGCTGTTGCGCTCCATATGACGCTGGAGGCGCCTGATTGAATACAGGAGGAGGAAAGCTTGGAGTATCTTGCGTTCCTGGACGTGTGTATCGGTTGATGACGGGGGGAGCGTAACGCTTCTTCCCACCACGGTTACGGTCCCTGCCACTTCTCTGGGCATCTTGTATTCATTGTGTTGAGATGTCGGGTCTGGCATCTTCCATTGCTGTTATTTTGTTGTGTCAGTCAAGCTGCTCGAACTCTCACGCCCGTGACCTGCACTTACTACTCGACGTTTTGCTGAAGAGACATGCTCCCCCGAGGCCGACATGTATGGTGTTTGGTGCTGTCGGCCTCGGGAGAGCATGTTCCTTCGATCATGGAGGGGCGAACTGCGGCCCTACGATTTGTAGGGCCGCAGTTCTTTGCTCTCCCGGCCGCACCAAGATCCGAGAGGTCTAGGGCTGATCTTGTGGTGCGGCCAGGAGAGCGGCCTTGCCCAACGGCCATCATGGCTCTTTCAGTTTGACTGGAAATTGAGCCACGACAGCCGTTGGGCCGGCTGAACTGAGTGTTTTGGTGTTGTTTTAATAATGTGTTTTTTTTAATTAGATTTTGAAAAGTGTGGTGAAGAGAATGGGGTGTTGTGGAAGAGAAGAAGGGGGGAGAATCTTGTGGCCGGAGGGGGCGGGGGTTTTGGTTGAGAGTAAGTGGGCGAGCCTTAGGCAACAACACAACACGCCTGCAAGTTCAGGAAGGCGCGAGGGGCTTCTCTCTGGCAGGTATCTTCGGAGGTACTTTTCCTAGCTGCATAATGTAAACGTCATTCTGGGCCGAGTTTGTTGGACTGGTTGCTGGGCGGCTCACTTCCCCTCACCCCTGGCAACGAATCTGAGCTGGCTCAGCTGGTACACATGAAGTGTCAAGTTGCTGCCCGCCACCCTCCGGGCTGTGGAGATGACGAGAGGATCACAGCTGCCTTTATCCCTGAGGGGCTTTGGGTATTCAATATCTCGTACATGCCATTTATTATCGAAGTTTGGAATGTATCTCGATATCACTAATGATCGTGCTATTCAGCAGAATGCCTCTTCCTCATCCGGAACTGCCACCGTCCAACGTGCTCGTCCTGCAATACCGACTCGTCCCAAGCTTCGATCGATTCGAAACGTGCAATTCCCTGACGAACTCGAAAATCCCCTCCCAAGTCGTCAACACAGCGCTCTTGAAGTCTACAGGCTGCAAACCATGATGAACCTTTCTATCACATGCTGGAGACCTCGTCGTGAGCTGTTTCCATCTGTAGAGCTGCTGGTCAACTAGCGTTTGCCGTAGAGCAGACAATTTTGAATGAATGTGCTTGTCATAGCCGTGTGCCTAGACGAGCAACCCACACCACGTAGAATCCATTCCCGTAGGAAGTGCGAGATGCCCGAGTAGATCAATAGTGTCCCTGGCCGTCCCTATCTTCTCTGCGTACGTAGGCTATTGGAATTTACTCAAGTGTTTATTCACATCGCATTCTGATCACATTCTGGACCGCTCACCACGACCCCCTTTTTTGGATGCAACACGGCGAATGCGAGATGGACATTATGGGCAACAACAAAGGATGACGTGTACCACTACGAATCCTGGCACTGGAGCACGAGGGGGTAGATTTTGGATATCACCTTTGCCTCAGAAAGGTGGCAGGCACGCGAGAGTAGGTTTGGTGCCCCCCACGAAATGCACAACACGCACACGCGTCACTCGCGCATTCAACACAATTGTTATGATTTTTACGACACCAAAATTGCAGGAAAGTGTGGGAGAATGGAACAAGTTGCATTTGAGCCATGATGTTTTGCAAAGATTCTAATGTACATATTCTGATGAAAACAAACACCACACTGAGTACCAAAACACAAATGGAAATCCACCACTCCACATTCAGACTTTGATCGGTTCAGAGACCAATCCAGATAGCTTCGTAGCAACAAAGATGCCGCTTTTGAAGAACTGTTTTTGTCATCATTATGCGGGAGTCTGCAGAACGCAGACTCAAGCCCCCGGAACGAACTGATGATGTCAAAGCCACAAGCCCCCAGAGCGAACTGTTGATGCCAAACCCACGAGCCCCCAGAACGAACTACACACTGGATAAGGAATGGTCCGGGGTCGACCGGGGAATGCCAACAAGACCCAATCCTGAGCAAGCCCAAGATATGGCCAGGAGGCGCGGGTGCAGTGTATCTGACATCCCCAGTCAAGGGAGGAGCCCAAGAGCATAGGATGCAGCAGGACAGGGGAGTGGAGTGACGGGGGGGTGAGAAACAAAAAGAAATACAAACAAACTGGAGCGTGAGTGGTCCGGGGTTGACCAGGTGTCAGCAAGACCCAGCCCTGAGCAAGCCCAAGGCATGGCCAGGAGACGTTGAAGATGCAGCGTATCTGACAAACCCAGTCAGGAGAAGATCTCAAGACATAGCTTGCAGCAGGTAAATTGTGCAGTGAAGGTGGGGAGGAAGAACAAAAGAGAAAGAGGCACATACCTGTGATGAAGGAAAGAAGAAAGAAGGAGGAAGAGGAAGCGAGGAAAAGAGGGAGCTTTTAAAGACGAGAGAGTGGGGTCCGGACGCGCACAATCACTCCTCCCACACGTGACGGCCCTCAGAGATCACTCAGTTGCCAGCACTCGTGCTTCCCAATTCGGACTGCAGGCACGTCGAATTTCACTGACCTGGCTTCTCCGAATTCTCATTGGCCCAATAATTAAAATGGTTTTTGAAAATGAGCATCCGGGTGCATTTGTTTTCCATCCCCAAGGTGAGCAGAACGTAGGGAGGTATCTTGCAGCCCAGCACCCGCTCCTAAAGCCCATACGCGTACACTCGGCCCTCGACGCCCTGCTGCTACTCTGTTGAAGCCAAAAAATAGATGTTGTTGCTCCATAGGAATCGTAAGATGATGATTTAGTATTTTCATCATGCAATCTGACAAATATATTTTCAAATTTTCAACTATCCTAGTAGGAGTACGTACCACCTGCAAGCTCCTCTGCTCAGTGAATTGTTTTGATTTGGCCTGCACTCTCAACTGACTGGACGTATCCCACAGTGCACCCCAACGACTGAAGCTATTCGCAAAAGCATCCCACAGATCATCGAAGCACACAGAAGAAAGCCACACCCACGTCGACCAAGCTACCATCCCACTTCTTCTAGTGTCCTACCCCTTAATATTTTCAACCACAAGAGCGGTACCGAGAAGGGCAAGACGCATGCACGAAGCACAGAGTAGATTATTGGATGCACGAGGGATAGGTTTTTAAGGCCTATGGTTTGCATCAGGATGGAGAGTTTACAATATCATGGGGTGGAAACCGGTGATACCTGCATTTGAAGGCAAAGACTACCAGCGTTGAAGTTCGCTCTTTGAGCAAGACAAGTTTCTCTTCACGAGAGAAAGTCAAAGTTACAATCAGGGGGCTGTTGCAGCAGGGAAGTCGAAACGTAGAAGATACATTGTGGCAGAAGAGGAAGGAATACTTGATTATAGGTAGTAGTGCTACAGTCTAAAGTAATGCAATATTTCTAGATTGGAACCAGTATCAGCTGGATCGAAGGCAGTGTCTCTCCGAACCAGTATTCCATCCTGCTCACTGTCGGTTCAGGAGCGGGGCTTCCATGAGATATGTAATATTTGCATTTGAAATTCTCTTCATCTGTATTGCCTCGGCCAACTAGGACACATTCGCAATATATGCTGGTGTCTGCATTTGATTCCTCACTCGCTTGCGGATGGTGCTATCGACGAGTTCTCGTAACGTGGGTTGGCAAGATACCATGAGGACAATGGTGCTTTCGGCCAGCTCGCAGAGGTATGTCTCGGACATGATCTTTGATCCGTCGTCTCGCTTGCGATCTCGATGCAATGCTTGTAGTCGGCCCACAGCACAGCAAACACCCCTAAGCACACAAAGTTAGCTGGTTGAGTCTTTTCGTAATGAACGGGGAGAAATGAACTGGAAGACTTACTAGAAACCAATCGAGTAGACCACCCAGATTACCCACATCTTCTTTCTTGATCTCTGTGCCCATAAAACCTGCTATGACAAACTAAACATTGTGAGATCTACTAAGGGGTTCACCTAGCCGGTAGCGAAGGCAACGGGGGCGTTGCTAGTGCGGGAAACGGGGATCCACGGACTCGATGTCTTCCCTAGCGGTCGACATCGCAAACTGAAGAATATAATGATGGCTGAGAAGTGACCGAGGATGACCACGATTAGGATATAGCAAGCTCTGGATGTAGGGGGCGAGGCACCGCGATAGAAGAGGCCTCAGGCCCATTGGAGGAGGATTGCACACTTTGTGAGTATACAAATCGAGTAGAACATCGTCGAGGCAACAGATTAGAGCTTTGGATTATGATTAGCAAAGTAAATGGAGGACAAAGCGGCCGAAAGATGAGCATGCTCAGTTGAACACATACAAAGAACTGGTGCCCAAGAGTATCTCGGTTCACATCTGACTGGGGCGCAAAGAAGACATTGTCTTTGAGCTTGTCATACCCAGACCAAAACATGGCGCAGAACGGGAGCTGTGACTTCGTGGGTTTAGTATCTTTGTACGGCGTCTGAGAGAACGAGAGAAGACAAACCGCTTCGAAGAGACCGATGAATGGGAGCAGATGAATGGACTAGTGGTCGACTCATCGATAGAGGGTGAAGTTGGAACAAAGAGGAAGGGGATCTTACCATTTTGTGCCTGGATCTTGTACTTTCGACAGAATATACAGGCACCAAAACGAATCAATCAACAAGCTTGCCGAACCTAGAAAGGCGAAGAGCGCAGTCATTGTGTCGGGATCAGCGGTGAAACAATGAACGAGCCCCTCCGTGATTTTGGGTGCAAGAAATGGGGTGGTATCGCGAACCTTGTGAAGCGAAGAGTGACGGAAAAGTAGCTATTGTAAGACAGTTGGGAAATGAGAAAACATTGTAAAAGCCTCGAGTCCCTCCTTTGGAAGTCTTCGTGGGGAGAAATTATGGCGTGGAAGCGTTGGGTGGTTTGGGCTCTGTCGGGTATCTGGCCTCGACTTAACTACAGAATGGGGAGGCACCAGTAGACGTCTTGAAGGCTGACGGCAGTTGGCTCGGTAGGACACTGATGCCTGAGGCGAGCTGCCTCCCGCCTCTCGCTTTAGTGACATCGAGGGCGGTGGAGTGACCTCTTGCTTGTGGCCCTACTTACCATGGCCAGCTACTACTCCTTCCTTTCTATTTTGTGCCGTGTTACATTCCCCATCTGCCAGACAAATCAAACTCTTCATAACAAACAAACAGCCAAGTGTATGCATTTATCAAACACCAATTGCCCTGTCCTGCTAGCACTGAAGTCTACTGCTAAACAAATTATCGTACTAGTATTCTACACTCAATTGAAATCTCTGCCACCAATGTATGTACTATATATGCAGTGGGATGCCCTGGAGACGGAAGGGTGGCAATTCACTTTCATCTACATCGGCCATTGGCCTGTAGATCAGAACAATTTCTTTGTTTTCATGGGTAAGTTGCTGCCTCTACGGATGCTCATTTTTCTCACGACCAGGACTAATGACTTTGCCAGAGCTTTATACTATTGAATGATCAGCACAAGCCTCCCTGGGAGCTATTCCATCCGCATACCAGCTGTCCTACACGTGAACAATGATCCACTAAACAGAATCACTCCACTTCCCAGCCTTTCGAATCCCTGCCCCTGCAATCTCCTACGGACCAGGTTCCCCAGACTGGGCGTGGAGTTGGGCATGGGCGGGCGGAAATTCGCTTGGCGTAGTCGCAAGCAAAATTTGATTCAGACGTGCAGGCAGTAACGTAATTACAAGTGACTGATAATTGTTCCGGCCCTCCAAGGCTTCCTGGATTCGTAATGGGCCAAATTCCGATCCTCTACCCTCCGAAAGTGCTAAGAGTCGCGATGCCCATGTCTGCCAATTTCTCTGGTAGTGGTCCCAAGCGCCCTAACCGAGCTTTGTCTCAAACTCTCCCACAAGAATCCTCAGACCAGAACACATATTCCGCCACTATCGCGGTGGGAAGGGGGGGTTTGTTTCTGATTGGGCCTGGCCACTGTCTTTGTCGGAACCTGAGTTTTGTTCAACTTTTAGCTTGTGACCCTCAACGTCCGTGTTGTTGGCTCACCTTGAACTTGATTGTTTGAAGACACGCGAAATTGATAGACGCCGAAAGGAGAGTCGCTGAATTTGCAAGGAGCAGGACCGAGTCTTGGGGTAGAAGCGGGACTAGGCAAAAAACAGGGGCCGGATCATGAGAGGGTGATTTCGGGCAAAAGAAAACAAAAACAGCGAGATGACAATCAGAATGAAAAAAAGGAAGATGAGGATGGAGAAAAAGACCAGCGGAAGAATGAACCAATAAAGGACGAAGAAAGTGATCGAAGTCGCGTGTGGCTCCATGGCGATGATTTGAGACTGATGAGTGTGAGAGATCTCGGATGGTTGTTGATTGATAAATCAGCGTACTAAGCACAAGTGTTGCACGACGGGCAAATGTCACCCAGAGAAAGAAAATTGGTGGCCAGTCAGATGCAGGGTAGCTCATACGTCATTGGGAGAAATGCACACGCGCTGTTGGCTGCGTTGGCTGAGCAGTGAATGTGTGCGGACAGCTGCAGCCACCAAGCCATGTCTTTTCAGCTGGGTGCCCGAGCTCCAACGAGCGTGCAGCAGCTGTGCCAGACGGACTGCCAACAGCCATGCTTAGCTCTGACTTGGATATGGACCTTGTCTGAGACATTGTGATATCATTTGGGTACGGGAGACCTGGCCCAATAGGCAGCCTCGCTCATAAATGACAAGTGACGGGCGGATTTCAGTGAGAAATAAGTGCGAATTTCTTTTTCCCATCCCACAGCGATTAATTATAAGAACCCACGACTCTTCTATTCTTGTCTTTTTAGATTCCCTGGGGAAATGCTCCGAAAAAATACTTGCCTCCTCCCCCCACCACCACCATGTCTCGCCAGGACCACGTGTCGAGCGCAAGCAAGACCGAGGCCTACTATCTAAAATTGATCAACGTTGAGTTCTACCTATATTTCTTGGGGGATCATAATAGTACCCATACAGGTGACAGAAATGGCTGACCAGTTGGATGCAGCTCCCTCCCCACACTCGGTGGCAGGATCTCGAGGCCTTCGTATCACAGAGCTGCGAAGTCGATCGCGTTTTTGTTGTCCCCAAAACGGGCCAGGGATGGGTCTGTGTTAAGCACAGGCATAATTTCCTCAAGGCATACGGTATGATTTATTCCCATCGGTTTTTCTCGTTCCTTCGGCTGATGTTGTCTTCTGCTAGAATGCCTGCACCAAGCCAGATTCAGGGGCAATACACTTTACGTCTCCGAGCATAATGAGGACGGACCTATCTTCATCAGACTGCCTCTGGATGCCGACGACACGGACCGCGGGAGGACCGATGCGCCCAAGTTTACCATCAGCACCCTCATTGAAGCGCTGGCCAGCAACACGTTGAGGGAGCTGGCCGGCGCCTCAGGGGGTGAACACTAGAGCTTGATACTGCGGTAGTGAACATTAAAGTCAAGCTCAGGGCGTTTTGCTTTCCAGAGCGGTTTGAATTTGGGCTTCTAGTCATAATTGGGCAGTTAGGAAGACAGTCTGTGATCTATGGCCGTTGTCTTTGTGACGAATCAGGAGTCACAACGCATTGTACTCGCATGTTGCACGGACATCTTTTAGCCTGCCAAGCTAGATAATTGAATTCTACGTGAAGATTGATTGTTTTGAAGCCTGCTCAAAGGTGAGACTTCACGTTGCCAATTCCTACTTCCCAGCTTGATGTGACATGTAGTAAGTGCACTACCAAACTACGAAGCTAAGAATCGCTCAATCGATGAAACCAGACCAACGCCACTCACTTCGCAAGAATAAAATACATATCCCAGATCTGCTAGACGGAATTCTCGGGTAACTTTCTGTAACATTGTGAAAGGTCCAGTGTGGCATTGCTTGCTCAGTGGGCATATAAGCTCAAGACTGATTAGCCAGTGACTACACAAGACCCCTGTTAAGGTGGTCTTAGCTTGAGGGAAAGAAAAAGGGGTGGGTCAGATGGCATAAGGCTGAATTAAGCTTTGCATTCCAAGAACATGACTCAGGGAATGTTGCATCTTGTGGGGAAAGATATGTCTGTTCCTAGATGAAAGAGAACAACCTGCACGTTTGAAGAAGACCTTAGAAGGAGTCGTGACAGCTCCGTGTATTGTTCTCCTAGCAAGCTTGACGGGAACCTTTGCTATTTGATCTATTCATGTTGTGTATGGCAGCAAAACAAGTAAATAATAGCTGAGTGACCCCCACGTGAGCATCTCGCCCCATCGCTTCGCCGTTACACACGGCACTGCTTTCCGGAACGCGTGATTGTATCTTATTGTTGATGCCTTCGTTGCCTAGAACGTTCATGAAGACAAACAAAGCAAGTACCCCCCGTGTTTGTCCCCACGCATATGGGCTCCCGTCCCATTGTCCACCCGGGTTCGGTTATTCAGGTCACTGGGCAGACCTGCTGCAGGTACTTGGTTCGGTTGTATCTCAAGAAACATCCCTCTGAAGAGGCCTCTGAAGAGGGGCACTGTTTCTGAGGGGATGTAAGTAAACACGCGTTGTCTGGCAACCCAGCCTTCTCGTTCCTCTCGTTCCCCCCCTTCCCCCCCTCTTCCTCTTCCTCTTCCTCCTTCCTACTTCTCATCTTTTCCAACTTCTGCACATCAACTTTTTCTCTGGGATTCCTTTGCCACCTTGTTCTTGAACTAGCAAGTTAAACTATCTTCAAACATCCAAGCTTGCAGTTGCCACTTGTATCTTTGCCGAACACAAAGTCCAGCTATCATGGCAGGCGTTGGTATGGCTCCGTGCCCCCCGATCCGAGGCGTCCTGGGCGGCCTTTTGTCCAGAAGAATCACTCGTACGTCACTACTTCTCCCTAAATATCGAGGAAACCTTTGACCATTCATGAAACTAATACCCTCATCTTCAGTTCCTACAAGCCAAGACCAGCCTGCCAGTGTCAAGAAGACACCTAAACCAGTGCTCGAGCACATCGCCAACTTCTTCAAATGCAACCGGAACACAGAGAAAGAGTCGCTCTCAGAGAAAGTATGTGATCGACGTGCCTACATGCCCAAGTTCACAAGGCACCCGAAGCCTAAAGGGCACCTAAAGCCAAAGGCAGTTGCCAACTCTAGCAAGCCGAAGCTCGAGATCGTTTCCTGCCTCGAAAAGCTTAAGAGGCATATCAAAAGTGACAAAACTCGTCACAGCTCGGAACCACTCTTGGTCCCGGCCGATCTAGGCCAATCTTCCACACCCGACACCGTTACCTCTGACCAGCCCAAGGTGTTTGTTCTCGAAGGTCATAACGATGATCCGATATGGTTTGATCATGTGAGGCCCGAAGGTGCTATCGACAAAAGCATGAGGGTGTTCGACATCGCAAAGGCAGATGTCGTTCTACTTACCGTGGGATCAGTGAACGATCCACTCCTCACTAAACGACTGTCTGAAATTCCAGATGAAGAGTCCAGAGTTATTGTCGCTTCACGCAACTTCCGACTCCGAGGAGTCCCAGCCGACCGCTGCACCATCGTCACAGCAAATCCTTCAGCCGATTTTGATGGAACTTCGGCTATCGACACTTCGACCAGAGTGAGACTACCAGTCTTCCCCCCATCCAATTTCTCTATCGGCATTGTGGCGAATGATCCGCAGACGGTCCTCGACTGGGTCAACCACCGGCGTGAAATTCCGGAAACCCTGCAGATAGGGGACCATACAATCACTTTGATCAGTAACCACAACCCGGACCACGGCAGCCCAGTGGATGGATACATCGTCATCGCAGAAGAAAACTACGAGACGATCGCGCTGCCCAAGGAACCTTTGCCCATAGTAGGGGTGTACAAGGATCCAGACATGGATGCGCTCAAGCAACTGCCAGGTGCAACAAGAACCCACCCTCTGGCTGTCTGTCTTTCGGACCCAGTGCCGGCCTTGGTGAAAAGAATCATCTGCCGGAAGCTTGTGGAGAAGAAGAAACTTCACAGATTGTCATTTGACAGAGCCGAGCGTTCCATCGATCGCTCCACCATCACGCAGTCACCGATGCCGACGATTAGAGAGTAGACTGTCTGCCGACACAGACGGCGAAGCTTCATGCACTACAAAAGATGGGGCAACATCACATTCCGACAACATGAGACCGACCTCACAGAAAAGCCTTCAGATTGCAGTTACGACAGACACGTTTTCGATTACATAGATATTGACAGAGCCCGAAGCTCAAAAGAGACGAATTACGAGCGATACCACGATACGCGAGACATGGATGCTAATTCACGTCCTCCCTCTGCCCAAGAATGCCGAATATCAGGCAACAGGACGAAGGATGAGGCTTATTGGAGTTTTTTGATCGTTGAAAATCCGGATGGGAAAGTTTACTGGCGCAAGGAGTTTGAATCGATTATTTTGGTGACGAAGCTGAGGTGAAAATGGACCAAATTGATGCCTTTGGGCCCGAGAGTCCAAGATTGTACCTACCAATAGCTCAGAATACTAAGTTCAGCAATTTTAGGTTTTGAATTTTTTAATACTTGTCACATTTCAACTCTCTAGATGGCGTGCGGACGTGACCGAACTTGAATCATAGGAAGGACTTGAGGGGAAAAGGGCGAAGTCCAGGGTAGCTAAAATACATTGGTGCAGGCCCTCGAATACCAGTGCAACTCCCGCTCCAGAACTTCCCTCCGACCTAAACAACTAGGACGTAGCCCAAGCACCGATTAGCAACCCGAATCATCTTCACGAAAGCTGCGCTAAGGAGCTCGACTGATCAACGCCGAAATCTTGATTTTGCCTATCACCTCCTCTCCTCTCCCTGGTTATATGCCAATCTGTCTGTAAGACTATTCATCGTCCGACTTTTCCTTATTGTATTTAACTGAACCACGATCACAGGTGGACTTGACCTCATCGAACGTTTCCGATCCGTACATTCTGAATTTGCGATACACGAGGGCAAACGCGGCCCTGCAGATTGAGCGACAACTTTTCGAGCAAAGAAGGTTGCAGCACTACACTGGAGGAGAACAAGCATGCCAACAACGACTGGCAATAAGAGACCGCGGAGTATGGAAAGGCCCCGAAAGAAGTACGAGCATACTGATACGTACGTAAGAGAAATTGAGTACAAAGTTGAACGGCAGTGGAAGATGCCAGAGCCTGACATCTCAACACAAGAAATAGAGCAACTCAATACCCCCAGCGTGAAAGCCGACACCGGGATGCAGATTCCGGTTCGGCCGGAGAAGCCAACGACGGGCGGTGCGTACAAAGGCCAAGGACGAAATCAAGGCGAGCAGATGGCTTGCGCCTCCCAGGGAATGTTTATCAATGGTAGACAATTGCAATGCTTCATCTATAGCACGACGGGGTCGTCAGTGTAGCGTGCGTGCAGCCAAGAACATCCAAGGGCAACACAGCATTCTCAGCCGCCGCGAGCTCGTGCTAACGAGAGCCAGTAGACCTCAACCTCCTGCCTCCCAGATCGCCGGCCTGTTAGACCTCCCGAAGACGAGATTTTGATATCACCTGTTCGACAACCCGCAACTCGCCTACACAATGCCCAGCGGCCTTTCGACCCTTGGCGGATACTCTCGACCTCCACGTGGCTACCTCGATAGCTATTGAATTATTAAAGTCCTCAACAGGGACTTGACTCTGCAGCACCGATCAGACCGAAACCCGCACGATGCCCCCGAGGAGCATAAGCAGGTCAACAAGAGAATGAGTCGTGTGGATTGCGGTGCTGACAACGTCATCGGAATAATCATCCCCCTGGCCACATCCCACATCTCAAGTTGACAAACAAATGCTGCTTTGAGACTACCTAAGCACACACTCGGGATCAGGTAACTGGAGGATTGGGTTGGAGGGGTATAAGTAATGTGCTGGTGGCTGTAATATTTCTTGGGTCATGTTCTCAGCTTGGGGGTATCAGGGCTCTTGAGTCGGCATTTATTGTCTTACATAGAACTTATAAGTGGTAAGATGCAGACATGAGGTACTTCATAACTGAAATATATTGATTTCTTTGGCACAATTTACCACAAAGAGTAACCTTGTTGTTACGATCTGTATTAAGCCGTCCTTCGCCTCGATTTACCCAACATAGACCGGTTTTTATATAGCTCCAAGCTACCGAGTGCTTCCCCTGATGTCTTGAAGTCGAGATAAGATACTCTCACTTCTTATTCATTGTGTTAGATGTCGGATTTTGTAAGACAAGTGTTTGTAACCCTGAGTTTTACCAACCAAATCCATTCCATTATGGCATCTTGATGTATCCTCCGTTGCTCTCTGAGCTTCCATGCCTTACAAATCAAGACTTGGACTGGAAAGAAAAAAACGACAAATAGGAGAACTAAGTTCAACTACCACCCCGTATCGTTTCCAGGTGCACGATTCTTCAATGTATCCATTGCATTCGGGCAGTCCTTCGTATCTGAAACCGACTCGTGGTACTATCCTCGTTGGGTTAAAATATCCGGTCTGGCATCTTCTATTGTTATTCTTCACTTTATGCACGAACTCTCAGGCGCGGCGGGTGTTGAAGTAGTCATGCTTATGACTTCGGATGACCTTATGTACGGCCGGGCGTAAGCCTCGTAGCCGGGCAAAAAGACTGAAGTTTAATGTGTTGTGATACTGGGTACGGTGTCAAGTTTCAAATTCTTGGTGTTTTAGAACCCCCCCCCTTTTTCTTTTTCAGCAGCTGCCGCATAACTGTATAGCCCTCTCACTTGCTATGACTTCGGATGAATCCTGAGGGTCGGAAGTGGCATGGGAAACGAGTGACAAGGTGCGGTCTTGAGGTTTTGGAAGTTGTGGATCGAGCATTCGTATTGTGTGAGTCAAGCTACTCAAACTCTCACACCCTTGAATTATCCACCCTGCTCGACCCTCCAGCATGTACAGGAAGATGCTGGGTATCATCTCTAGCTGCATCATTCTTCGATGGTCCTGCTGCCAGCCAGTGTAAGTGCTCTGGTCAAGGGGCTACTCCTATTGACTGGGTTGCCCGAAAGCCTCGAGCTTGGTGAGCTGAAGTGTTTGGATGAAGACGAGTATGAAGCCAGGCGAGAGAGCCTACATTCGACGAGCAGCTCGCCTGGACGGCAAATGAGTCGTTGGTATACTGCATGCAGATTTACAAAGTTGAATGGCTGCAGCCTTGGACTGGCAGAGCCCTTTTCCACCTTTTGTTGTGTCGAAATCTCGTGCCTGGCATCTTCATGGCTATTTTGTCACTTTGTACTCGAAATCTTTCACCCATTGTGCATTCGGCTTGATCAGACTCAACTTCTGGCTTGAGCCTTGACAGTGATGTCTCAGCATTGCAATTATTGCTCTTCAACGAGGAATCCCTAGTAAGCGCAAGCTATCACCTTGCGTTGATTCCTATCAAGGACACAACTTCCACACCCATATGGACATAGGTTATTCATTGCGCTGAGTTGTTCCGGGCTCTGGCAGCTTCATTGTTGTTAAAGTTTCTTATCGTATTCTCCCACGCATGGACATAGGTTTCGGCGGAATCACCCTAGGTCCCATGTGCCCTGTATCCGACGCCTGCCTAGGGTTGATGCTAAACCGGGAATGCTTGCGCCCTACAGAACCGCTGTTCTGGCATGCGAGGGGCGTGAGGTGGGAGTGTTGGTTACTCTAAGTGTTGCTTGCTTGCAACCTTGATTCTTGTTTTGGTCCCGTGTGCCCTGTATCCGACGCCTGGCTCGGGGTGATGCTGAACCGGGAATGCTTGCACCCTACAGATACAGAACCGCTAGTCTGGCTTGCGAGGGGTGTGAGGTAGGCGTATTGGTTACTCGAACTGTTGCTTGCCAAAGCTTCCTTTATTAACCTTTCGTATTCATTGTATTGAGTTTGTTGGGTCTGACATCTTCTTCGTTTTAACGTTCAAGCTATCTCCTCCGGAACTGTTGCTTGCTTGCAACCGAGATAATTCTTGGTTTGGTTTGGAATCTTCTGAGTAGTTTTCATCAACGAATCTCTTGGTGCTGGCGTCGATGAAGAACGCAACGAAATGCGATAAGTAATGTGAATTGCAGATTTCCGTGAATCATCGTATCTTGGGCCGCGCATTTTAGCTCGACGATGGATTTCAACCGGACAAAAGGGCTTCGAAACCTCTCTCGAGTACCAGCGGGATGTCAAAGTCCCATCTGCCAGCGACCCCTAGTATTCCGGCAGGCATGCGTCAACACGATCAACACCTCAAGGTTAGACATTTGTCCGGCCACGAGGCTTGCACTTGGCCGTACCTGAGACTCAACTCCAACAATGACTTGCGCCCGGCATGATGACTCTTTCCCCCGTTTGGGTGAACACCGTCAACATCTTCAGCATTGGCGAACTGCCTACTACTTGAAGGGATCCGTAATTCTCCAGCAGAAAGACTCTAAATTTGTTGGCCACCGCAACTGAGAGAGACAATTCGCGAAAGGAGGGACCGCATATTTCATTTTGCTTATTGTCGGTTTTTGTGAAGACAGTCGAGCTCGTCGATCGGTGTATCGATTCAGAGAATTGGGCCTTGGTCAGGTTGCGAGGACTTGGCAGTTCGGGGGCAACAGCCGACTTCAAGCCGGCGCATCTAATGTTTCTTGTTAGGTATGGCCATTCATGTCTTTGAGGGCAGGGATAACATACCGGGAGGGGCTTGCCATTCCGCTCCTCGCTTGGTCGTGGGTTTGAGTAGTCATACAAGAGCAGCTCTTAGCTCGTCGCGACGGGAGAAATAATTTAGAAAAAGAATTGAGCTTGGCTGAATTACGAAAACGTGAAAGACATATGAGGTGTGGAATGGGCACGAGCCAATCCAGCTTAGGATCAGAGAGATCTTTTGGTGAGGTAGAGAAAACAAAGAGCAAAGCTTTGTTACCTAGTCCGAATCTGAAGCTAGAGATCAAGGGAGAATTTGGGGTCGGACTATTCGGGATGGTATTCTTTGATCTTTCCACCCCTTTCTGTGTCATTGTGGTAGGGGGGTGCTGATAGAGCCCCGTATATGAAGATGAGAAATATTGACCGTTGTTCGTCTCACGGAGGGTCTCCTGTATAAAGAGATTGGTTAGGCTGGCATAGGCGGCAATAATGCTATAAGGTGGAATAAATGATGGTGAAAAAGGTAAAATGATGCACTACTGGACGCCTGATTTCGATTACTCTATGGCGTGTCCTTCAGAAAATATGACTGCGCTCGATGCCATCGAAAGAGCTGTGCGGAGAGAATTCCGGGTTGCTCAATGTTGGTAAGCTTATAGCTCGACATGGGTAGCCTAAGCACACCTTGTTGCAAACTTGTTGAATGCTTCATCAGCGAGGAGTCTGCTCATCGCCTCTGATTCTAGCCCGACAACAATTTCCAGGCTACCGTCTCTCAATCTTGGGAGAATGATGATATTACCATCTGAGCCCTCGCCCGGGACTCTCATGGAATCGATGAAACCTAATGCACCCCAATTTCTTTCGTAAACTTTCACATCAGTCCAGGATGTGGCAACAACGTTTGGTCCAAGGAAAGCGTTGAATAACAGCTTGAAATCTGTGGGGTCAGGCCTCGAACCGAGGAGACCGATTGTCAAAGGCACTCTGTTGGGGCTATTGAACGCAACTAGGGACTTGCGAATGGCAGTAGCAGCTTGCTTCAGCCCGTTCTCACCGAGAAGGGTAGCTGCGGTAAGTGGCTCCGTCGTTGTGCACATCGATCCATTGCCTAGATACGTTGGCGGAAGCGGTGGACTTGTACGGCTGCGAATGTTGATAGCGTACCACATCGAAGAAGCTTTGTTCGTTGTGTCGTCTTGGGTAGAGGAGGCCTCACCGGTCCATCGAGCGACTGTCATTCTGCTCCACAAGAAAGCGCACAGTGCGTCGTTGGTCGAGAAAGCAGCGGCGGAGGACTTGAGCTCAGCAAGCGTCTGCGGGGAGAAGCAGAAGACGTGTGTGACGAGTGAGGGAAGTTGAGGAGACATCTGAGCTGGTGGCAGTTGGGATGCTGGTATCAGTTGATACTCTGGAAAATGGGACAAGGGTGCTCCGGAAATCCCGTTCATAAGGGGTTCACGGTCGTGTGATGGGGAGTCATAAGTGCTGAAAGAGCTACAACCGCTGGCTGCAGCTGTGTTCTGTGCCCAGATGCCGATAATTGTGTCAAGGGCCGTGGCGTCTCCCGCTGCGTGGTGGATGCCTACTGATAACAACAGTCCGCCCTTGACAAAATTGGCCTGTGCCTTCATCACTGGCTGTGGAGGTTCTGCCATCACTCCGATTGGGCCGACATCGTCAGTTGAAAGTCTTGAAAGTGGGAAGCCGTCCGCTTTAAGATCATCGTAAGGTGGAAGAACGTCTGTTAGGTCTCGATAGCTAGGTAAAGGCAATGATGGTGTAAGTTGTGATGTTCTCGAGAGATAAGAGATGGAAGGCTGTGTATGCACTGACCAAAAGCTGAGGCTTGACAAGGACTCCACGATCTGAATTCTATTTTTCGATATTTCACTGCCTTCTTCGGGTCCCTATGAGGAAAAGAAAAACATGTTAACCTAGGGGCGGCAAGAGGGAACTGGCATAATGGTTATACTCACAATAACGCCGGCGATCCAAGGAATGGAGCGGATGGTGTGGGCAAGTCCGATTCTCAACTTGTCGTACCTGATAACATGTTAATTAGTTTCTTCGACTGAGATGGGGAGGATGGTCATATACATACACTTCGTGGTAGTCGGCGCCATTCTCCAGCGGAAAACACAATATCCACCTTGCGCCGTACACTCTTGGCACGTTCATGTCTAGTGGGGTGAGCTTTTGTGTGGAAGGTGATTCTAGTAAGCCATATTTGCTTGGTGTTACAAATTGAGCCATCGTGCGAAAGAAAGGGTTGACCAGCGAGATTATGGAGAAGTAGAGTGAAGAGAAAGTGTGATTCATGAGCGCTGGGAGGAAGCCATATATAGCCCAACAAATCGTTGAGCAGGCCTGGGAAATCAGGCAGCTATAGGCAAATAGAAGAATGCGAATAGCAGCTAAGTCCTGATTGTGACCTGAAGGAGAGTGTCCTGAGCTGAAGATTACTCTGCAGTAGTGGGCTTGATTATCAAACTTCCTCGACGCTGAATGGACATCTCAAAGCATACTCCATGTGGTTTAGTGTTTGGATGGAGCCAGGCTTTGAATCCCTGTCGTTATCCATGGACCCCTGACGCTGTTGTTGGTTCCGCACTTCACTCGCTGGCACAACCATTGAATGCTACACGCAATCAAACCGAAGCGACTCAGGACCACCGAGGAGAGTACGGCTCGGTGTGCTCAGAGCCAGCCGTGCTTGTGAATCTCCGCTAGCAGCAATGCCCTGGAGTTGCCATCTGATCCATCGTCGTTGATTTTCTGGAATCGTGGCTGCGCCAGATGCCACATACAAGGGCCAGATAAGGGAGAAGCTTCCAGTCGGAAATTGTTTGGCTTGTTTTCCATCTCCCCAATTGGCAGGGGGGCCATACCATTCTGGGGGGCCATACCATTCATGGCCTCGCTGCTGACACTTTCCCACACCCGCCGGTACAGTCATTCTCGACAGATCATGCCCTAAAAGGAATGGAACACTGGCACAAATATCATCCACCATGTCTTGTATTTGGCTTTCTCTTTCTGCGTTTCTGGCGGCCATGTGCTGACTGTCGTGGCGGCTTGCTCGTGATGAGGTTGTTGCTCGACATAGTAGCGTTATCAAAATGAGGCGCGAAACGCGATAGAAATTCCAAACACGAGCCACGTAGAAATCTGAATATCGATGAATATGCTTGGGAGAAAAGTCCCGCAAATGTGGTGAGTGTTTGATTTCAGTTGCTTGGGTATATGACCAGGAGTTTGGAAGGCTGTCTGCCCAATTTGAGAGCTCCTCGTCGATAGCCTCGACGCTCTTAGCCAACTTCTCGGCGTGAGACTTATCGGCACCTTCCAGCCGATTGAGAAATCGAGGCCATGGCTCTGTAGTGCAGGTATCTTGGATGCTATGGTGAACAGCTGATTCTCTGGGTCCTGAAATGCGCTGGGTTTGGTGAAAACCTCGTGGACTGGGGAGCAAGCTTGCATGTGGCTCAGAACCTAGAGCAAAGTTTAGCAAGCTGATAATGGATTATAATCTGTAGAAAAAAGCTTACAATGCTTTTGCGAACAAAGCAAAACAGGCCTTGGGCCAGCTGTGACTGGAGCATATTTGACCCTCGATATTGTACCAGAGCAGCTCCTCCGCTGACATGAGTGTCCCAAGCTGAACGCATGGTTGTTTCCCGAGTTATGGTCTAGTAGGATGACCCATTGTTAGCCTAAAAAGAAGAAGGATTTCGATCCAAAATCTCAAACACGAACCTCGTAGCCACAGAGGAGGAGGACTGCGTACAATGTCTCATCCGTTTTTGCTTGGATAGGATCCTGGATGGCGCGTTGAATTGCAATGAGGGCCGCATCATATCTTTGTCTTGCTGTTCTCCTGGAGTCTGGTACCAAATTCGGAAGCAGGACGTGTGAAACTGACTCAGTTGCCAAGCGTAGAGCAGACCCTATCCTGCTTTTGGTGTATAGGTTCGGTAGGTACATTTGAAGCTGCCGTGTGGGGTCCTTTTCTGAAAGATTGCTCAACGTGGTGGTATAGAAGTGGCAAATGGCAATATCCTGGCTTTGTAGAGAAAGAAGAGACGATGGTGGGGGAGCCAGGTGTTGGGGAAAACTCGCGGCCCGCCCAGCATGCCTTCGGCGAGCCTTGATTTGGGTCCTCGCAGTCTCGTCACGGAAGATCAGAGCTGATTGATCTCTATACCCAACACACGTCCTTCCCATCCGTACGCATCGTGAGCAAGAGGGCTGTCGCTGATCGCACTATGTAGGTAGTGGTTAAAAAGTGATGTGTGTATTGTGTGATTCTTGCTTTACCTTGGTGTGTAATCTCCTGAGCAGACAGCTGGTGTTAGTAAATTAGACCAACGATATAATAACAAACTTACCGACAGTTTTCACATCCCCGGCTTGGTTTCCCACAATATACCATGGTTCTTTTCTGCTTGCAAATATGACGGACTGCAGAGCCAGGCTTTTCTGTAAGAAAGGGGTTTAGGTGGAGAAGCCAACAGCACCTGCTGGGATGAGATAGGGCCTGATTAGGGAGGCTGGTCGGATCAAAATAACACGTGACCCCCCGAAACCCCACAGGTCAGGGCCTCAAGTTCCCTGTAACACTCATTGTAGTGGCTTTACCCCTGTAAGGATCACTAATGTATCAGGTATGGATGTACCTAGGTAGGTAAGTAGGTATGCACAAGCGAGGAAGCTTCTGCTTACGAGACCTTCCTTCTTCCTCCTTACGATTCTATACAAACATCCGAGTTGGCACTTCATTGCACCCCGCCCATGTCCAGGTCGATACAGACTACGTTTTTAATGCACACCTCGTTCCCGTTCGTGTCATAGTGGCCGCAACGGAAGACAATGCCAAGCTTGACCGCGGTACGTACAAGCACACAACGTTGTTTTCAGTATGTCTCGCTAATCCAGACCTAGCTCAACAACCCCGAGACCTTAGCCTCCTCCATAATTGTCAAGAAGATCGAGTCTCAAAAGAAGAAGAACAATAACGGCAATAAACGCCCCTCTCACGATCAGGCTGAAGGAAAAGTCAGTGAAGCAGCGCCTGCCAAAGTCGAACGCAGGGAAGGACCCTTCTGCTGGGGACGGTTCGAGGGAATCTCTTAATTTGGTGATTTCGTCCACGACGGATTCTTCAAATGGCACCGTTTTATGCATTCTATACCTACACCCCGCTGGGATTCTCCGCAAAGAGCAACGTTGGGTCCGCAGTTCGCAGCGATCACTCGTCTCAACAGCCCTTCAGTTCCTGAGCATGTGCACTCGGGACCTCCTGGTCTCACACAAGCTCCTGGCAGCTGCTTTTCCAGCTCCTTAGCCTGTGTACTCGGGACCTCCTGGTCTTCCTCGGTCACTGGGATAGCTGCCTGCTTCAACGCTGACCTGCAACTGGACTATGGCCTGGAATGCAAGCTCCTGGCTGCTTTTCCAGCTCCTCAGGCTGTATACTCGGGACCTCTTGGTCTCATACAAGCTCCTGGCAACTATTGCCGGCGTGGCTTGGGCGCCTCAAGAAGAGTGCTCAGCGCACAGCTTCAACCATGGCGGTGTCCTCAGACCGGGCATCCTCAGTACGACGTACCGCACGCGGCCGCTTTCGTGAGGGTCGACGCCCTGCAGCAATCGCTCGTCTTGACGGAAGACAGGCGGTAATTCATTACCGCCTATTGCACTTTGTCTCGAAAAGCATCTTGTTTCTTCGCGACAGTGCAACTCACCCCACCTCGCATGGATCAACATCAACTGTGTTAATAGCATCAGCCTGTCATGAGAGAAAGAGAATAAAGTCTAACAGCAATGGAAGCTACCAGAGCCTGACCACTGAGCTCGGGACTGGTGCGGAGGAAGAGCAAACCGAATGGAACGGCCGGATTGTTAGACATGGCCGAGACCTAGCCGTCAACCTCGCTGACGAGGCCGGCAAGATCCTGTCTGCGGCCGCCTACGCTGACATGGTTAATCACCCGCCTTGGAAGATTCTTGGGAAGATTAATCCTCGTATTTGCGACTCATCTGTGATAACTCGATCGCGGTTAACGAGATCAAGGAAGGGTCTGACTTACCTGCTCGAGGCTGCACAATAGCATCAGCCTGCCATGCTAGCATTACGCCACCAGGGCACCGGCTAGCATCTTTGTTGTGATCGGGGTCTCATGACCTTGGGCGCACGGGCGGAGTTTGCTTTCTTACCATTTTAGTCGATAATTGTGTCGCAGAACAAGGGCGGGCTTCACCTCTGACAATTGAATACTGATGCCCCCGACTGTCCCTATTAATCAATACAGGACAGAGGTCCTAGAAAAGGACAGAGGTCCTAGAAAAAGACAAAATAGAATTATGCGTCCTATTTTATTATTCCACGATATTTTATCGCAAGAAGGAGGAAGATGGGCGAAGGGTGTTGAAGTTATAGGTCAAACCACGGATGGGAGAGTTCGAGTACAAAGTATAAAACCGTAACAAAGATACTAGACCCGACATCTCAACACAATGAATAATAAGTTTCATCACAAATATTTCTTCAAATTCTGCGTGCTCAGTTCTAGATCTGATTGTTGTTTCATGCCTTGCATCGTGACCTAATGGCTGAGCTAAAAGCCGCAGCAGCGTATCTACTGATGCAAAAACGTCTAGACAGGTACGCAAGAAAACTCAAGGCAAATGCTTTGAGGCTTTGTTGCGCAAGACCAATCATTAAGCGACTCTCATAACGCTCCCGTTCCCCTCCACTATCCTACAGAGTCCCATTGTCACTGGCTAAGCCTCTGGATGGTCAATCTTGATGACCACCTTCGCAAAATGCTTCTTCTCCTTCAGGCGCCTATAGGCTTCCTTTGCCTCGGCCAACTCGAACACTACATCGTCCACAGCGGGTACGATTCCTTTCTCGTCGATATAGCGCACTGCCTCCTTGAGGTGTGTTCTGCTACCGCCCAGAATGCCACGAACAACGCAGGTATGGAGGAGGACAGCAAAAAGGGGCACCGCGTCCGCGTTGGCTCCAACGCCACCGATCACTTGGACTAGGCCGTCAACCCGCACTGAGGCCAGGGACTGTGCGAGGGTTTCGTTGCCGCCAATGTCAATGACAAAGTCGAAGCCACGCCCATCAGGAGTGAAGCTACGAGCTTCTTGACCCCAGGAGCCAGGGCTCGTCCGGTAATTGACTGTGTGCTTTGCGCCGAGAGCCTTGAGACGGGCAGCCTTCTCATCCGAGGAAGTCGTTGCTACCACATTGGCCCCGGCCGCAGCGGCAAGTTGCAAGCAGGCAACGCTGACGCCGCCAGTCCCCTGCACTAGGACCCAGGACTCAGGTCCGACGTGATGGCCCTTGAGGCCGAAAAAGGCGTTCCAGGCCGTGGTCCAGTTGCAGGTGAGCGTTGAAGCAGGCAGCCACCCCAGGGACCTGGGCGCATGGACAAGGCCAACCTCCGGGAACACGCCGTGAGACCGCAGAGTTCCATCGTCTCCTTGGCCGAGACAGAGCACAGCGTCAGCCAAGCCAGCCAACGCGTCATCGCCGTCTCTCTCGGCAAGCTTGGGTGCCAGGTAGGTGATGACACGGTCTCCGACGTGGAATTGTTGGACGGCTGGACCGACAGCCTTGACGACACCAGCGCCATCGCATCCGGGAACGATCGGTGGGTTGATAGGACCATTGATACCCTTGATCGAATGTTAGCATCTAGAATGTGTACACAGCTATTCTTCGACTTACAGCCGGGCCAGCAATAACAAGCTCTCGGTAGTTGAGGCTGGCGGCGTGCAACTCAACCAAGACATCCTTGGGCCCGAGCTCGCTTGCAGATGGGACTTCAACATCCTGCTGGTACTCGAGAGAGGTTTCGAAGCCCTCTTGTCCGGTTAAAATCCATCGTCGAGACATCTTGCGAGGGGTGTGAGGTGGGAGATGGGTCGCAGTATGATCTTTTTCCTATTAGTTTCAAGTCTTATGTGTCTGGTAAGATCGGTGAATGGATTGTATAAAGACGTACATCGGAAGGGATTATATCCTTCTCTGGAGGCTGGAAAGACTGGCCTCCACCAGCCCCGAGAGCGGTGGTTTGTAATACGCCCCATCGAGGCGAAGTGGTGCATTTGCTGGATGGGGTACTCGTGGAAGAACCGAAATGATTACAGATCCTTGAGAGACGGACTTTGTGCAGTCATCACAAGTCCGCAATCACTAAGAAGCAGGTGCGACCCGTATAGACAATTTATTCAGAACTCCCAACTACCAAGTATGCAAGCCTTTTTTAAAACAGGTAATATCTATTTTTTATTTTATTTTCTTGTCCTGTTTGAAAATAATTTCAAGAATAAAATCCTAAGAGTATATTTTACATACCTTACCTACGTATACTCATGGTTTATCAATGGGACGCCCGCTGGCAGCGTTGAAAGGACGTTGAAGATAAAAGTGGAGTTCATGCCGTTTGGGGATTATTTGACTTTGTACTAAAATCTCATTCTCCGAATCGGGTATAACTCAACTTATTAATCAACCCTCCCCTGACCTCTCCTCAGATTATCAACCTCACCACTACCAGCTTTCTCCAGCAATCTTGGTCATAAACATCATTTTCCATAAACAGAAAACAAGTCCAGAGAGAATGAATCAACAAGGTCTCGTGTTCCTTAACGCGACGGGCGCCCCGGTCTTGTCTCGTGCCGACTCGCGGCAGATGAGGGCATACATTACCAAATCCAACTTTGCCAAGCGACGCCAGCGTATATCCAAGGAGGAGATCAAGGGCAACGAGGGCAGCAAGAAGGCCCCTCAACAAGCATTGCATCGAAGGAAGAGGTGTCAGCAAAAGAGCCAACAAACCGCCTCGGAAGCAAGTCCGACGAAGCTGCCAACCAGGGAATCTCCCCCATGTGCCCCGTCCATGCAGCTGCGTAAGTTAGAGGCGCCCAAGGTTCCCCCCGTACCATTGCTGTGTACCTGACACATTATAGTCCGCAATTTCCGCTACCTTGTTTTTCTGGACATACGGCCGACCGTCCAGGACCCAGTAGAGAAGGCCTGGTTCGATCTCATCACCTCGGAGCCAGTGGTCTTCGAAGCGTCATTGGCCGGGGGCATGCGGTGCTGGGGCCCGGACGAGGAGTCTCAGCAAAACGCCGACCTCCACCTATCAAGAGCGACGAAACTCCTCGTAGAACGCATCAGCTGCGAGCAGGTTCCGTCAGATGCGATGATAGGGGCTGTGATGACCATGGCCTTTGGGGAGCGCATGGCAGACAATGACGAAGCGTGGAATGTGCACATGGAGGGACTGATCAAGATGATGCAGCAGAGACGGCGTCATGGCGCCAGCTCTTTACCACCTATTTTACGCAGCCTCGTTGCCTTGTTCGTATAGCCCCTTCGGATTGCATGTATGGATGTGGATGCTAATGGTTTAGGGACTTCATGAACCACGTGCTGGGCTTCCCACGATTCTATCATACCAAGGTGGTCGATATATTGAGCAGCCATGGCGACCAGGTCATATCCACGTTAACTCCAATCCCGGCCGATATATCTTTACTCAAGACCGCCGTAGGTGCTCCAAAAACGGGTCATGCGGGACGAGCCTCCCATGACGTGGAAGGACCACTACAAAGACTACGGCTTGCAACTCGAGCTCTTCGAGAATTTAACGAACCCTACGTAAAGGTCACCTCCCGGTCACTCGAAATATATCTCAATCTAGTTTGGCCTCTACTATTCCCAACGAATCTCAAGTCTGTAGGAGGCGAATTGAAAGATGCCATCAGCGAGTTTCGCATCAAAGCCTGCCCCTACATGGACTTAACATCACCACACTACATTTTGGGGCTCCTGGCTACCGACAAGGGCTCTGAAGCAAGATCTTGGTTCCTAGACAGACTCAAGGGTTCAGTGCAGGTGATGAGGCAACGCGGGTGGTCTGATCCTCTCAGCTTGATGAAAAGGGGCTTGGTGCATGAGCCGCTTGTACATCATGAATTTATGGCGATTTGGGGTGACGAAACCAATGGATTGATGTAAATAATGCATATCTATCCATTTGACGCATAACCATATTACGCTGAAAACGGTGGAGAGCAAGTGGTATGAGATTGCTACATTTGAAGTCTTGCGTTGTGTAAATGAGAGCTCCCTAGGGCTACTCAACTAGGGAGGCCGTTTACTAAGTCTATCTCTAGATGCAGAAGAAAGAAGTGTTTCCCTTGAGAAGGAGCACACTCTGGCTACCTTCATAGGTCTGATCAATCTCTTCTTAGTCCTGGGGGTTTGGAAACCCTCGAGTGACGAGGATCACTCCCGCGTGATCACATAACCTTAGCGGAGCTCCTCGAAGATGCAGCCTGCAACACATTGCTAGCGGTTGATTCGGTCCAAGCCGGCTGCGACCCGCGTGAACCTGGAGGGCCTGTAGCTAGCCTCGGCATCATAGATCATCGATCCTTTGCTAATTGAGTTCTTCGGCGCCGGGAGCGCGGCGTGGGTCTTAGTTACAAGGTAGACGGCGAACAGGACTACTGTACCGCTCGTGGTCTCTTGGTGGTCCCTTGATGTCTTGGACTAAGACGGTTCGTCACTGAACCCAAGCCTCTTCTCAACGGCTGACATGGCTGATATCAGACTCTTTCAATAACCCCCGCAGAGCCTGGAACTCCGTATATAGACCCTCCTCTTTCAATATTTGGGCAAGCGAATCCGTCGGGTTTGGAACTTTTCGTCTCTCTATCACTAAGTATCGTTAGCCATTGCGTGGCCCCCTCTGGGATTTTTTGACTGACATTACTTCGTCTTCGTAGAACCCCTGTTATCGAAATGTGTGGGTAGATGTTGAAATTCCCCAATCCAGCTCTGAAATGGTCTGTTGAGTCTCGGCGAATCAAAACCGGAGCCAATGGACTGCCAGGGCTACCACACTGTAAGTTGTCGGGTGTGGAACTATAGCTTCCATGAAATGTAATCGAGTTTAAGTTCTAGATGCCAGAATCTGTTAGAAGTGGCGCATATTCGCGGCGAGCAAAGTACAGGTTGCTATGTCACACTGAGGCTAATAGTTATCCAAAGTCAAGCCACTATCCTAGCTCTAGGAATCTCAGATGCCTGTACTCGATTGGAGTAATACCTTTTCCGGGCAGTATGGCACTCTAGCGGCCTCTGCGAGGGTCTCCGGTATTGGGATGTTCGGAAACAGGGGCTCGTAGACCCCTTGGGGGTATGTTGAGAAAAGGTTGGGCAATGTACCAGTACAACTGTCTCTCGAGGTCCAAGCCGGCTCGTCGATCTCAAGCTTTGGGCCAGGGGCTGGTAGGAGACTGGGATAATTCCAGGGGAAGCTTTTCCTGGCAGCGTACCATTTGCCTGGCCATTGTAAGTTGTCAAAAGGGCCTGCTGGTAGATGTGTGATTTCGCATCATGCACTGCATGGGATGACACGACCTTGCATGCAGCCTTTGGGGGCAGAGTCAGTGCCACAAGGTTCTAGCCACCCCGGCCTGATGGCTCCCTTCTAGTTGGTGCGTCAGATGGGGGCGAGGCGAGAAGCTCAAACACCGCAGTAGCATTCCCGGCGGAGTGCCTCCCGGACCGTCCATAAATGGAGATCTGGGCGGAGCGACATCCCTGCTGCATCTTGACCGGTGCCGTTGTTGGCTTCGAGTGCAACCCTTCCTGTGGCGCCACGGGACGCGAGTGCTGGGGTGCTTGCAGGCTGAGTCAATGCTAATATAACGGCGATGGTCGGTTTTTGCTCGTCGGACTGCCAATCACCGTGTGTTAGCAAGACTCGCGCAATCAGAATGGCTCCCAATATACGACTCTAGGGTTGCGACGGCCAGCCAATCAGTAGATCTGGCATCAGTTGAATGTATGGGCGGGCGCTTAGACGCTGGCAATGCATGGCCGGTGTGTGTCCGCCGGTTGATTTGGACGGTGGTTGATGCAGATGAAACGAGGATGCTGAAGCGTACATGTAGTACATGCGCGCGCGAGTACCACAGACGACCACTGACTGAATGCCCTGGCGGGCTCTCCAGGCATGTGTACGGCGGCAAGAGGTACAGCCTGAGGCACTGGAGTCTGGTGGCTGGACTAGCGGCCACCCCAGACGCAGCATCGCGCACGACGAGCGCCCGTCCATTGACCCTCCTTTGATCCTCGAGAGTTGCAACCATCAAAAGGTCATGAATCAATATTGCATCACGCATGCTGAAATACCACCCGTCGTTGTAACCGAAGCCACTCGAGCTGGAGCAGTCACGCCACTGCTGGTCCTTTTTAATCTGCTGGGCGTCATGAGCAGCATCAGGAATCACATGTAACCCGCAGCAATGCCCAATATAGGATGAGAGTTTGAAATATTGCCGTTGAATGTGGATTTGGAGGGTATCAAATATATACAGATGATTTATAGCCAGTAATAAGACCGCCTATGCACCGATTTCATTATGTCACTCCCCATTGGCTGTGACTTTCCGTAAATGAGTGTAAAAGGATACTCCGCTTTGGATCACCTCGCAGGCTGTGGTGAAGAACTTAGTGGGTTGCCGAGTCAAATACGTTTCCGTAACTGTAAAGCGAAGCAATATTAGTCAAAATGGTGTTTCCCAAGCAGTAATCGTCAGAAATATTGCACTCACATTATCAGTGAAGGTGATGTTCCAATTAGGAACTAGGCTTGGTTCGGCGGGCGATTATCATTAACGATCATCATCCATGCCTGATCAACCCAAAGATCCTCCTTCGTACAGGACGTTTCACTTTCAAGTGAACCATCACAAGGATCAAGAAGAGTTTTATCGAGTCGGCGAGGCACGCAGGCCTCAGGTGTTCATGGCAATTGATGCAAAACTTGCCACTCTTCATTATGCTCTGAAGTGCAAACTGCACGAGCATCAAGGGAATACTGAGCTGATTTTCGCCCACCAGAGTGACTGCGATTGCCTGCTGACTGATTTTGAGAAGTTGCCGATCGGGGGCAACTTCCCCGGCGACGAGGCTATCGTCGCATCAACGAAGTAATCGCTCTCTGTCCCAAAGCTGCGCAAGTCATCAGCTTGCGTTGATTACGTCCCTGCCCTTTGTACACACCTCCCTGGACCAATTAGTACGAGATACATCATGAATCTGTGGCCTCGCGGGCTGCCCACCACAAGTTAGAGGGAGGAGGGGACTAACGGGATTCTGTGGCCTGGCTGCCACGGGCACGGGCGGTCGCCGAGTCGTTAGTTTCGACGGTAGCGGCGGGCGATGGGGCGGCGGCACTGTAGGTGCTGAACCGTAGCGAGGCACGGGTCTTTGTCCACGAGGTTTGGATGTTAGCTGGCATTGTTGTGTTTTCTTCTTTGTTGGGCCTCACAAAGGGATCATGTTGGGCTACTTACTTCGCTCCGCCCTCATCGCCCTGACCCGGGACCGCCCGCATTGCCTGTAATCTGTTAGCTTGTGATCAGATGTTGTCTAATCCGAGACATACTTAGATCCCTTTCTGCTGGATCGCCCTTCTGGGTGTCGAACAATCTTGTGAGTTTCTGAACGATGTAGGTGGAGGGAAAGGAGGCGGTGGAAGAAACAAACGATTCAACGGACTAAGTGTGAACGGCAGGCAGCAGAGGGGATTACTCACAAAGGGCAGCCAGTGAAGGTTCCTCTGCTCTGGACCCGACAGTGCTGCAGAAGGAATCCAGTGAGCACCCGCCATTAGAGTAGGTAGATGCAATGAAAGAGGGAGGTTCTTACCGTTGTCAGTTGCTGGTGACTGTTTCTTATGCCTTATGAAAAGCTGAACTACATGTGCAGCTGTGCAAGTAACTTGCGTGGAAGGTGCGAGTGACGGGGTAAAGAGAGCCCAAACGAAGTACCTTCCACGCTGGCCTTGGTCCTTCCTGCCTTAACAAACGCAACGCGTTGCTGTACCCAACGCGAAGCTTCCTTCCTTAGAACTTGGGAAGGCACTGAATACCACGCGTTCACTCCTTCCTCACTTCCTACGCTTTACTTTTCCACCCAACGCCAACTTCTCTCCCTCCCTCTTCGTCTACCACTGCCCCCTTCTCACCTACTTCACAACTCAAGCCTCTTCACCAACCGCAAAGAAGCAACTCGGCTCTTCGGCACAACGCGGCAACCCACCAGGTTCTTCACCACAGCTTGCGACAAGATCCAAAACAGAGATCCAGAATGGATTATCTTTTCCGGCGGCGGTTTTCCAAAGGCAAACTGCCTAGGGCCGACCAAGCCGACCCAAAGAAGCCGGACGGCCTCTTGGAAGCCCCCCCAAGAACATCTACAAAGGTAAGCCCAGCCCAGGCAGACGACCTCACTCAGGCTTTTACATTCACTTTATGCTACTCGTGAGAGTCTCCCACTAACACTTCACCTCCTCTTAGGTGGCGGCTGCCAAAGAGCCTGAGCAGGCGGGGGGCTCCGAGACTGGGAGCACCCCCGGAATCTCCCCTCTCAGCTCGGACCGGGAGCCCCGTGCTCGTGCCGACAGAGTGATCAGCGGCGGGGTTTGCAAAGCTCGCCGAACCAAGCCTAGGTTCCTCCCGAAGTCCGTCCCGGTGATCTCGGTTACACCAGACCAAAAGAATGACAAGAAGGAGAGCCTAGGCGGCGAGCTTTGCAAAGCCCGCCGAACCAAGCCTAAGTTCCTTCCGAAGTCTGTCCCGCTCGCGGCGGCACCCGAGGAGGACATGGCCGAGAAGGAGGGCGAGAAGGGGGGAGCAGAAGAGGAGAAATAAAGAAGAGAAATCAAAGACCGAGATAAAAAGCAAGAACGAGGCCGATGATAAGTCGAACTGAAAGGCTCTGGTTAGTTTCAGATTCCTTAATAGCCACACGATCAGCGATAGGGCTGAGGAGCTAACTGATATCAGGATGATGGACAAGAAAGAAGTCGATGAAAAGTCTTCTTCAGATTAGAATGAATTAACTATGGGAGGAAATCAAAATACCTGATGTACCAAAAGATTGACCTAGATGGAGTAATGGGGGACTTAGAGAGCAATGATTGTACAAGATGGAAGACACTAATTCAATTTGAAGACTAATTGGCAAATGGTTCCTATTACTCAAATTGTGACGAACCATAAGAAAGTATCAAAACACAAAACAGGGGATAGAGAATGAGATCACAAATAAAAGCCCACTAACAAAAGACCGAAGCTACTTGCTATCCATATCCATATCCATATCCATATCCATACCCAGCATTCAATTTCATACCACATCAATTTTGTGAGCCCCAACAAACAATTCCAGCATCATGGCACTGACCAAGCAAAATCCATGTCAAGCAATACAGATCATCAAGGTCAAACACTAACTAGAGGAGCATCCCAGCAAAGGGCTGCACATACTTCACCCACTCCTCGACGGGCTTCGCATCCGGCTCCGGACGCGGCTGCCAGAACATGAGGTCCCTGATCCTCTCGTCGCAGCTCTCGGCGAGGAGGCGGGTCGTCTCCCGCGGGGAGGCGATGAGGCAGCAGGTCTCGCAGTGGGCGATGGGGATGTGGCAGCGCAGGAGGCCGAGCACGACGGAGTTCTCGCACGACTTTCTCGTGGCCACGGCGGTGCTGCACGCCTCGATGGCCATGTAGACGGCTGTGAGGTGGCCGTCCTCGCACACACCCTCGCAGTCTACTGAGTAGCACATGGCTGGAAAGAATGGGTATTGTACAGGGTGCCTGGGCGTGGGTTAGCCTTGACTTGATCTAGTAAGATGAGGCGACAACCATACGCAGAGCGTGTGTGTGAGCAATAGGTATGTTGAACGGTAGAGGTGTAGGCTTGGAATGAGATGGGCTTAGACTCAACAGTGTGTTGTCCACGTGAGGAGAACAAGAAAGAGAGGTGGGAAGGGGAGGAGGGATGGAGGGACGGATGGGCTCAGGAGATGGATGGATGGGCAGAATAAGTAAGTTTCGTGAATAAGCCCACCTCAATGCAAGCTTGCGTACCGACGCTGCGCATGAAGGATATCCGATGCACGTCTACTACGTCGTCATGGGTTGATACCACGCCCTGTCCTGCCACGAGTGTGACTGATCACATCTGGCCATGGCAAATGCGAGTGAGACGACAATAACCCTCCCTCCTGCGTCGTCCGGGGCGGGGGCAGGCAGGCAAGGACGGGGCGTACGTAGCACACCAGCTGAGCGCGGAATGTGCAGACCATGGCCAGGCGTAGCGCTGGGCAGATCATGCAGCTCGACACTTTCGGTCAACCCAGAGCGCGACGTCTCCCAATGAGATGCCAGAGGAGAGGGATCCGTGCCGGCAGCGTCCCCGCCCGGCTGAGTCTCCGCGCGGTCAGTAGCCCATGCAACGCTGACAAAGGCTGGTCCCCATTATGCCCAAGATAGCTACATCCTTGGGATCAGTCTCGCGGGCTCGAGAGATCTCACTTGATCCCAGCCTAACGAGCTAGGCTAGTGCAGCGAGTGTGTAGTATTACCTGAAATGTTCGATAACCGACAGTTTAACCTCTCCTCTTGGCCCGGACGACCCCAACCACGTGGCGGTCACTCCCATTGCATCGGGGCACAAGTCGATCCCTCCTTTGCCGGTGTGAGGGGACCGACAGAAGTACCGGTACTTGGCATGGACGTGAGGGAGGTGAGACCTTCTTCCGCACATTGAAACGGACAGCTCATTCAGCCAGCCACTTTCGCCCATCCATCCACTCTCCGGTCGCCCCTGATTCGATCTTTGTGAAACACATACGGCATCCAGCACGCCGCCACCACCCACCAAGGCCCATTGGGGCAGCTAGTTACACACTTCCAAGGCAGAACGACTGCACAATGGGACTGGATTCGCTAGACCTCTTGGGCTTTCATGCAGCTGTGGTGAGAAGGTTTGGTGTCGGCTGCACCGGAGATGACAGGCAGAAACGCAAAAAGAAACTAACAATAACAATGACGAAAAAGAAACGAAAAAAAGCGGAGGCTTCTGCCATGATGACCATGACCTATCATCTCAGTGGCGAGCAGCAATCGTGGTGACTCTGGTGGCTCTCCTTCGGCTACGGACGACTCACGAGGGTATGCCACGGGGCTCTGGGGGCATCACGATGTGAACTTATACTAAATGCATCTCGGTTTATGTATGTAATCTGCCACAGCTCGCCCATAATTCTACTCCATGGTCAAGGTCAGGGGGAGGACAGTCCGCAAGCGCTAGTCTGACCCCCGCCCGGGTTCATCGACGATTCGGACCGTGCCTCGAGCTGCCGAGGGAATCCTCCTCCATTCCTGGTGCCAGGTATTTGTAGCTTAATTTAGACGGCCGATCAAGGGGACTAGAGATAAGCCTGCCCTAGCCCCTTCTCCCTGTTCCTTCATCACGATCTCGGATCCCCTCCTGGCTCCTAGTAGCTACCCTATACTGGTTTGTGGTTCTGTTTGCTATGAAGCCAGAAACCAGGTATATTGAGCTCGAATCTATGTATATCGAACTCTGGATACCATAAGGTGCACAGCTGCGCCCTACCCTATCGTGAAACCCATCATTTTAACTTTGAACACCGGATTTTAAGGTGGAGCTATTTAACGGTTCGCGCACAACAACATGCGGCTAGTGGTGGCCCTCAACCAACCGGTGTGAGCTTATCTTCTCCTCATCTGTATCACTGAGGAACCATTGGGCTGCGAGGTGAATGAATCAGACGAAATTATTAAGTTCTAAACTGCCCAGTCTTCAGACTACTACATAATATCGCCAGAGATATTGCTTGAGGCCTCGTCTCTGATCTTAGGCTACTGACTACATCTACCTCCCTGAAAGTCTACACCTGTGTACCATAGTTAACACGATGCTGTAACGGCGAAGCTTGATTTGAGAAATCGTCTTACCACTTACGACGAAAATAACCTGCCTTCTTGACTAAATATATCTCATCCTTAAATTCGGATTCAAATACGCTCGACGCGCTCGACAGAGCCGCGCTCCGCATCCTTGTCCTCTACCTCTCTAGAGTGTCGAGTTCTATCAGCACATGCTCGAATGGATCTTTTGAGGCCCGGCACTTACGGATCTGCTTTACCAATGGGGATATCCTCATATGCATACTTTCGCATCTCATACCAGCGGTGCTCGAAAAGCCTGTTCATGCTCTCGAGGCTGCGACCACTGGTCTCGGGCACCATGATGAAGCAGTAGATGAGAGCGATGAAGCACCAGACAGCGAAAAAGATGAAGGCGCCCCATTTGTTCATCGACGAAAGGATAGAGGGCGTCGCTTTTGTGATGGCGAACAAGAAGAGCCAGTGGAAGCACTGGGACAGTGCACCGCCAAAGGAACGGATTCGGTTGGGCCACAATTCTGCGCCAAACAGGTATGGCAAACTGTAGAGACCTATCATTCACTTGGTTAGTACCATGATCCAACTCATGCCGTAGTAGAACTCTCAAACTTACCAACAGCCCAACCAAGGGCGTGAATGTAGATTGCTGCGATTGCCATGTCGGAGGCGCCCAGAGTGACGGACTTGCCAGACCCGGTGACATTAAGGAACGAGCCGAGATAGACATGGCAGAACATCTGGATAGTAATACCAATAAACAAGGACTTGCGTCGACCGATCGCATCGACGAAGAATAGCGAGGCAAGAACGCAGCATCCCAGCTTGGCCAGGGCGTAGAACCCGGACGAGTAGATTTTGGCATCAGTCCCAGTAACACCAATATAGCCGAAGATCTGTGGGAGATAGTTGGTGATTGAGTTTGCGCCGGACATCTGGGCAAGAATGTAGGCAACGATGGTTAGTTGCACACGGCGAAGATTCGACCTCTTGCCGAATGTCTCGCGAATAGTTGAGACCAATGTGTCCTTTCCATACTCGGCCAACTCGAGCTGAATAGGCTCGTTGATGCTGTCGAACTCGGCCGCCAGATGGGGCTCATCGCGAGCACAGCCTCGGATGTTGGCCAAGGCTTCTAAACCTTCCTCGACACGGCCCTTCATGCAAAGCCAGCGGGGCGACTCATCAACGAAGAAGGACAGGAAGGTGGCAATGAAGGGGATGAATGTTTGCACGAAGAAGGGTGTCTGCCACTGAAGGTTTAGCGTCGGGGACATGTTCCGATTGCACCCATAAACAACAAATATGCCAATCATTTGACTGCTCAGCATGGCGATGTTGAACCAGAGAGTCATCAGGCCTCGTGTCAGTCGTGGCGAGATTTCGACAATCGACATGGGACCGGTGACGGTGAGGGCACCGATACCCAAGCCAGAGACAAGACGTCCAACATATAAGGCGGCGATTGAGCCGTAAGATAGGGTAGAAATGAGAGAACCAACTGCTACAATGGCCAGATATAACCGCAGAGACCACCTTCGGCCGATCCGATCGTTGAGGAGGAAGGAGAGAAGAGCGCCAACACCGGCAGTCAGATTGACAAGCGAGACGATATTGGAGATAATCTCGTCGTCCTTGTCGGGGGAGACATTGAATTGTTTCTGAAAACTTTTCAATTGGGTGATGGCGGAGGTTGAACCTTCATCCCAGCCTAGTTACGAAAGAAAATATCAGCTTCGGAGTAACAACATAGGGGCAAGCGACGATGGGAGTGAGCCAACCTCTTGAACTGCCTGAAAGGGCGTAAACAAAAACGGTAAACATCAATTTGCGGTTGTAGATTCCTGGAGTTGACTCCTTGATCGCCTTCCAGTACTTGGCGAAAGGGGAGGTTGATAAGCCCATAGTTGCTGTATTTCAGAGATTCATATGGCTACGAGGTTGAGTCGAGCAGAGCGTCTGAGTAGCTTCCCAACAAGCGATACTTATAGACGTGTTCAAAACGCATCATCCCAAGGGCATGCAAACACCGGGGAGACTGAGCTAGACATGGTCCAAAGGTCTGGGGTCATGTTGTTGTGCGGGGATCGGTTTAACCTCCCCAAATCACCGACTTTTGAACATGGGGAAGTCGGGGTAAACCCGAAGCAACGTGCTCGAGGGTAGACTTAAATAAGAGCCCTGATAGGTCCCGTGATCGGGATGGTGCTTTTCGAAGGAGCTAAGCTTAACGACTGTTCCGCTTATGGTTCGTCGCAGCCCATCAGCTGTCCAGACATCGGATATCAATGAGCCATTAGAATACCGAAAGTTCATGGCGCTCTGTACAACACGTGCAAGCTCGATAGAACAAGCCTTTACTGGCACGGTTCCAGAGCAATATACCCTGATAAGCACCTGATCTCCTGTAGTAGACCTAGCAGTTCATATCTAGCGAGGATTTTAATTCCTCTCCAATAGGCACTCAAGTATTAATAGCTTCGATCGGGACAGACGAAAACATGGAATCATGCTGTCAAAGAAGTCTCGTGATCCCCCACAATGGTTTTGTTTCCAAAGAGCTCTCCGATTTTCTTATTGGAAGGACTGTCGTGGCCATGGGCGATAATAACAATTTGCGCTCGTTGTCGGATCCATCCGAAGTGAGTAGCGTGTGCCGCCGATTTCCCTTCCACTACATGGAGAAGTGGGATAATATTGATGTTCCCGAGACTTTGTGGAAACTCGGTATTTTGCCGCCTCTCTCTGATTCAGGATTCTCCATGCCCCATGCTTGCTTATGTGCTTTTGATAGGAATCATAATCCCAGCAATGGATAGCGTGGAATCCTTCCATTCTGCTATACCACAGACAAAAGCACAAAGTAGTGTCGAATCAGTAAAATCAGACATCTAACGGTCTCATGGCTAGACATTGGGGGCAAGTTTTGATCATCATTGGATTTGATTCTTGGCCGATATTGTAGGGAAGCTTTTTCTCCGAACCAGAACCTAACATTTGCATCTGTTGGATCTCAGACAATGATCTCGAATCTATGTTCCAGGAATCTGGTGAGCAATGCTAATAAAGGAACTCGCCCTCCGTACGCCTATGCAAATGCTTCAACTCAGTTGACATACCGTAGTCCCTGACTCGTCATCAACAAGCCTAGTAGAGTTCAGCTATGCCAAACCCCACAGACGGCGGGTTTAGCGTTCTCCATTTCCTGGAGGCAGTGGGGAAGACAATTCGGGGGTTTCCACAATGAACACCTGACTGCAATGGCCGGGGATCGTTCGGCTTAAAGCCGTAGGGCAACATTTGGCCGGTGTCGAAGTGGGATTTATGCCGGGTCAGCCTGCTTACGTTCTTATACCTCGTATGGGAGATATTTCAGCTGCAACATGTGCTCTTGTATATAGGTAAGCATACCCGGACCCTTGATCACTGAATGACCACGCAAACTCAGGAAGAGAACGAGACAAGACCCTTCTCTCAGGCGACTCTTCTCTCACTGCTTCAAGATTTGAGCCAGACTCACAAAGATGCGTGTCGGTGTCTTGAAGGGAAATGGCATTGGCCCTGAGATCACTGCTGCCACTCAGCATGTGCTGGAAGCCACAGGCCTGCCGCTTGAGTGGGTTGACATTGCGATCGCAGACGAAGCCATCGCCGCACATGGCCACCCGCTACCTCCTGAGACCGTCAAACAGCTAAGCGATGTCAAGCTTAGCATCAAGGCGCCTCTCATCGTCAACAAGCTCCAAGGCCGCATCTCATGTGTCCAGACCGACGGCACCTCGCAGACATACCCTTCGTTGAACAATGCGATCCGACGTGAACTGCGCCTCTTCGTTAACCCACGTCCTATTCGAGGCTTCCCAGGGATTTCCGGACGCCATGAGAAGCTCGATGTCATTATCATGAGGGAGGTCACGGAAGACGTATACATCGGACACGAGCATCAGATAGGTGATGACATCGCAGCCGAAGCCATCAAGTTGACGACCCGCGCAGCTGCCACCAAGGTCGCCAAATATTCCTTTGACTACGCCCGCAAGCACGGTCGCAAGCGAGTCACCTGCCTGCACAAGGCCAACGTTCTCAACTTCACCGACGGTCTCTTCCTCCGATGCTTCCAGGAAGTCAGCAGGGACTATCCAGAGATCGAAGCGGACGACATGATGATCGATGCGGCATGCTACACCATTGTCCGCGATCCTCTTCGCTTCGACGTCATTGTCGCCTCGAACCAGTATGGCGATATCTTCTCTGACCTGGCTGCCGGGCTCGTCGGGTCTCTCGGCCTGGCCCCAGGTGCCAACATTGGCGACAACGCTTCCACGTTCGAGGCCAGCCATGGCGCGGCTCCCGATATCGCAGGGAAGGGGATCGCCAACCCGCTTGCGTTCATATTGAGCGGCGCGGAGCTGCTGGATGCTGCCAACCAGCCCAAGGAGGCCAAGGCTGTGCGCGATGCCGTGCGAAATGTGGTGGAAGCTAAGACGGCGCTGACACCGGATCTGGGAGGCTCGGGGACGACCGATTCGCTTGCGGCTGCGGTGGCTGTGGAGGTGAAGAACCTGCTTGCATAGATATTCTTGAGATTATGTATAGATTGGTGTAGTTAACGAGCCTATTTTAAGTCTGCTTTCCACTCGGTCTGTGTGTATTGGCGTTGAATTTCGTGATCTTCTAAGTGATGAGCATCATTTCTTGACAGCATTGATGGCAGGCAATTTACAAGCTAATAGGGTGCTGTGATCGTTCAACTTCTTGTCAGGGATGTTAGCGAGAAACGGCTCGGCATTTCTCGTTGACATGGTGAAGCTCTGGATGATTGGAGAAACGAGAGCGTACTGTAGGCGATGGTGGTGAACTTGGGGTAAACTTGAGAGGATAGGATCGAATTTCAGATTATTTGCTTCAATGCAATGACGTAATGCCTCTCAATCAAGCATCTATGCGTGAATTAACTAAACCAATCCCTCTAGTATTTGGTGACCCCCTGAGTTGGCACCTGTGTGCGGCTGGTTACGGCCAGACAACGCTCACATTCTCCTCGACGACTGCTCCTCAAGCATACATGTACTAGTGCAAGCAGAAAAACAACCCTAAATGGATCATTTGATTTCCTTGTTCTTTCTTTGTCTTTTCATGTTGGTTGCCAAGCTTGCATTGAACAAAGGTGGGATGATTGTAGACTGTTTCACCTTTTAGCTGGATTTAGCTACTATACTGAGTCTTATATTAAAATTAATTATTTTGTTTCTATACCTTTCTCCCGTTCCTTTATCAGATTATGAATATCTAAAGCGCGGTAATCGTTTCTAAATCTTATTATTTGCTCTTGGTCCTTTCTTTTATTAGATTCGGAGGGGAGTACTAAGACCTATGCCCTTTGTCTATATACCTGGTACTGCCATTTGAGAGCGTGAATCACTTACGGTAAATCAGGCATAAATAGCCGGCTGAAGTCCCACTTTCCGTTGGCTGTTGCGGAGCGTCGCGTCTTGACCACCACTTCTCGTTCATCCACACACCTTCATCCACATACCTCCATCTAAGACATCGCCTTCTCTCGCTTTCTCAAGCCAACCTTCGAACGAGCCGGGTAATTCCAATCCGGACGACGAGTCGATCACTACCATGGATTCTCTTATTGACAAACTTCATCATACTTCCGTGGAAGATCTCGAGGAAGACATGCACGAAGGTATGGACGAAGATATGAACGAAGGTATGGACGAAGATATGGACGAAGATATGGAACAGTACGATCAGCAACCAGAGCCGTGGGAGAGTCACCTCTTCACCTGTGAGGACTGCAACCAGAATCTGAACCAGTTATGCTTCAAGAACGATGCTCTGCTTCCTTTCGCAAGCAGTTCAACCCATAAGAGCCAGCGGATCCCTGAAGAAGTTCTTCTTTCGGCCACCGAACTCTATCGGCTACAAGACGAGAATCTCGACGCTCACCTCGCTGCTCAGAAAGGTCCACTCCGGTGCAACGAATGCTGGTTCGAGAAACTCGGCCTAGACCATCTACCATCACGATTCCAGGATTTTGATCCAGACGACTGTGTAGAATTCTACTACCCTCTACCACGGGAGATTGGGTGTCGAGACGTCAGGCTGCCGACATGGATGATTCGCTGCACTGGATGTCACACGTGGCAAAGCAGCGTTCAATATCCTGGATCACGCCTGTTCGATGGTTCTGGTTCCTGCATTACATGTACACGTATTCCCAGGCTTCCGTACGTCGCCAAGCTCGATTGGCGAGATATCGGAAAGAACAGCTACACGGTCAAATTTTACAGAGATGAAGTTCCGCGTATACCCTGGCGGGACGTTGTCGGGAGAGAACCGTCAATCAGGGATTCAGCCAAGCAGAGTTGCATCAGGCTTTTCTATGAATGGGAAAGAAGTGATGAGCCTCTCCGTGTTTGGGCAGCTCTGTTTCACCTCCGCGAATATTTTGGCGAGCATAGAGGGCAGTTGGAGAACTTGTTTGGTACCATGGCGAAACAAAACTTCACATCCAGCAGAGCAAGCTACCACCATTTCCAGCTGCAGCAGGTTCTGAGATCCCTGGAGACAGATGCTTCGAACAAAGCAGCGGACTCGGTTTTTGGCGGCGAGTTTGAACGGGTGTGGCTGGTGTTCTCCCGGATCAAGGCACAGTTTTACGAGGAGTTCTCTAGGAGTGAACTCGCACATTTTCGAGTATTTTCGCGTGGAGAAAATTGTTGATGTAAGACCGAAAGCGATGGAACGGCAGAGTGAGATAGGCCTAAATTGCAGTGGAAGCTTCCAGCTCATGTTCAATGAAGACGGGATTGATACAGACTGAATGCAATAGTTTACTTTGAGTTTCCATTTGACATTGCCGCTGTTGTCTAATATCTGAAATGGCTGTGCATTTCGCATAGTGAAACATGAACCACCACTAGGAGGGCGGCCCAAACGAACTGTAGCGAGGCTATCTTGGTTATTGAAAACATGTAGACTTCAACAAGATGAAGTAGATGTTGATTTTCCCGATTAACTAAATAACAAGGGGTCATAGACGCCGTCGAGGCCCAAGGCAATAGATGATGAGTATTGTTCTGTGCGATTGCATCATCATAACCCAGAATTACACTTCACCATTCCTTTGCGAGAGGATAGCCATCCATTTCTTGAAGAGATGACGAGCAGGAGAAAACACGCCTATTGTCAATATGAGCCGTATCTGACAAGGCGAGTACTATCGGCATCTAAACTCTGGGACACATACATCGATTGCATGACCCGCAACGGGGACAGAGGTAGCATTTAATACATTGTTGGGTTCGGGCCAGGTCGCAGCTTGTACATGTAAAAGCCATCTCGTCGATTCTGCCTACCATTAGTATAATTCATGTGCTTCAACTTGATTAATCCACCTGCAAATGGCAGACGATTTGCGTGCAATTCAGGGAAGAAGCTTCAGTCCGATACTAGATAGGATTTTGGGATAAGATCAAAGATCAAGTTTAGTCGCGAGAGAGCGTTTTGAATGGTCTTATCCAAGTGCCAAGCAGGCTGAGATGGGAGGAAATGAAACCAGACTCCATCAGAATATTCACATATTTATACCTCAGTCCCATTCGTGAGAAGGATCCAAGCAGCCATGGCACCAAAGGTGGCTCATACTCGTGCGACTATCATCTAATGGCTTGATCACTGACATGGCTTTATTGTCTAATGTCTAATTGTAGACATAGGTATGGGTGAATGTCTGTCACAGATCATGCGTGCACCTCGAGTGCTAAGGTTGCACGGTCTGGACTTCGACTCTCAAAGACCATTCTCATCAAGAATGACTAAAGGACGGAAGTATCACGAGGTTGTCAAATTCATAGGGATTGAACTCTGTCACAAACTTTCAAGAACACATACATATTTGTGCCGAAGGTGTCTGAGGTAGTTCTGCAGAGTAGGCGCCTCTGCTTTGGACGAACCCCTTTTTTTTATGGACTTAAGGACTGCTTGATGTGAGTTTCGTGCTGTTCGAAAGTCTTGCCTGGAATTGACATAATCTCAGGAAAACACTTGGTGACGTGCTTCTAATTTTAATCAGACTTGGCGTAGTAGCAATTTCCATTGATATTAAGAAGGCGCACTGCTGCCGCTTAACAAATTATTCGCCGCAATACATAGTACGCCTTCGGTACGTACCTTCCTTGCCAATGCGCCCTTAAGATCCCTGCAAAACAGCAGACAACAGAAAACATCCTGTCAGCCTGCATGCACCATAATTCTTTTCGGGTCCCCAATCTCTCTTTTGTGTGGATAAGATGGAGCCACGTGATAGCCGCGACGTCTTCGTTCCCCGCGCCAGCAAGAAAATGCGGCTGGATGCTCTGGGCCGACGAACGGATATCACAAACCGTGGCCTGCCAATCATGTCATCGACACAGGCGATGGAAACCCATCAGCAGCTGACCAGAAACATCCCAAAACGCATGGATGACAATGTCACGAACAACAAGCGCTCGCCGTTCCCCAACGATGCCTACCAAGTTGGCTGGATTTCGGCACTACCCGTCGAGCTGGCGGCGGCTCGCGGCATGCTTGATGCAGAGCATGGAAACCCACAAACGTTGCCGCAGAAGAGGGACACCAATAGCTATGTGCTTGGACAAATTCACAACCACAAGGTCGTCATCGCTTGCCTCCCAAGAGGTGAGGTAGGCGTTATTCCTGCCGCGCTTGTCGCCCACAACATGATGTGGACTTTCCCCAACATACGCTTCTGCCTGATAGTTGGCATTGGAGCAGGTATACCTAGATGTTCTGGCAACGAAGACGATGATCCCGACGATGACGAAGAGGAGGATGTGCACCTTGGAGATGTTGTCATCGGCAGCGATAAGAAGACCGGCGGCGTGGTTGCTTATAACTTCGGCAAGAAGCTAGCAGATGGATCCTTCGAAGTCGCTTACCATCTTGACCAACCACCCAGAGTTCTACGGACGGCTTTGGCGAACCTTGAAGCTACACACGAATTTCGAGATAACCTGATACCCAAGTACATTGATCAGATGCTTGTGAAGCTGCCAGGGGAAATGCGGTCCATGTGGATGCATCCTGGCTTAGAGAAGGATATACTGTTTCCACCTGACTATTTGCATTTGGGCGGCACGACTTGCAAGAACTGCGACCAGGGGAGAGCCGTTAGAAAGGCACTCGACAAGCGAGAAGATGATATCCCGGTGATACACTATGGAGTAATCGCGACAGGGTCTGAGGTCGTCCGGCATGCGCCAACAAGGGACCAAATCAGAAGCAACCACAATGCCATCTGCCTGGAGATGGGGGCGGCGGGCTTGATGAACAACTTCCCCTGCCTTGTAATTCGAGGCATATCAAATTATGCAGATTCGCACAAGAATGATCGATGGCAACGGTATGCTGCAGCGGCGGCCGCGGCTTGTGCCAAAGAATTACTGAGTGTAGTCCTGCCTCTCGAAGTGGATTAAAAGCCGAGGGCGATAGAACTCGTTGGTCTCCTTGACAAAAGTTAATTTTTGGGCGTGAAGGAAATGTCGAGTAGCACATCTGCTAAATCCATCCCAGTTGACAGGGCACTGTAGATGCCAAAATGTGTAAGTGGTAATACATTTAACTAGATAACACCCTATTGGGAAGTAATTTACCTTGGGGTAAGATACACAATGCTAGCTAAAACCGACCTACCCTATACCCTGGGATTGCCGAAAAACCTGCCTGTCACTTTACAGATCCTCTAGTTTCAACCCGTAAAATCGCCTGTATATGGGCCGTAGATGCCAAAAAAACCAAACGCCTACCAAGAACCCTCGAAGGAGTCTATGAGCGAATTCTTCGCGACATCAGAGAGCACCATCACACAAGGGATACGCAACCTCCAATTTCCTGTTTACAGCTAGAGGCCCTTGAGGCTAAACGGGTTGGTAGACGCGATCGCTGTCAACCTTTCGAGGGAACCAGAATTTGAGCCTGGAAGAAGAATGCCAGACCCACAAGGCATCCTGGAGAAGTGCCCAAGTCGAGAGCTGAATGCGGAAGACAACAACCAAGGCAGCAACAAAGGTATTGTTATCGAAGTCGTTGAACTCGGACACGCAACTGTCAAAGAGTATCTCATATCCCTTAGCAGCGGCAGCAATTTCTACTCCATCGCGGATCCGGTGAGGGCTCAAGGTATCATAACCAAGGTGTGCCTCGCCTACTTGTCCCATGTCAATGAAAAGGAGGCGCGGAAGAACAGAACTCGATTTCCTCTTGCCCAGTTCTCGTCGAAGTACTGGCTACAATATGCAAAAGGTTCCGATGAAGTCCTTGAAGTTCGTGAGGCTACCATCCGGTTTCTCTCTGATGAACGAACAAGGGACATATGGAGTTCTTTGTATAATCCCGACTTTCCTACAACCGACATCACAGGACCATATAAGATGGCCACACCCTTGTATTACGCTTCGCTGGCTGGACTCGCACATACGGTCACCAAATTGCTCCAGATGGGAGCCGACCCAATGAATGCCGATGGAGGAGAGTACGGAAACTCACTTCAAGCTGCCTGCGCGGCTGGCCAAGAAGAGGTTGCCAAAATCCTGCTTCTCGAGCGGGGCGTAGACGTAAACAGAGCGGCAGGCTCACTTGTAAACGCACTACAAGCAGCTTCGACGCAGAATAATGAGAAGGTCATCAAAATGCTGCTTTGAAGGGGCGCCAATTTACAAGCCAACGGTGGGAAATACGGGACAGCTCTGCAAGCCGCCTCCGCCCGAAGCAATCACGGCGTGGTGAGGTTGCTTCTGGACAACGATGACTTGAACACGGGCAAAGAGACAGACAACACCCCTCTTTGCGCTGCAGCAAAAGGTGGTCATGCAGAAATGATCCGACTTCTGATCAATCACGGTGCGGAGCTAGGTTCGTCAGCTTATGATGATCTTTCGAGCCCCGAGCTCTCGGCGGCAGTCAAAAACGGTCATGAAGAAGTTGTAGCTCTTCTGCTTGAGCTCGGTGCCACGTTTGATGGGTCAACACTTGAAGCAGCCTGCTACGGCAGGCATGAAACTATTTTGCGTATGCTAGGTCGGTCACCAGTAATGTTGACTGTGATGGGTGACAGGAAGCGTGGGTGGATGTTATCCAACTCCTTACAATTAACGGCACGAGCTGGCGATGAGAATCTACTGCGCATTCTGCTTGAAGCAGGAGTCTTTCCTGCGCCAGGCGCTCTGCACGAAGCATCCGCTAGGGGCGATATAGAGATGGTCAAATTGCTGCTGCAAGCCGGAAGTGGCATCGACGAGCAAGAGGGAAAGCATGGTACTGCCTTACAGGCGGCGTCCAAGCGAGGGAATCTGGATTTATTGCCCCTTCTTCTTGGGGAAAACGCAGCTGTTAACGCTTTTGGGGGCCAATTTGGAACTGCGCTCCAGGCCGCTGTGTCCAGCGGCCACGATCACATCATTGACACTCTGCTAAAGGCTGGCGCTGACATCAATGTGGAAGGTGGCTGCCGCGGCAGTGCGCTTCAGGCTGCCTCAGACAGTGGCAATGAGAAGTTTGTAAAGGCGTTGCTTGGGCTAGGATGCCAAACGATCAACACAGACCGAGGCAAGTACGGCAATGCGTTGCAGGCAGCCTCCAGACAAGGCCACTTGGGTATCGTGCGACTACTTCTCGATCATGGAGCGGCCGTAAACACGAGGGGTGGAAAGTATGGGACTGCTTTGCGAGCTGCCGTCAGTAAGGGCCATCTTCAAATCACCCAATTACTATTGGACTCGGGCGCCGTCGTGGATATGGAAATGAGAAAGGAAAGATACGCAAGAAGATTCTCATTTACAAGATACCCATTTTCTTGGGGTGACAGCTCAGGTGCCGATACTCTCGACTCCTCGGAAGACAATGGGGTTGATGAAGAAATCTATGGGCTTTTCCCAACAAACCCTACGGACGTCCGCGAAATTCACATTCCCGTTCAAAGCAACGACGTGGATGGAGAAGTTCCACAGGAAACGTTGCTATCCACTCCCCACACAATCCAGATAGAGGAACCCCTTGTGCCCGACCCGAGTCCAGATGACCAAGGAGGTGATGGCTCAGAGAATGCAAACGAAGATGTCGAAGATTCGGCACCCGAGCTCGAGCGGTCTCAACGTGAGATACTCGACGAAGACTGCCAGTGGGAGAGACTTGGGTTAGTCCGTGGAGAAGATAGACAAGATGACGAAATAAGCTGGCCGGATGAAGTAATGCACAGCACCCTAAGGTTGGCTGCACTGTCTGGGAATGAGCTTCTCATTCAACCTCTCTTGGATGCCGGCGCCAGCCTCATGGACCTGAAAATCTACGAAGAGTTCGCAACCGCTCTTGACCCCACGATCAAAGACGGTATTATTGAGCGCTTGGTTGGCGCCGGCGCAGACCACAAATTGCTGGGCAGAGCAGTCAGAGTAGCAGCCCAGAACGGCGACGAAACAAGTCTGAACAGATTGGTCCAGTGGGCTGCAGCTCATGGAGTTAAAAGCTCATACATCGAAGCACTTTCTGGGGCTGCAAGGAACGGCAACGAAAAGTTTGTAAAGATTCTCTTCGAGAACGGCGCAGATCCGAGTGCGGATGATTACCGCATAGACAACCCGTTCTTTGCGGCTTTGGATAGTGGCCATGAGTCAGTGTGCCTTCTCCTCTTAGACGCGAAGGCCAACGTGTTTTCATCTTATCAAGATGGGTTCCAGAAAGTGGCTAGGAAGGACTTCCGCCGACTTATGCCCGCTATGCTGAGTGTCGATATGGACCCTGCGAAGAGAAAGCAGAGCTATATCTCGGCGCTCCGGACCGCGGCTCTCTGTGGCAAGGGTGGCATCATGGACATCGTTTTCGAAATGGCCGAGAAATATTCTATCCAGTTGGATTATTCCGCGGCGCTGACCTTTGCTGCGAGGGGAGGGAATGAAAAGGCTGCCAAACTATTGATAGAGAAAGGCGCTCGGCTTAACTTGGAAGACTGGGTTGACAGAGCTGAAATGGCACGGATCATCAACAATGGGGACGAGTATCTTACGAAGCTGCTCCTTGGATCATGCTCTGAATTCGATGAGCAAAAAGAGGCCGACGTACGTATTCTGCACCTTGCCGCGCGGAAGGGTTTCTCGCGCATCGTCAGCATGCTATTCGAGAATGGGCTCGGTCCGGCGAGCCCGTCCTCGCAGTATCAAAACGTCTTCGAGGCCGCCGCCGCAGGAGGTCACAGTGACATGCTTGACCACCTATGGGGCTCTTCTAGGCTCGAGGACGAGCACAGCGGCATAGCGCTTCGGTCCGCATGTCGATACGGCAGTCCTCAGATGGTAGAGAGAATCCTGAGAACTGGTGTCGACGTCAACTCACAGGATGAACATTACGGGACTGCACTATACGCCGCTTCAAAACGAGGCCACAGACTAATCGCGAAGATGCTGATCGAAGCTGGCGCTGATGTCAACGGCCAGAACGCCACCTTCGGGAGCGCCCTTCAAGTCTCTGCAGCTCGCGGGCGTTTACGGATAGCGGAGTATCTGCTCGAAAATGGTGCACGTATTACCAGAGAGGATGAGAATGGAAAAAATATGCTTCAGGCAGCTGCCGAGGGCAGCCACGTTCATGTGATCGACCTGCTTCTGCGCCACGGTGCAGACCTAAACCCCGAGGCCGGACGGTGGGGAGGCGCCATCCAAGCTGCTGCCAGCGTCGGCAGTCTGAAGACGGTCAAGTTCCTGCTTACCCGTGGTGCCGATGTGAATGCCATGGGCGGCAAGTATGGCTCGGCTCTCCACGTAGCTGCTTACCACGATAGAAAACGGACGGCAAATCTACTGTTGGAAGAAGGCGCTTCCCCCGATACAACTTGGCGCCAGTGTGGCACCCCGCTTCACACCGCTATAACTAAGAAGCATTTCGGAATTGCCCGGGCGTTGGTCAAGAGAGGTGCGAACGTCAGTGTCCAGGGCGGCTTGTACGGGAATGCTCTGCAAGCTTTAGCCGTCGTTGAGTCAAACTATTCTTTCGCAGATGACCTGATCGAACGTGGTGCCGATATCAACAGCGTTGGTGGGAAGTTTGGGTGCGCTCTGCAGGCGGCAGCGAAGTTTTCTCCAGATCTTCTCAAATTTCTCCTGAAACGAGGAGCCGATCCTAATATTCAAGGCGGAGAGTACGGAAGCCCACTCCAGGCTGCGTGTTCTGCCAACAGGAAGAAATCAATAAAGAGGTTGATCAAGGCTGGAGCTGAGGTAAACTCCCAAGGTGGGAGATTTGAAAGCCCTCTCATAGCAGCATGCATGTCGGGGAGCGGGGAAAACGTCGAAATGCTGTTGGACCACGGGGCAGATGTGAACTTGCACCTGCAAAATGGGCAGCTGGGAAGCCCACTTCATGCGGCTTGCTTTGCCGAGGACAAAGAGGTCGTTGAACTTCTACTGTCTCGTGGAGCCGATGTGAACTTCCAATTTGGTGAGCACGGTAATGCACTGCAGGTCTCTTGTATGATGCGCGGGCAAGACATTGCTGAGGTCTTACTTGCGAACGGGGCCAGCACGAACTCAAAAGGGGGGAAGTTCGGAAGCGCGCTCCAAGCCGCATCCTGGGCCGGCTATCCGGAGATTGTGAAAATGTTACTTGATCACGGGGCTGAGGTAAATCTCAGGGGTGGCCTCTTTGGCGACGCCCTTCAAGCGGCTTCGAGCGGATATATATTTCCTGTGGGACATGAGAGCCCTCTTGCACATTTTGAAGCCGCCATAGACGCTGAAGAGGTACAGGAACGGCCCAATGGTGAAGGCAGACCCTCCTCCAGCTCGTCTTTAGCCACGGACGAAAGTCCTGTCTACCCTCACCCCGCATTCTTGACGCGTCATGAGCCTGACGAAACTGAAGATGAGTATCGTCCAGGGCATCATGCGGAAGTTGTTCAGCTGCTTCTGGATAATGGCGCTCGTATCCAGTCCGAATGTGGCCACTTCGGCAACGCCTTACAGGCAGCAGTACTATCAGGAAACGAGGGGCTGGTGGAGAAGCTGATGGATGCTGGTGCTGATGTCAACGCCAAGGGCGAACCACTTGGCACGCCTTTCGTTGCGGCTGCTGCTTGCGGCTTGACGCCTATTGTCCGACAACTCTTGGACGCTGGAGCGGATATTAATTCGCAAAACACATCGTACGGAAACGCTTTGGTATCAGCTGCTTCTGAAGGCCACAGCGACGTTGTCGGGCTTCTGCTCGAGCGAGGTGCTGACGTCCATGCGAGAAACCAAGAAACCGAAGAAACAGCACTTATGGTTGCAACGAAGCGAGGACACGGCGAGATTATCAAAATGCTAACGGACGCAGGGGCTGATGTCAACAGACCAGACGAAGCCAGTGCAACTGCTCATTGATATCAACGAAGATAATTGGTGGTTAAGTTGCTACTTCGCTGGTGGTTGTCCGGACATTGCTATCAAACATTATCTCTATCGCGCCTACAATACATAAGTCTCCTGGTGCATCCCCGAAACGCAACCAGCCCTGAGATCTGAAAAAGCTTACTCTACATTGAACCCAAATCCGGGTAGCCACTCATCCTCACAACAGGTAGATTCACTCGCCAAGACAAACCCTTTGATCAGGAAGCCCTAATACTCTACCAAATAGGCTTTGGTCCGTACTTTGGTCGCTTTTTCGGTGGGTAGCTTGCAACGATATAAACCCCATAAAGCGACATCAGAAACTGTACCACTCCAGCAGCATAATAAGCCGGCTGGGTGAAGAGCTCCGGGATCGACAGTGCCCAAAAGCTAAATGGTGCGAAGGTGAAGATGATGGCGACAACATTGGTCAGGGCAAACCCAAGGCTCAAGCCGTCCCGCGATCCCCTCTCCAGATATCCCGTGATTGGGCCGACAACGATCAGGACGTTGGTGAGGCAGAACCACTGCATCACGGAGCCTTCACCCATCAGAACGATCAGAACTGCGACGACGGAGTACATGCTTAGCTGCATCATGACCACGTAGCAGAGGATCTGGGGCAGCTGGGGCTGAGGTCCGAAAAGAGGCGCGAAGATGTGTTCTCGGTTCTTGGTTACGTCCCTGTGGATACAGAAGATCTCAAGCGCCGCCCAGATGGCCAAGGCAAACGATGTACCCCACAGAAACCAGTGGTTGTCATATCGCGGTGCGGCATTCGCCAGCAGATATGACCATGTCGAGTCGTGGGCGAGGTAGAACGAGTGCATCCAGAACGGCATGGGGCCCTTGCCTTCTCGGAGAGTCAGGCGGATGGCGTAGACATATTGGAGGTAGCCGCAGACGAAGCTTGCGACGCCCGCGGCGAGGATGGGCGTGTTGTCGAAGTTGAAGACTTCTGTCAGGCGCTGGTAGTTGTCTATATCCATGATGACGGTCTATTCTGAATGGGGTCCGAGGAATTGAGATTTGATATCCAAGGTCCATCGCCCGTTATGTGCGGAGGGCCGCCACATTATATCTGTACCTGAGCGGCATCCTTATAAGCCCGAGGTAACGTGGCTGAGTGAAAAGCTAACCGGGAGGTCACGCTGTATGAAAAAGATTTTCGAGAAACCACGCATCCGCCATTCCAGTTGTGGTGCGTTATGAATATCAGAATGACAAAGACTTCGGTGTTTTTGAAGTAATTCGCGAGGTTGTTGTGGATGGTAGCCTCGGCAATAAGTCTAGCGTCGACCGAAGTCTGATCAGGCTGCGGGCCGCTGGTATGAAAAGGGCAGTTCGGCACCAAAGTGGCGCCAATCTCGGGAAATGCCCAGACCAGGCCGTCGCGATGGTCCGATTTATTAATCCCACTTCTTCTCTTCTCTTCAGAAAAATAGACACTAAACCACTTGGATACTGGCGCCTCTAACAACCGCCTCATCAAGGCACAATCCAGACAAAATTTTAACAAAGGCAAGTATGTTTTTCTATTAAAAAAAAGCCCACCTCCTTTTCTCCAGGAAATATCCCCATTGAGGCAGGAGTGAAACCTAGAGAACCCAGGAATTAGGAGCAAGAGGAATATCTACAATCCAGCCTTCTCTCCAGCCAAAACCTCCAACACATTCATTGCTGGGTACGAAAATCTGGCGCTCAACGCCTATTTGCGACCCTTCTTGGCCGGGGCCTTCTTGGCCGAGGCCTTCCTAGCTGCTCCTGCATGCTTCAAGGCCTGGCTACAGTTTTATTCAGTCACATTTCCTTTCACGGCTTACAACGGATGGGTTATCAACTTACTGCCTCGCGAGCCCATCCGCTGTCTTGTAGGCTTTGCCGCATTCAGAGCAATTATAATCGCTACGCTTGGAGAGCGAACGCCCTTCGAGCTCGTCATCGTAGTAGCGGGCGACAATCTCTCTAGCCTCGTCCTCGTCGAGGCTGCGGACGAGGTGGTGGAGGAGACCCTTGGCGGAGCGGGTTTGAAGGCCGATGCCGTTACCATCGCTGAAGGAGTGGGCGGAAGCGGCGCTCAGGGCGCTGGCAAAGACGAGAAGAGCTGCTGATAACTGCATAGTGAAAGAATAATGGTCGTTTATAAGGAGTTCCGACAGTCAAAGCAGTGCACAAAGGAAGGATAGAAGAAGCGAAAGCAAATTGACTTTAAGGGGAGATGAAAAATGCGAAGGTTGGCGAGATTGCTGTGTGTTGGATGAGAAAAACTGTCTATTGAAAGGATACAGCGGCTATAATTATACTCTATTCTCTCATGGCTAGGTAGGTAGGTAGTGCCTAACGATGTTGCTCTGTCTTGCGATACGACTATCTTCAAATATCGGCTGTTGCCCTTCTTAGCAATATCACCCGAGGCGCCATCTCAATAGCAGCGCCCAAGGCTTTGGTATGGCGTCTGGCATTATTGCGCCCCGCTCAGGATCACTGCTCTGAGATACGCGACGGATATTTTTGGCAGTTCCTCCATTTTCGTCCTTCAAAATTACATGTTCCCCTACTTAGTATATTCCTGCCGTTGGATAGTATGTTTTAGCCAAGCATATGCTGCTACGTTTTTGAACAATCCTGATCCTTTAGAGCACTCTCCAAAGTCCTTTTTCTCAAATTGAATAGTATGAGGTCGGACAATTCACGACCATGCAGGGCGCCCAAACATATGAAAAAAACAATTTCATTCAGAATCAGGCCACTACGAGAGCAAGCGAACAACCCATGCCGAGATTTTAATTTTGATCTTTGTAATTACGCTCCAATACCTTATCCTATAACTCTAGTTTCCTTGTTCGATATTTAGCCGACCTCTAATTAGTCTAGCCTGATGTGTGATTCGTCAGGCCAGAAGTGAGAAGGCTTCTTCTTTGTTGAGGAATTGGGGGAGGGTATAGGGTAGGCTCGGCTACTTGAGTCAACGGTGAACCGCTCCTTACGTGATCATATCACCGTCGAATAGCCGACCTGCGCACCTCGTAACTGATGTAAACCGATAGAAAATTCGAGGCAGTATTTTTTTTCTTACAAATTTATGATACACGATGAGGTCAACAGATAACACCTCAATGAACTTGTCCAAGCTACACCTTGGCAGGGGAAGGATCCGTTCTGGCCTTTGCCTTCATATGAGAAAGGGATAGGCAAAATTAAAGCTCGGGATCATTTTTATACTTGCTAGATTTGCAACGATTCATCTCAAGTGACTTGAACGTCCGTAGTATCTCGACAGAGAGTAATAGGAAAAGTGTGCCCGTCAAGTCTTGCGTTCATATTCCTACTAAAAGCATTTTTTATCTAATGGATTGCTCGATATTTCTCCTCCACTACTCTCTCTTGTAAAACTGCCTGTATAACTTCTTGTGTTGTTCCAGCAAAAGCAACGTGGCTACTGTATGAGGCCCCAGCCTGCTGAAAGAAGGCAGCCAGCCTCTAAGCGTCCAACGCAGGCCATCGGTCCGTGTCATGTCCGTCACCGTTCTCATCACGGACATGCCGTTGGAGTTCCCGCTCATGATCCTCGTCTTGACGACATCGATAGGGTTGCAAAGGGTGGTAGCCACAAGACCCGCAAGAACAGATGCCGAAAACTGCGTGGCCATCCCGCCATTCCCCATCCCAGGGACCTTATCCAGCATGTCCTTGAACCAGTCGTACGACCCAAGCTGGCAGCCGGTCATGCAGCCCGACCGGATAGCGTTGGGGATGATCCCTCGCACGAAGCCACCGACTCCCTCCTCGCGCGCCATACGGGCGAGCACGTCGAAGATGTTGCGGTAGTTTTTCCGCAGGTTGTCCGGCAGCGAGCGGTCGTTTTGCATGCGAACGTTGGCGATGTCGGCAGGGTTTCCGACTATGGCGCCACATGCTCCCGAAAACGTCGCGGCGGACATGAGGAATGTCATTGGTAGCTTGTCGCCCTTTGTTTTTGCCAAGGCACGGTCCTTGAGGGATTCGTAGATGGCGAATCTTGTGGAGCCATACGTCACTACGGTATGTGGTTAGCACTTAGTTTACGTGCAGCTGGATCTTGAAGAGTTGGGCGTGACTGACACTGTCTGAGCATACTCGCGGACAGCTGAAAGTTTATATTGCGATCAGTTTTGGCCTTACAACAAGCGGGTGGGGGTAACTTACACCTCGATATAGACCTTTGACCCCCTCTATCCGAACCACGGAAATTACGGTTGACGTAATGCTCTGCTTGGTCCCGGCCGCTGTTTGATGCCTGACTTTGACTAGAGAAGCGTAAGCAAAAGTGTATCCAGCCACGACCGGAAATTGATGGAAACTAACTCAAATCCAGAGGGTGGGAGAATACGACGGCGAATAACGATGCCGAGCCTCCAAACCACTTGGGATACTGTATTTTCGCATTAGGCAGCCTGGACAGTTGTTTTGGCGACTCGGGTAGCGAGACAGTGGTAACAAACTTCGGGTCTTTTAACTGCTCCATGTCGTCTGTCGTCGAATCAAACCGTAGAAAGTGACTCTTCGCAGGATTTTGGGATAAAAGAATGGTAGAAAAACGAATCTTGCGTGTAAATGATCTAGCTGAAGCGATGTTCTATATCAACCCTGGCTTGTTAGTCTCGTGAAAGAGGGTGTTGCTGTGAATATGGGCAAGACGGGATTTGGGTCTTACTCACGCAGTGCGGTATGACGTTGAGTTGCCTTCCAATCAATATTGACTTCGGGATCACAACCTCCTTGTATGCAACCGAGTCGCCGAGGCACCGCAGCAGGGATGTTGCTTAGGTAGGTAGATATGGTTAATCGGCTAGATGGTGTTTGGAGTGGAGAAGGAAACATCCGAGCCGGAACTGTAGGGTAGGCACCTACTCGGCACCTAAATGCATCACTGAATTGGCAGGTGGGCCATGGTGTGGTGGCTCCGTTACCAACAACCCAGTGCACCCTGTGTCCCTGGTGAAGTTCAACACACTTCTTCGGCCACATCCAACAGGTCCAGCAGCTTTAGGGTTCAATTTTGGCGTGCTGATCGTGCACGCGCGTGCTAGGACACGTATTTGTTTGTGCAACATAGATGCTTAATTATTCGCGTCTAGAAATTCAAGCTCTTTGAACGGAAAGCAATTGACTCGCTTTCCACTGGCTGCATGTGAGTCGCACCAGGAACGGAATGTGATTGGGGGGGATTAGCGAAGGCTCCACCAAACGTTATGTTCACGCTCTGCACAAACACGTCGAGTCTCTGGCTGCACAAGGTCATCTCAAGTCAGCTGCTGGCTCTGATGAATGCAAGTATTTATAGCTGAACTATCTATGCTACTGGAAAATCAGAGTGAAAGCTCAGTCTTCGGTAGAACACTTTTGATAGGAATTTAATCATAAGTCGCTGAGTACATGTACGCCATCTTGGATATGAAGTATCCTCGATGCAGAGGACCAAAAAGTCATCATGATGCAGACCGACTTCACCCAAGTAGGCATTGATAGTAATTGATCCAGTCACTTTGAAGTGCTGAGCTGTGTTTCTGGTGTGAGCCTGCCTCCAAGAAAAAAAGCACTGCCTGAGGCAACATTCTGTGCCAGCTCAGGGGTTGTTGTCATGGGCACTGCTACTTGCTTCTAACCGCCCCCGATGGCTACGATAATAGAACAAATTATAGGCAAGGTGAAAGCCAAAAGAAAATAGAAAAAGGAAGAAAAATACGAAGTCGAAGTAGTAACCAGTAGTATACTTGCGTATCATAACTAAGGCTACGAACCCCGACCTGTGTGCATTAAAGCTCAAGCTGGGGCGTTACCATCGGAGCCAGTTGTTTACTGACCCCGCGTGTTGACTGAGGGGAGCACATGCCTCAGGCTCACCTTCCTAAGACCCCTGCGTACTTGGTTTCTTCTTCTCAAAGGTGCCCTTTCAAACTTTCTTCACGGATTTCTCCCTCATACATATCCGTACATCTCAAGATGGCCTCACTCAACACTCTCCCGAACGAGATGCTCGCAGAATGCGGTGCACTCTGCGACATATCCAGCCTCGCTTCACTTGCACGCACCAGCCGCCACTTCAATGCCGTATTCGCTCCGATCCTTTACAGGCGCGCATTGTTCACCGAACCCCCTAGCCGGCCCATCATCTTTGAAGCCGCAGAAAGTGGCAATATAGCCACCATCGAGCTTGCGCTTTATCATGGCGCTGACATTAATACGGTGTCTGAGGAGATTTTCAACAAGTATACCCAGAGACGGAAGGAGAAAGAAATCAAACAAGAGGCCACGGCCCTGCATGTCGCATGCTACAACGGGCAAGTTCATATAGTTAAGTTTCTTCTCGAAGCCAAGGCGGATGTCCACTTTCCCAGCAGCGCCCATTACACTCCGTTTTACTTTGCTATGCGACTTCAAGGACCGGAACGCAAAGCCATCACCGAACTTCTTATCCGAAATGGAACCCAATTTTCGTCAAGGAGCCCGGATAGATTGACACTACATGCAGCCATCAAGGCAAGCTTCTGGCCAGTAGTCGACACCATTCTCTTGAACCGCCACTTCTCCGCCGGGCCTCACGGTCACTTAATGAGCAACATGGCTGAAGCGGTCTCAGCAAGAGGGGGCTACAATGTTCTGCATTTCATCTCGCTCAGTGGCGACTCCAAGGGCATCTCAGACATGGTTCCCAAGCTGGTAACTTCAGGAGCACGACTAGACCATGTTGCCGAAGGTTGGAACCGACCACCTGGTCGTAACGCTGGCACTCCCCTGATATACGCCGTGAAGACGCAGAACTGGGCTGCTGCCACAGCTCTCGTGAAAGCTGGGGCGGAGCTAGATTCGACAGCCAACCCCGAGAAGCGAGAAATTGCTCTGGAAATCGCCTTGAGCCACCCGTTGCAGCTACCCACAGACGATATGCGCCCCCTAGACGAGCTCAGACGCGACCACGAGCTGCATCAGGAGTTCATACGCGCTTTCATCCAAAAGGCTTAGGAAACCAATAGGATGGAACTCATTGAACATCGGCCTACCACGCTGCAAAGAGGTTGGCAGGGGACACCCCTTTGGTACGCAGCGGAACGCGCTGCCGATTACGAATGTATGAAAATCTTACTCGAGGGCTCTGCCTCCCCTCACGCCACGGTCAAGCGAATGGTGGTAGTCAACGAAGACGAAGATGGCGGCTTCGAACATGAAAGGATGGCCGAGGTGACGATTCTGCGTGGTTTGCTCCCGCCTTTTCCCTCTCCCTTTCCCCCCTCAAGAGATGCCGAAATTCAACTAGAGGAACGGATACAACTCCTCATTGAGCACGGGGCTCGTCTCGACTCCGAGGTTGACCAGGTCAATGTTTCATCATCGGTAGCTTCATCCTCGACCGTGTTGGATACGGCATGTGCGAGTTGCCGAGACGAGGGAGAGAACTGGCTCTTTGATGTCATCCTGAGAAGTGCAACAAATCACAATGTGAGCCTCGAGCACGTCGCTGAAATGGAACACAAATATGATGGCGAAATGTCTGTTCTCGGGAATCTCGAAGATTTGCGCCGAAGACTTAACTGATAAGAGACATGTAATCTTGTTCCTTCTTATACCGTATGTAGCAGGCCCTCTTTAGCTACCTTGTAATTCTATTCACATCCAAGCTTCATTTGAACCATGTAAGAAAGAGACATTCGCCGGGATGCCTATTAAGTGCTTTATCAATATATCCACCCGTGCCCATCATCACTCTGCTTTCTAGGTTAAATTACAGACGCATACTCCAAATATTCTATTACTAGGAAAGAAACTGCATAGAGTAAAATTCAGTCTTTTCGAGGTATTTATAGCCATGGCGCACTTCCAAGTGCTCAATTTCCATCCTTTGTCGAATAATGACAGTTATGGATCGACCATCTGGGTTCCACATCATCAGAAACACGCTTTTTATCGCCGCAACCGAACAACCTTTCTTTGTACCACTTGCCCTAATTGTTAGCCTCAGGGGTCCAATGGCTGCAATCAACATCTTGTCGTAATTCAGATGTTCCAGGTCTTATGCCGATCTGACCTCCTATATCAGTTTGTCTGTGAAGTTAGAAGGTTTAGGGATAGCCCAGTCCCTTTCTCTCAGCTCCTCGAGGCTTCATCCCTCATTCTCAGGGAGGTTAAAATTTGGGCTTGGTATCCGTTACAGGCTTCTTGGAATATGGCTCCGTCACGTCATCATCCCAGTCAGAGGGAGGGGAGGACCCTCCTTCTCACGGCGTCGCTTCGATCCACGCTTCGGCACTTCCTCAGCTGGGTGCGAATCCATCCACTTATTGAGCGTGCAAGATACTGCTCTTATGGTTGAGCGAGAGAGTGAGCAAACGATCCGTGTTCTATTGAGTCTAAAGTATCTCAACTAGGGTCTTGTATCCTTCGACTGTCATCGAATCGCCCATCGACAGCCTTTCAACTCAAAAGCTTAAGAACAACAATCCAAGCTCTTTAAATCACATGGTTCCATTCGGCTACATTGCCTTGATGAGCCAATCAGCCACGAAGAATACACAAGCAGGTAGTCAAGCTCTCCAAGCGGGAAGTACTCACAGAGGTAGTCGAGTCCATCGTAGTCGTAGATATGGCCAGAATTCTGCTGATTAATAGTACTATATCCAGTGATGCCCTGTTCATTGAATTAATATCTCCTGCTAGTTTACTCATGGCTGAAGGGATGCAATACCTAGACAAGTCTCGGTACCTAGTATTGGCACAACAGGTTCCACGCCGGCCCAAAAGTGTGTCGATTATCGCTATTTTGAACATGTGTTTCTCGAGTCTCATCTAATTTCAAATTATGATCTTCAAGTTAGCCGAACGTCTTCAAATGCTAGAAAGAGCTGTGGGTGGATAGAAATCAGTATTCAGATCAAGCAAGCAATGTTTATATATCATGGAAGATCAAAATTATAGTCAAACTGTCATCATATTGATTGACGCAATAAAACCCCTCAACGAGGAGAGGGAGACGAAGGTAGGAGAATATCCACATACAAGCTTTTTTGGAGTCAGATGAAACGAATCGCGGGGCGTTCATAAGGGACCGAAAGTATGTCGATTATCATCATCGCATCTAGGTCCAGACCGCGATCTTGAAGTCAGCCAAATGTCTTCAAGTGCCAGAGAGAGAGCCATGGGTGGAGAGAAGTCAATGTTCAGATTATGTTTTTGTATCATAGAAGATCAAATTCAGTCTCAAATATGTCATCATGTTGATTGACGTAATGGAAGTTCGCAGAGAGGAGAGGAGACGACGGTAGGAGAATATCCACATACAAGTTTTTTTGGGTTAAATGATACCACTGCATCTAAGTCCAAATTATGATCTTGAAGTCAGCCAAATGTCTTCATGTGCCAGAGAGAGAGAGCTATGGATAGATAGAAGTCAAGGTTCAGGTTGTATTTTTGTATCATAAAAGATCAAAAACATACACTCAGATCATCATGTTGATTGACGGAATAGGAATTCGCAGCGAGGGGGACAGTTAAAGAAAAAGCACATACAAGTATTTCTGGGTCAAGCGAGACGAACCAGGTCAACTGTCGGGCCGTGTGTAGGTGACCGAAAATATGTCGATTATCATCATCGCATCTAAGTCCAAATTATAATCTTGGAGTCAGCCAACTATCTTCGTATGCTAGAAAGATCTGAGGATGTAGAGAAACCAAGATTCAGATAAGTGCGAGGTTTTTTTTCATGGGGATGTCAAAATCAATACCCTTTTGGATCATCATATTTATTTGATGTAATAAGAAAAGATTGGCGATGAAACGGCAGTTGAAGAATATACACGTACAAGTTTTTGTGGTTATGTGAGATGAACTAGGTCATCTTTGATGAGTTCTCAGTTGATCAACGCATAGCGGCCGCCGCAATCGTAACTAGGTCCAGATTGTGGTCTCAAATTCAGCCAAAGTTTTTATCGTGCTAGAGAAGGCAGAGGGCGTGGAGGAATCAAGGATCAGATTGTAGAAGGTTCTTATCACGGGAGGTCAAACAGAGCCAAAGTTCGGTCATCATATCCAAATGATGTAACAGTAAGCTCCAGCAAGGAGAGGAAGGTTGAAAAATATACACGTACAAGTTTCTATGGTCTCATGAAACGAACCGGGCCAGCCGCGGGGCGCTCGTAGGAAAGTCCGTTTCCTTTGCTTTCTTGGCGGTATCAGCCTGACGCAAAAGATTGTTAGCCTTTATTATCTCAGACTCCAGTAGTCTCAAAGGGAGGAGTGGTAGAGATCCAAAATTTACCAAGAAGTCGGCCGAGGTGCAAAGTCAGAGTAATCGTCCTACTAACCATTCTTCCAGGTCACTGGGATCAAATCTCAAAAATGGAAGAGGGAAACACGAGGGTAAAGAGGGGAATGTCTCTTAGAAAGGCTACATTACCAAGCGACCGTTCTCCCTCCATGACTTCACGTAACTTCGCGTCACGCAGGAGTGGTGGGAGTAAAGCGAGCAAGCGGCGTCGACACTTAATCGTCTCATAATGTGAAGTTGATAGAAGTGCTGCGTATTGGGTTTGGACCATCAACTCAAGATGTTTTGCACATGAAACGCGTTCGGAAAACAAAGCAAAAACAAAGTGAAGTGGGATTTCTCTGTTTGTTGTGTGGAGAAAAAGGTGGCATGCTCAGGAGAAGGGAAGGGAAACGGGAAGATAAAGGTACGGACCCACCAAGTAGTCAGGTGAATTAACAATCAGGTACGATAAGTGCCTACGGTAGGTATGTACTGGTATTTTTGAAGACCATAGCGTGAGGATGTTCCAATGGCGAAGTGTAACAGGCGCTCGTAGTCGGTTACAGGGGCGAGCCATTGCTACAGTAGGCACATGCACATGCACTTATTACAGGCATTAAGGTACTAGTATTTATTTACTCTTTCGTACAGAAGCCATTGAAGTTTCAGAGCGCATAGAAATCTTTTTAGGGCCCCCTAGAGCCCCAAGCTCCCACATTCAAGGGTCATCGTCCTTCAACCTTTGTGGCTAGCCATTGTAACGACCGGGACACAACCCAATGATAATCACCAGCTACCCTTGGTGGGCTTGGGATAATCAATAAAAATACACCCGTACAATTCGTGATCTTGAATTTTTCTAGTATTCTCCCAAACTTCCAAGCCTTTGACATGGCTGTTCTTAAAACGCCGATGATAGTGAAAATGTCGGCTAACTCCCTACAACCTCTAAATCAACAGGTACACGGTCTGGATAAAGGGCCACTGAAGTGTGCACTCCTGACCAAATCATTTCCAATTTTATTTAGCTAGACTTAGTTGGCAAGCGACTGACATAAAACATGGCACGCCAACGCTCGCTCTGTTCACGCAAGTCAGGGACCTCACTTTTTTATCAATAATACTAAACATCACAATAAGAAGTTCATATTATTATACTATAATATTAAGCTCAGTTCTGTGCTTATTACTACTTAAGTTCTTTTAATATTACGTTGATATTGTGCTGAAATTCAACTTGGAGGTTCTGGATACGCGACGCAGGTAGTCCAAGTGCATCCCCATAGGATGTCACGTGTCCTCCACGGCTTACTCATCGTGGGTCCATTCAACTCCGTCATGTCCGCTACCTTCCTTAGTAATTACCGACACCTTGAAGACAGGACCATCAACACCATCATCAATCACTGTGAATATTCCAATTTGAGCCGTTCCTTATTTCCGGTTGTTCCTCCGCAAATTTCTCTGGTGCTCGCTGCGCCCCCCTCCCCCTCCATTGCAATCCAGCCATTCGGGTCGCGACCTGGCCCTATCCATTCGGACATAATGAGCAAGCGACCTCGACTTGACAACGAGGAGAGTCCCTCAGCCGCCGTCTGCGACCAATGCCGTCAGCGCAAGGTTCGCTGTGATCGACAACAGCCCACCTGCTCAAATTGCTCCAAGGCCGGAGTAGAATGCAGCTCGTCGAACTCGACCAAACGGGTGAATCAAACTAAGGAGCTGTAAGATCAGACTTCCAATGTCGATCCCAAACCTATCGAGTATTAATCATGCTAATTCTTGCGTCTTTACATCATCGCAGGCGAGATGACCTCTCTGCTGTACTAACTCAAATCAACCATCTCGATCAAAGTTTAGGAGCTTTAACGAGTCTTACTCGACAGATTGCTGCTGATGTCGCAAACCCCAAATCCACGCAGCTGGAAAACCCCCCTTACTTTGATTCAGCTCGAACGAATCATCACGATGGTCAGACACCGGATGGTCAGTCGCCAGATATCAAACATCCTCTAGAGACAGTCGAGTTTGATCGAGGTGGCGAATATCTGTACAGTTATCCAGCGCCTGTTGTGCTGATGAAATGCCTATTAAATCAGGCTACCGCGTCACTTCTTACAGATGATGAACATAGAGCCAGTCGATACATTGCCAACGAGGGTATATGCAATTATTTCGATACACTCCAAGACAAAAAAGCAAGAGATGCTCTCCAGCAGAAGCTCGACGCCTTCCCTTTTAAGTCTCCTTGTGTAGATTTCAGTCTAGTTAAGGATCGAGAGCCTATCACCTCACCACCTCGTTTCATTGTCAATGCTTCCGTGGATGGCTACCTCCGAGTTTTCAACACCAAAGTTCCTATCTTTAACGAGAACGACTTACGCTGCGCCATAAACACGCATTACAGCACCGAATCGGCAGCTCATAATGATTTAGCATGGCCACTCATCACAAACGCCATCGTGCTTCTACAACTAGGTCTGGAATTACGAGTAGCGCATGCATCTCAAAATAACTCTCCCGTCATGCATGATGCTATCTTGTTCCCTTTCTTGGAAAATTGCGATCGAGCTATGCGAAATCTCGCCTCGTTCATGGTACCAACTGTTGTCAATGTCGAGGCGCTTATGATACTGGTAAATCATTTCTAACCCCTATTCTGCACTGAGATTGAGTCTAGTGACTAACCTCAGCTATGATCTAGACACTCGTCTCTCGAGAGTTTTTCAGCAATGCCACAGCTGAGAGAGTATGCCAGGCAGCTTGTCACGCTGGTCGTGCTCTCGGCCTACATCGATCTAAGGCCCGTCGTCACAGCGACAGCACGAATCGACCAACAGAAAATGAAAAGGAAAGAGAGCGTCTGTTTTGGGTTCTTTATACCCTCGATAAACAACGAGTGTTTATGACCGGCCAACCGTGCGATCTTTATTCGTTTGACTCGGACCACGACCTACAAGGATTCTCCCTCGAGGATGCTTCAAATCACATGATGACACTATGGGAAGAAATCCATATCAACTTGTACTCTTCGAAAGCTGCAGGTCCCAGGAGCCAAAAAGATCAGCAGATACGCCACATGAATACTTTGATGAACGAGTTTACCCAACGGCATGCGAACCATAAACTAAACTACTCCGACAACTCAGAAAGTCTCAACCCATTGCAGGTTGAGTTCACATACGGCTACCACGTATCTGAACTACTTGTTCTCGGCTCTGAACAGACCTCGGAGCGAGTTCAGAACCATAAAATTCAAGTTTCCCGTTCGGCCCTGAAGTTGATTCTCCAAGTCTCCGCAAGGAAACCCACCCCTACTCAATTAGCTGCATTAGCGAGGATGTTCCGAAACTATCCAATTATTCCCTTCATAGAATTGGTAGCCTTCCATCTCTGGCACCTTTTTGCGCGGAAGAACTATAGTGAAGATGCTCGGAGTGATGTCTCTCTCCTGCGGGCAGTCCTTGATCGGCTCCAGATACTCCAACTCCGAAACCTATCGTATACGTTTTACTCTCGAATGAAAGTTGGGTTGTCCTGGGCACTAGATACTCTACAAGCCACCGCCGGTATATTTGGTGCATCAATGGAGCCACCAACAGTCACGGAGTCCGACCAAACCGAAGTGTATAGCCACCCCTCTCAATCAACTACCAAAACAAACGCCAGCCATTCAATACCATTCGACACCGCCAACCCTTGTGACCTATTCCAAGAGGAAATTTCTGCAAGCTTTTACAATCTCAACCCCAGAGAAACCAGCCGGCAGCACGGAGTCTCCGGGAATAAACCTCCTACCCCTGAAAGCGAACAGGGATCTCATCTCTCACAACATTGTCCGCTGGTACATCCGTCCCCATTGCCTTCATTTCCAGCCGACCCTGCACAACGAAAGGGTCCTTGCGCTCACCTGACAAGCAGGTTTGAATGGAATGAATGGAGTGATCTTGGTCAGGACCTCGAGGAATTTCTTGCCCGAGAACATCAGCCGATACTTGAGTAAAGATACCACGATGGGTTTGTTTCGGCTCTGTCGCGCAGAATGAATACCATTCTTGGCCCCTGACAGAAGGGGATCCAGCGGCAGGTTATTTAGTACCTGGCAAGTGGTTGTCAGAAAAACAGGGACTGCAAAGTCACCTCGACAGAATTATTGTCGCAGACAATATTGCCTAGTGGTCGCCTAATAATTTATTATTTTATTATTATCAACTATTGTCTATCAATATCGTGGCCTGTAATCGAAAGCTGGAAATGTTGTCGTCACCAGAATGTGGATTATATGGGGGAGTTGGGGCTTGCTTAACCAGACTCGGTAATTTTCGGCGAGAAATGGCTTCTCCGCATACGCCGATCTAATTCAAGTTCCTTTTTTCCTCCTTCCCCAGATCACCATACAACCCAACTACCTCATTCTCCAAATATCGCCGAACCTCTGTCACCAACCATCGTGCATCCCATCCACGCCCTCCCCCCTCCCCACGCCTAGAGATTACAGACGGATTGGCCAAACAACGACCGCGGAAGCAGCGCCGAGCAGTAAGACAATGTCCTTGCGCAGGCTCCCCTGCGTTGAGTGTAGGGAGAAGCACTTGAAGTGCTCCTCGGACACCCCGAAGTGCCGTCGATGCAGTGAGCGCAACCTTCCCTGCGTCAGGGCCGGTCGCAAGCAGCCCTTCCGAATAGGAGCGTCTACCGCCGCTTCCCAGTTCCCTGAGACACAAACTTGGGTCAAGGCCAACGCCCGCGAATGTATTTACACCCTCCACCCCCCCAACCTCGGTCATCAGGCCCTTGCACGCTTCTGCTAACCCACGCACGCCCCTAGTTCGTCTGCACAACGGCTCCCGCGGTCGAGCCAAACGGATAGAAACCGCTTACGACGACAGTCCAATCGAAGCCACTCCAGACTCCCCAGAGCAAACTGCCCATGGGGCCGACGATTGGTCCCCCTCTCAATATGAAGGGGGTGGGCAGGCCTCCTCCCCACAGCCTCCTTGCGGTAGGGTGACGCCGAGCAGTAGTTCGAGGCTTGCGGCATCAACCCCGGCAGCTGCTTCGCCTCATATCTACCCCAGCTGGTCCGAACTGCTTCACCATTCGCCGGATGGGGTCCCACAACAACAAGAGGAACAGTATACGGAAGAAGACCACAGGAGGACAGTTCAAGAAGCTTGTCTTTTAAATTATTACATAGACGAGCTTTCCCACTGGGTTAGAGACTCTTGCACCCTAAGCCCGTTTCCCCCTCAGATTCCTGAAGTTGACAAAATGGAAATAGTTCGACACATGCGACCGCCAACGCCGCTTCGAGTTTCTGGTCCCCGAGCGAGCCATGAGCTACCCTCCATTGCTGAATGCCATCTATGCCGTCTCCGCGCGCCACCTATGCCGACTCCATCGGTACCGGACGAAAGAAGGCATCGTCTACCGAGGACAGGTCCTCCACGGCCTCACACCAGGCACCGCAGTTGAGTACATGTTGCGGTGCATGCCGGCGCTACGAGCGTTCCACGATACGTTTGACGAAGACACCCGGATCCTCACGCTAACGACAGCCGTCATCCTCCGCCAGTTCGAAGAGATGGAACACGACAACGAGGCAGATGAAGAACAGGGACAGGGGGCGGCAGGAGCGGAGGTATACACAGCACCCTCTCCAAGAACAGGTCGAGTCAACTTCCTCTCCATCATCAACTCCGCTCTGCGAGGCTCCCAGCCGAGGGTTTCGTTTCTCAAGTCTGAGCTTCTCAATGCCTGCTACTGGATCGCCCTTCGGCAAGAAGTGTACGATGCTCTACTCAAGGGATATCCGCCAGAAATGGATCAAAACCCACAGTCATATGGCAACGTGTCTCCGGCAGACCGCATGATCATGCACGCCAGCCACGTCGCGCGATGGATGTTTGAGGGGAAATCGCGGGAGGGGTGGTGTGAGTAGCATCGAAGACTATAACACATGCGATGCAACCCTACTAACCATCCGCCCACAGTGAGTCTCAAAGATCAAGAAAGAACACTCGAGGAAGAGGTAGCCACGCAATTCAAACCTCTCATGTGGCTTCCTCCCGACCGCGAAAAAGGAGAGGTCTTTCCCACGATATGGTTCCGCTCGGTGGCAGCAATCACGGCAATGCAACATATGATGCTTGCGAGAATGATCTTGATAGCAGAATCGCCTTTCCTAGCGTGGGTTACATCGCGCCTGGTAGATTTTGAAATATATCCGTTGCTAACTACATCGCTACCAGACAAGCGACCGATCCTCGACTTGCGTTCCGTGAAGCCGAAGGCCAGGTCCGGAGCATAGTTCTGGACATTTGCGGCACCTCTCTTCAAGAAGAGAAGACGCCACCGGTGGTTGTCAATGCTGCTCTAGCGATACACCTATACGGCCATTATTTCATCGACTGGTACGAAAGAAAGGCGCTCAAGGGTGTCATCAACCGGTTCAGCGACGCACGTGCCTGGCCTGTGCCGAAGCAACTACAAGACTTCCAGTTATCCTCATAAGGCAAATGACGATACCAATCATTGTCGCAAAGTCTTACCCCGGGCCCGTACCCGTGACGGCACCAAGATGGCACGATTCTGTTTCAGAGTCGTACATGTTACCTATCATCATGCTGCTCCAGGAGCTGGGGAATGGCCAGCGCCGGCCCGATGCCCATCTCGTCTGGGGCACAGCCTACCGTCGTGGCTATACAAATTTGCTGAGGATGGGCAGTCCTAGCTCTGTGGCTGTGCTCCTCTTCATCAGCAGGGTAGCGGTAGCACCGTCCGAGACTTATGATAAGTTGCCTGCTGTACTTGTTCCATCCGTCTTAAAGGTGGGTTTGAGCTTTGCGAGAGCCTCTGGGCTGATATTGGTCCGGATTCCATCGTCTTGGGTAACGGCGATTGTCTGCTGCTTGCTGATCTTCTCTCCCATCTTTTTATCCACCTCCTGGAACCAGGCCATTACAGGGACGATCTCGGCATCGAACGCGCCAGCCTCCCTCGCTCTGGCAGCCTTGATGTGGAACATTTCAATATTCCCACTATCGAACAGGCCCGTCCTCGCACAGCTTTGCTTGTGCCCGTATTAGTACCAGTGGAAGATCCCGCCCCTTCGTCAGATCCTCCATTTTAGAAGACCCGACTCCTAGTATTCCATTGACTAGAGCTGAGCCTATGATGGATGATGCGAGATTTAACAAGGAATTTGGAGGGGTCTCTTCGCACTTCACTGGGAAACCCGTGGATAGAAGCGTTGAATTAGAGCATTTGGAGCGGCACCAAAATGGCACTATTCTGTCTTCACAGTCCCTCACAATACACATACTACGCCCAGCACAATATTTAATATTTATACCACACCCAGCACAATATGCATTCTACACCCGGCAGATCAAGGCTGATTGCTCCGTCAATTGGAGGGGGGGGCTTTTTATAATATCGGCAACCGAGAAGACTTTTTATTCCATCGAGATTCAAAGTTTTGCACTTGATTGCCAAGCTGGAGTACTGAGGTAGGCATTGGCCAAGCTCGCAGATGAGGGCTACTCTTCCATTCTGGCCAATTGATTCAAGCTTCATTCTGCGCATCCCCTGGTACTCCGCGACAAAATCATTATTAGTGGTGTGCTCCGTATCGCCGGTCCGGCCTCTGGAGCCTCGAATCATCTCACCCGAACATCGGTCTCCGGCACCGGACGCTCCGACGGCTCGGGGTCCAGGGATAGTTCGCAACGTCACAAACCCGCGAATCGGTGGGCGAGGTTCAATTCTGTGACAACACAATTGCCACGCGTACTTTTCACGAACACAAGTTCAAGTCCACGATGGGTGAAGTAAGGCGAGGAGAGCGCGCAGCAGGGTGCGCAACTGGGCGCGCAACAGGGTCCACCGCCAATACGATGGTTACAGAGAACCACGCACAAGTTTGGGCTAAGAACGCGGGTACGGGTCCTTTTGATCACAGGGTGTATGTCGAGTCTTCCCCAGCGAGCTGCCGGCAGCAAAAGTGCGGTGACGGCTTGTAACGTTCCTATAAACGCCACAGCAATAAGGCGTCGTCTCTGTGTCGTCAAAAGAGTGAAGGAGGGAAATTGGGGGCGGGATGTGCTGACCAATTGGTGGTCGGCTTATACGAGATGAACTTGACCAATCGGTGGTCGGCTTCTACGAGGATGAAGAGGGTACATGTATGTGAGCAACATAAGGCAGAGAGGGACGCATGCCACGCGATGAATCAGAATTAGCACATGACGTCTTCCGGCTCGGATTGGGATATCTGATTGGGCAGCTGGAGAAATTGCAGCATTGGAGCACTCCCGCATCTGGGCGCCTGCTGACAGGTCTGACCAAAAGCACCTGCGATGGGCATTTAGCGTTCCTTGGGACCAGATTGGCGAACCCGGCCAAAAGTATGTCCGGGACGTACTCAAGGTCCGGCCCCTGGAGCTTGTTTGCTTGTCGACTTATGCAGTTGATTTCCGTCTCAGCTGGACCAGCCCCTGTCCTGCCCACCCTTGCAGAGGTGGTGGTGGCACACGGAGGCAGACCGGCAAAATCAAAAAGACCCCTGGACAGCCCTGGAGAGGGTGGTTAGAACAGGGGCGCCGCGTGCGGGGAGACGTTAGGATATGTGTGTACTCCGTAGTTCAGTTTACAACGTCATTGCAACCGCTTAGATGAATTTGAATTCCCTAAATATCCCTTTACCACGAGATTAGTTATTACTGTGCGCTGCGATCCCCTGGCCCTTAGAATTTCTTGGACACGCGTTTGAGGGGGAAATCAGCAAACAAAGTTCTTTTCTGGTCAGCCGGCCTTCGGTCTTCAAGGACCCCACCATAGCGACGGTTTGTTAGTTCTAGAAGCTGACACCACTGGACTATGCCTAGCAGCCACATGACGGAGGTGTGGTGGTGTTATTATTGGAAGTAGACAATATGTGTGTGAGCGAGCACATGCAGTGGGCTGGTGGTGATGCGGGTATTGGTCAGTGAAGTGGGGGGGTGAGTCGCCATGAGTCGTCGTGGGGCGTGTAAGGCGTTGGATTTGGAGGGTGTTCATGAGGCTGCCGGACAATTAATTCTATATTGACCGCCTGAAAGTGGTGTGTGCTCATTTGTACATCCAGAGTGCAAGATGCCACAAAAGTGTGTGTGGTAGCGGGATCTCCATCAAGGTGTGGCACATTCCTGGATCAATGCACCCACAAGGCTGTATGTGGCCTACCCTGTAGCCGAAAGGATCACCCATGACATGCATAGTTTCTACAAGAACAACAGACTAATAAGATCCAAGAAATAAAATATGCACTAGAATTATGATATTTTGATTTCAATTTGAGAAGGCACATAGCCAAGACCCGAAGGCAAGAGGCTGCATCAGGCATTCTTTCAGGTGCTGTCATCATGCCTTTTCCCCAATAAAATCAATGGAGAGTACCAAAATCCTCTCGGAGCCAAATAGTGCCTAGTGCATCCAGAAATGCGTATCCCCCAATTTGACTAGAGCGGGCGCCGCCTAACGACAACGTAATATGCAACTGCTCGTATGATTTTCACAGGTAAGGGGATTGATGATGGAGGGGTGACCTTCGGAAGAGATGTCATTGACGGACCGGAGATGCGGAATACGGTGATTGGATCGTTTGATCATCGAATTCAATTGGGGGCTATCTGCCTCGAGCTCGAGGTGGGCTGGACCCATCTGCAGGAAGACATAAGGGGTGGGGCCTTCAAAGTCCCTTAGCCTCTGGGCCAGACGCTGAGCGGCAGTACCGATTAGTGGGGTGGGTGCGCTGGTTGACTGGTTCCCGCCCACCGGCTGATTTAGCTTGACGTGGGCGGGTGAGAGGGGAAACAACCTCACTGCACTGCAGGGAAAGAAGTGGGAGGGCACGGTAAGCCTGGCGCGCGATGGCTTCATTCTGAGGCAGCCTTCCCCCAGAATTACCGTATTGAGAGAGATAACTCGCAGCTGAATGACCGACACGTGCAGAGTACCCACTGTACATACCGGCCACCCTCACTCTCGATTTGCATGATGATGTGCTAGGGTTGACCCTGGTTATTCTCGAGACCCCTGCTCCTCGCGACTTGTGTGATGGCACCCAGTGGGCTCCACAACAATTATCTCCTTTTTGGGCAATTTGGCTCGTTAGTGGGGAATCATCAACAGCCCAGAAGGTGGATATTCTCGTTACACTGCCGCCCATCCCCTCTGGCCTCAAGCCCGACTTTCCATGCTTCCAGCTAGGCCTGGCGGGCTAAGTCGTTCTTGCCGGTGTTCATTGGACTTGCGTCCAGGCAGGACCTGCCCCATTGGCCAATCATGAGCTCTCTAGCCGTCGGCGATGAATACGCGAGTGGAGCACCCCTTAGAACGCAGCCTTAAATCAGGTACTTGGACCCCTGTTCCGCCCTGGGACTGTTGGTTGACTCCCGATATCATACTCAGATGAACTATTCTCCAATTGTACACCTGCAGGGCGCTTTTGCATGCAAGAGGCAAAGCCATGCGGTGGCAGGTCTGCCGTGTCCTGCAAGCCAACGACACACTCACAGATCGATCACCATATAAATAGAATCGGCTTCCTTCTCCCTTTTCGTCCTCTCGACTCTTCGCATTCACTACCATCACGAACACCCCGAAAACCATCAACGTCTTCCGACACCTCTGTCATCACCAATCGACTATAGCATTCTATCAGAGAGCCTTCACCCATTCCTACATTTGCTCCTCGACATCCCCTTCCGTTACATCGGGTCACCATGCCTGGCATTCCCAAATCTCATGGCTGCCGAAGCTGCAAGGCGCGCAAGATCAAGGCAAGTATCTCCAACGTCTCAACATCTAATCGTTGGCCGCTTTCCTAACCGCCCGGCATAGTGCGATCAGAAATGGCCCGTCTGCTCCCATTGCAAGCGCCGAGACATCAAGTGCTCCGGTCCCACTTCCCTAGTCAAATTCGTCCACGGCGGTTCCAGAGCAGATCACAGAGGCTCAGAACCCGAGCCGCTCTGGCAGCACCACCAACCTTCATCCAGCCCAGAGGCGGCGCCCGCTACTACTTCCGCGCCCACAAACCACCGCTTCATCATCACAGACGGCACCCGTCCCGTGTTATCTGAGGACCATGCCTACTACTCCGCCATCGGCGTCATTGAGGCCTCGCCGCCCTATGCGCGGGGCGGGGGCAGGCCAACCACTATGGGCGACCGTACCGCCTCCCGCCTGCTGAATCTGGTCCAGCACGACGAGGACCTGGACTCCATCTTCAACATGAAGTACCTCAAGTTCCTGCCCCAGCGCATCCCCAACAGCGGCTGCCTGCGGGACGCCGCCTCTCTCTTCTGCTCTACGTTGACAGACTACCGGCGGAAGGTGTCACCCTCGGAATCGCAGACCATGGACAAGTACGGAAAGGCACTTCGGAGCCTGAGGAGGGCGCTGCGGGGAGACCAGGCCGGGACTATTGAAACTCTTGCCTCCATCACCCTGGTGAACAGAGCGGAGAGCTACATCCTCGGGGACTGGCCGTGGAAGCCGTTCAACCACGTCCACGCGGAGGCGGTTCTCTGCCTGTCACATCAACTGGGACCCCCGAGACCCGGAGACGAGCTATACGCTGGGCTCCTGTTTGAGAACTTTCGAAATCTGGTGAGTTTACCATTCTACGGCTGGGAGAGGCAGAAACCCCCGAGGAATTCCGCAAATTTTGCCTTATCCGGAAGAGATACTCTTATGCTAACCAGTAATTTCTACAACTAGGGAGTTCATTTCATGAAGAAGGGCACGGTCAATTTCTTCGGGGAGGGAGCCTGGGGCCAAGCGCTATCGGAAACGGCCCTGAGCCACCTACCCATGCGGATCAAACCCCACGCCGGGCCTATTCTTAGTTTGACGACCCGGCACTACACCAACGTGCCCATGGTGCTGGCCAAGCTCAACTCCATCTACAGCAACCCACACTCGGCCACCTCGCGGAGCACGGCGCTCAAGCTCATGGACCAGTTGTCAGGAGAGGAGGCA